CCCTCCCAGCAGCCGACCAACGCTGCTCCTCATGGCAAGATCGGTGTCGCTGTCGGCATCGTTGCGCTCGCCCTGGGCGTCCTCGGCGCTTAGATGTGAGCTTACACATACGACCTGAACAAGTGCATGATACGTGTATCTATAGGCCTTAGCTTCGTGGCTCGCGCTTATCACCGCGATCGATGGAGCTATGAACATGCCTGGATGTTAATGGATGCTGAATAATGGAACAAATGAAAAGACTTAACTCAACCTGAATCTACTGTGCTTGTGATCATGTCCTCACTATTAATGACGTTCGCCTGCTGCTTTGAGTTTACCGCTAAACATAACGCCCTTTCGCAGCCCCCCTATCGTCATACCCCAAAGTCAACGTATTCTATGTGATTATCAAACGTAGATGATGCGACAGCACACGTGCGGGTCCAAATCCCGCGATTTTCAATTCTCGTCTCGCGCTCAACGAGGATTCTACTATGAGCTATACGTCATACTGCTAGCATGTTAACCTGGTATGTGAAATGGGCTTACTGGTTGTGAGAGGACGTTCATTCATTGTGCCATACTACTTTCGGTTTAGCGCTCTTTTCAAAGCTCAACCAAGTTTCGTCTTTAAATCTGTCACGAGCAAGTTTAAATAATGACTTGTTCCCAATTGCTCGTGTAGCAAGACTTCTCTGTGAGGTATAGTTGACCCTGGATTCTATCGCAAATCCAACGTCCCATGACTTTGGTCGACCTCTGCCGTACGGAAGCATCTGGCATGACAAAGGCGACGCTCGCCTCACGTATCACAACCACACCAACAAAGCAAGCGAGACATCTTCAATTCTTTGGAAAGCCCATCAGAAAATGGGAAGAAGGTCTCGCTCTTTCTGTCCGCCTCAACACGATTTCACTCTAGCCCTTGACAATCATGCCACCCAAGAAGAAATCCTCGAAGAAGAATGAGCTTCTTTTCCTCAACAAGCACCCGTTCATTCTACAAACAGCTGTGGATAGAATCTACGGATGTATCATTGGCTCTGCACTTGGGGACACGATCGGCCTGTACACTGAATTTCTAACAAAGGCCGAGAGCGCGCGAATTTACGCAAGTCGAAGGTTCCAGCTCACTGAGCCACTGACTGAGTCCCATCCTGATGGTCACCGAAGTGAGGATATCCAGCTTCACGATATCTTCCAATGAGTCATGTGGCTAAGTTCCTTCATAATGCAACTGATACTAACGAGTTCTAGCACGCTTTGCGGCATGCGCCTGGACGGACGATACAGACCAAGCCCTGCTCATCATCTTGTCGTACTTACACAACTATACCCATGCCCCAGTGGGCATGACTCAGAAACCAACTAGCAAACCCAACCTTCATGCGAGTACCGAGCTTCCCTCCGATTTTGCAGTTCGTCTTGGAGTATGGATCGACCAAGGCTTACTCGCATTGAACCGCCACATGTGCGGCCTTGGTGCATTAGTCGGCAAGGTCGTAGGGGACAAATCGTACCTTGATAATCCAAAGGGTATCGCAGCCAGAGCTTGGGTTGCATCGGGTCACGCTGTAGCACCTAACGGGAGCTTGATGCGTACGCATCCCATCGGCGTTATCGGCATTGGATTGAGCGAACAAGAGACGTGGGACTTGGCTGCCAATGTTGGTTTCACGACGCATGTTGATCCGCGTTGTACAGTCTCATGTTGTGTTGAAGTTGCTTTGATTCGAGGGCTGCTTCGAGGCGACATTCGGAACGAGGAGCATGTCAATTCTTGCATTGAGCGTACCTTTTCGTATGCGAAAGGCAACCAAGATCATATGAACCCAGCTGGAGAAGACGGATTGATGGAAGAAGAGCTTGATGCTCGCCTTGACCGGAACGAGTTCGAAGAACACTGCTATGCTGAAACTCTGGAGGACCTGAATCTTGACGAAGACCGAAAGATTGGCTATGTGTACAAATGTCTCGGATCAGCCATCTTTTTGCTACGATCCGCCATGCGCAGAAACACTGCTCTCGATGGCAATGATCCAATTCACGTCGCATCGATATTCGAAGACCTCACCGTCGACTTGATCATGGAAGGGGGCGATGCCGATACCAACGCTGCAGCCGCGTGCGCTTTGTTAGGCGCATATGTTGGTCATGCCAATCTGCCGTCTCACTGGATAAGGGGGCTGGCCCACAGGCAGTGGCTTACAGACAAAACCTATCGACTGACTGTAGCGAGCGGTGTGCTGCCAGGCACATTGGAACCTAAAGAAGACGAAGGTGCAGAAGGTCCAAGAGGTCTGATGGAACCATCAGAAAGGAGACAGCGAGATGCCAGAATCCACAAGCGAGAGGCGGAGAGGAGAGCGTGGGCGAGAGTGTATCAAACAGAATGGAAGAAGAGGAAATTTGAGCAGCGGAGACCAGAAGAGCAGTAGAATGGATAGACCGCTGTATTAAAAACGATAAATGCGCAAACTTCTTGTGTTCTTCGTTCGCGTTGTGAGGAGACAGTGCCAATGTCAAGGGATAGTCGCCGAGTCATTGTAGGGTTTCGAAATTATTGAACCGATGCAGTGGTTTTCTTTGTACCTGAAGACAGCCAGACCTAGGTGCCTTTGACTTTTCAAGCTCACCGTGAGAAGTGGTACGCTCGGAAGCAAGGTCACATGAACTCTTGTCTCGATGCAGTGAGCTTCGCGCACCAGTTTGTATGATACAGAAAGATGTTTCAGCAATATAAGTATAGAAAGCATATAGCGCAGTAACAAGTTCCATACGGGCCCATGACTTCGTTGACTCAAGCAGAACGACTAGCCGATCAGGCCGACCAGCCAGTCCAAGGGTAAGCGGCATCAAAGCGGCGGGCTACGCGGCGCCCTATCTCGCTTCCCATCAGATCATCGTGCGACATGGTGCAATTGCTTTTCACGGTGCCATGTGATCCCGAGATAACCGCGATCGCAGTCGGCTAATGTACCCGGGATTATTGACAAGGCAGAAGAGGCGAAAAAGCAACAGGTGGAAGGGGGCTTCATGAGTAATGGACCGCGCAAGGGATGTGGCATGAAACGGCGATGATGATCATTACTATGTTCTACCTGACATGCTGCAGCCACAATCCTTCCATAGTGGCCAATGATTGTAAGGAATAAAGCAGCTAATATTTCACATTGTCGCTCCAGCCGGCGTGTCTCCATCAACGTCTAGGATGGCGCCTTCCTCTACGTCCTTTGGCTTGATTAGCTGGATGCTGATCTCTGGATCTTGGCTGTATATTCTGAGACCCAAGACGCATACAGCGTTCCAGGGCCCAGAAGTATTGTCTAGACGAGCAGGAGGAGACTGCTGCTGCTGTGGTGGTGGAGGCGCATCGCCATACACGCCGTGTGGTTGTCCGTACATGGGTCTAGACGGGCCAGGACTGTCTACCGTTGAAGGTGGCGCGGTCTGACCCTCTACCTTCGGTAGCAGTAAGTTCTCGGTTGCATCTTGGGTTTCCTGTTCATCGTCGCTGGCGACATTGGTCTTGGTCTCTGGCTTGCTACGCGCTTCAATTGCATCGTCTTCTGTCACTTTGGCCTTCACCCCAGGCCGCTCTTCATGCACAGTGGTAGGAGATGACGCGTCGTGTTCGATCTTGTCAGTGTGGCCAGGAGCTAGTGCCTGATCCTGCTCGCCTTTAGCTCCTTTGTTCGATCTGTTGTAGTTTCCTTAGGCGACTCTCTCGAATTCCGTGCCTTCTCTCTCTTCCAAGTTTCGTACTAACTTTCTCTTCCTTCTTCCATGCCTCGGATTCCTCCATCTCTCTTGCTTCTTCCTCGATTTGCTTTTTCTTCTTCTGGTATCCCCCCTTTGCTTCTGCTCTCGCTTCCTCCTCTGCTCATCACTGGGCTCGCTAGTACCCTTCGCACTAGCAATGTCATATGATATCTCCCTCAGCTTCCGGGGATTCGTCTCCACAAACTTGACTGCCACATCTTGCACTTCAGGAGCATCGGCATTGTGCGGGGCTTCAATCTTAGCGAGGACCTTGTAAATGCCGGCTTTCAGGTTGACCTCCGCTGAAATACTGCGATTTCCAAACCAGTCGCCCGCCTTACAGCCTTTTTCTTGCAGGATGAAATGCAAATCAAATTCATATTTGCCCTCCAAGCCCTTGAAGTACCGGCCTTCAAGCTTAGTGTGTTAGCAATCTTCCACAATGTCAAAAGCCACATTAAATGCCTGACAAAGCACAAACACAATCGGTCCAGCGTTTTTGACTTCGACGGAGAATTTGGTGTTCAAGTATCCCGCCACCCAAGCAACTGAAACAATCCTTCACAACTGTCCAAGATCGGTCGAAAGTACGATCCTGGAGAAGGGGCGGAGAAGAAAAATTGATCGTTGAGCTGGAGCAACTCCTTCCACAAACGCTCCGTGCTCAGGATGTGATCCGTCAAGATTTTCATGGTTACATCTCCCGCCAGGTTTTCAACTGCCTCGCCACTGACGCCGCCAGCGATTGCGTTGTGGTCGCCATACGCCTTGGCATACGCCTTTTTTCCCTTTTAGTAATGGGAGCCAAGTTTCGTTCTCATGGGGACACGACGCCAAATTAAGGCGCTTCTGATCCGATCTGGTGGTTCTTCTTGTATTTTGTCTCCTTCACTCCGGTTGGGTCATATCTGTCGCCGTACGAGTCAAAATCGCTGTATTTGAGGTAGGGATTGTCGTCCACAACAATCCAAATCCATTAGCCATCTTGGTAGAAAATAGATCCGTACACACCACACTCTTCGTCCCTCTCGACGCAAACTTTTCGAATCAAATCTGGATTGCTGCAGATGGTAGCCACAATGGCGATAAACCAGCAGTCTCCACTTCCCCCTTGGATAACATCTGAAGTTTGGAGCCGTCAATCCCAAACTCGGGTTTATCAACCACCCAGTCGATGCGGTGGCTAAGAATCGGGTCAGTAGATGCCATGACTCAATGAGGCATTACTACTTACAAAGAGCCCGGGCGTGGTTCGTCACCATCATCAGCACTAGCTCTTGTCAAGAGCTTTGCATCTGCAATAAAGTCGACTGGTGCAGCATTCTGCATGAGAACATCGGCCTGGATGAGTGTTTTCAGAGCGGAGCCCAAGCTTCGAGGGCTTATCGCGGATGCTACCGTAGCAGCAGGTTTCTCGTCATACCAGTACTTGAGTCCCTGGAGGCAGTTCTTCTCCGACAGATCTTCAGCATCAAAGTCTGTGTTAACAAATTTCTCATTGGTGCGGTGGCATTCTCGGAGAATGCACTTCACGCGAGAGTGACACTCGGTAGCTGCAGCTTCGTATTAGTCTGCGGCGCTCTTGCCTGCTGATGTGGCTGTTTGACGCTTATGTGGAAGTAAATTGCATGAAGGCTTGGAGGGAAGATCTTGGTAACTTCGGCAGGCCTCTGCATGATCTGTGCCTCCCAAAACTCGTTTGATCGCCTCTTGGGGTGCATTTATCACCTGACTATCGCTGCTAGAGACGCAACTCATATTTGCTTTTCTATTCGGTTGCACGTCGGCCGTTCTCGTATCACGTACAATGGAGATCGTAAGACGATTGATCTGCGTGACGTGGACCTAGACGAAGTGTTTTGTGGACCGAAAAAAAGGGATTTGGAAGCCTGAAGAAAGCTGGTTGAGGCTGATATTGATTGGTGTTGCTGTTATATGTGCAAGTTGGGGGCTAAATCGGCCGTGGCTTACTTGTGCGGTTGAGTGAGCTGTCTAAGGTGGAGACGTCCCGCCAACACTTGCATATTACTAGTAAAATAAGCTTCGAGGAGAGCCCGTTAGTGTACTCGGAAGTTCCCAGTTTGCTTCATTCCGAAAGAAAAGAGCCACCATGCATACGGAAGGTAGAGATGCCATGACGGTTGTCAATGGTTCTAAGCCACCCGCCGAAAAGGGTATGCCGGCTTCCTGAGATTACATGCCCACAGAGCCTCCGATTCGCACGTGAGAAGGGCAGATAGCGTGTTAGCGCAGAACCTTGCGATAGTAGATGATCGAGAAATTATGTATGAAAGGCCGTGATCATCTTCTACCTAAGGCGGCTCGCGGCACAGCGCATGAATTTAGTGCGGCGGAGGGACACTCCGCGCGTACCGGTACCTAGTCAGAACTCAGCAACCACGTCTTACCCCGGCCAACCTCCAATCAACCTCAGAAATTTGCGACATTGAAGATGTGAATGCAACATGGTCGATGCATCAAGTTATTGCACATAGGCGTCATATTTTTATTTTTATTTTTTCACAAGAATGGCGTTTAAATACTCGAGTGACTGCAGAATCATGTCCGGAATACGAAGTCGCGGATGCGGACGGGTCTGGTATTGTTGGCAGTGATCATCCTGCTACGAGTCCTGTGGTCGAGCGGCATATGCCAGTGTGTTTGGGCTTGCGGCCTCATTGATTTGTCTTCGGCTGTATGTATTCACAAGGCTAAGCCCTCCTTGACAATAAGGTTCGGGGGTCTGCGTAGAGAGCGATCTTAAAGGTGTGTGCACAAAAGTGTGGCCGTGTTGCAAGTCGAGATCGTCGACCATTGCGACCTGATAAGGCAGGTATGGCAGGCGTGGTGTTATGGCAGGCCGAAAATGTAGAGCACAACACTCGGGGGCGGCAGATCCGGATCCGCGTTTGCAGCCATGGGTTGCGGTGAAGTCTCACTCGGACTATTGAACCTAAAATGTGATTGGATAAGACGTTGAACGGTTATCGACCAACCGAGTTTCTCTCGACTTTCTCTCGACTTTCTCTCGACTTTCTCTCAACATGGTCATTGCTGGGCAAAAGCGGCTGGCTGCATGATGAAGATGCGTTGGTAAGTTTGAATGTCTGTATTGAGCTGCCAAGGTGTGACTTGTAGGTACGCGAAACAGTTGTCTCCACCAATAGCGAAGATGTACACTTAGCTTGAGCGTCCGGACTCGGCTCGCTTCGTGGGAGCTATAGAAAAGGTACCCATATTGCCGAAACGCGGAACATTAAATAATTATAGTGTCGTGATTGGATCCATCATAAAAAAATTGAAGAGAAAGGTATAGCACCGAATAAACGCCAGAGCCGTCCGTGCTGTAAATGCTGAGAATGCGACCGAGAAGCATTTGCGAGGGTGTGTCGAAAGGCGATGACCGATTGCTGGGGCGTGTGAGAGTGCCCCTGCTTGAAACTGTCCAGACGGAATTTGCTTTTAGTCGTCGAGTAATGGAATGGACGCCTAAGAAGAAAACGGAGGCTGCATAGAAGAGGCCGCCTCTGGACCGAAGATTGAGCCGCCAGAACGCCGTGCTAAAATAAATAGAGGCAATGAGACCATGGTGATGGAATAGCTAATGGAGGGGAAATCGTCGCTTGTAAAGATCCGAAAATTGATAGCGCGAAATTTGAATCCGAGCTAGGCGAGCTTGGGCGCAAGATCGCGAGGGCGGCCCGGGTATTTGGATTCGCTAGCGATGCCGCCGATCTGTGGCCTGCGTTCAATCTGCGTCCAGCGAGTCAGCACCCTGAACGTGCATCACCAGAAGAAGTCTTGCTTGAAACACATCTGACGGTTGGTGTCGTATGTCAGGCGACAGTGGATCTGCAAGGAACGCACAGGCACGCAGAAGTGGCAGTGGAGAGAGAACGGGCGAGAACGGGTGGGCTCACCTATGATTTGGCTGCGCAGGGGCGGCAGGTCTTGAGTTTGCAGTTCTGGCATTCGTAGACGGATTGGTAGGGGCCGGTGTGGCAGATGTTGCAATTCCACGAGACGATTGTGGTGTCGGACTTGATGACCTTGAACGAGTGTGTGCAGTTTGCTGGGGCGGCCATGGTGAGGGTAGAGTTGGTGGTAATGGGGTTGGAGGTGGTGACGAGTATGGGTATGGTGGGAGTTTGGGGAAGTGGCGACTGGAGCGAACTGGAGGGAACGCATGTTAATTGTGTACCAGGGCGAGGGGCAGATATGTATGCTGGGATGTGCAGGACTCACGCGAGCAAGGTGCAGTGGGCGAGGGTCTGGCAATTCTGGCGTGGGATGTGCGCTCAAAGCCGAGGGTGGAGAGGGTACGTGAGTCGTGGCTGGTAAAAGCAAGTAGAAGGTGCAGATGCAGAGGCAGAGGCAGAGGGGAAGAGGTTGATTTGCAAGTAGTGCTGCACGAGGAAAGACTTGGTTGATGCTAGAGAGAGTGCAGACGCTAAGAGATGCGGATCTTGGGTCCGTCTTATACTGAGTTTCGATTGTAATTGACCGAAGCCCAACTGACATGGACTGCGACGGTAGCTGAGTCCATGTCCACCAGGTGCGGTAGTGTACAACAGCAGGCAGTGGGCAGCCGTCTCGCCGTGTTGCGGCCCTGGAGGATGGAGATCGAAAGCGGATGGCGGCCTTACAGATGGAGCAAAAGATACACTGGGCGTTACACAGCGAGGCCGCATGAGAGAGTTTGTCTGCTACGCTCTCGCCATGAGGCTCTCAAAGGGCAGGGCATGGTGGAGCTGGTCAAACGCGGGCTGACTGTTCCGCAGCCGCGGTCACGGTAGCATGGCCAGGTCGCGAAACCTTGTTGCAGGCGGGCGCGATGAGGTGTGAAATGCTCCGAGAAGCTTCGAGGATGGCGCTTCCGCGCCGGCGCAGCGTGCATGTCTCTGTGTCACACGCAGCGTCGCGGCGCCATCATGGGCCATGGCACCTTTGTGGCCGCTGCTGCCTCTGCCTCTGCCTCTACGTCTGCGTCTGCGTCTGCGTCTCCGCCTGCGTCTGGCTGCAGTGCGCGCGGCCGAACGAGGGCTAACGCCTGGCAGGGGTGCGAGGGGTGCGGGCCAATCTGGCGGCTCCCAGCGCTGTGGACGGCGCCATGGGGCCTAGGGCGAACTGGGGTTGCCGACATGACGACGTCGCCCATCGCGCCTGCTTGCTTTTCCTGTCGCTCCTTCCCCAGCACATCGCCATGCATCAATTCCCCTGCCCGTCTTTTCTTTTCGCTGATGAACACCTGAACACCTGAATACCATCGCACAACTTGCTGCATTCGCCCTCAGGACTGCTCTAAGACGGCCAGGAACCGAGCTGCATGAGCGGTCAACCATCCCAGACACCCTGCCCCCAAAGCGTCGCCCTGCAGACGCCCTCCACCCCGTTGCTTCTCCGCGTCTGGCCTGTCTTCTTTCCGTCTGCTTCGGGCCACCAAACCGGCCGTTCGCCGGAACAGGGCCCTCATCTGCCCGCCTGTCCGCCTGCCATTCGCTGCCCGCCCGCGACCACGGCCTGTGGCTGGGCCGCCCCGATGAGAGCTTCGGCGACGTTACACAGACGTGTACGCTCCCAGACCCTGCCGCCCCATCCATCTCTCCCAGAGCGACTCGACAGGGCCCATTAGGGCACTGTGACTGCTGCCGTTGGTACGGATGGCCGCCTTCGCCCTTTGCAGAAGACGCGCAGCTCCTCGATGCACCTGAGAGAAACGGGCACCGCCGCCGGCACCAGAGCACCCCTCTACCAGGTTCAGCTGGGCGCCGACATGTCGCATGCAGCCTCGTCTCTTAGAGCGTCCTTTAGCGTCCTGTACTGGCGTCCCTGATGCACCGCCAGCCCTTGGTAAGGCCGACCCTCGCATGCTCCACCAGACCACCTGCTGGCGTTGAATCGCCCAGCCCATCTCAACCACGAGCCATCTGGCGTGCGGAGACTCTGCTGTTTGTCATGACCGCGGTGCATGCTCCCAAGTCGACAGCCCTACTATGTAACCTGCCTAAACCAGCAGCAAGTGACCGCTTGACCACGACGAACAGACGCGACCGACCAGTGCAATGCTATGGACAGACGAAGAGTACGCCTGCTCGTGAACCATGTACGTCTCTCTATTTGGAGAAGCTCGGTGGAGTAGCGTATTCAACCATGCAGAACACATTCTTTCTGCGCGTCAAACAACATGTAGGTCGTTTCAATCTCTTACAAGCTTTGAGCCCAGCTTGCAGCATGACAAACCTGCACCCGCCTATTTTTCCTACCCTGCAAGATAAAGTCGGATCCATGTCTCGCGTCCTGTCGCGCCATTTCATCCTGTGGTGGCGCATACGCAACAACAAAGACCACACGCTGCAAGACCAAGTCACCAACACCCACTCCTGAACCTGATCTGTTCCAAGGGATATCATGACGGACGCTCGACTGGACCTAGATTGGGGCATCCCTGACCGATTATGTAACCAAGGACCTTGCGGTTGTACGGGATCGTTGTGAACCTGGTTCTCGGTTTCGCAAATGCAAGATCGGTGCCACCATCGATTTGGCGTCTGACAATGGCGCCTGTGGCGCTTCCCCATTGTGGAATGATGTGCGTCATCCCCTGGCTGTTTTTGCTAGCTTTGCCAAAATGCCTATTCGTTTGTCAAACATACTTGTCTCTTCTCCACGCGATTCGTCGCAGTCTTCACTTCTTCCAAAACGCTTCCAGTTCAGATGAGGTAGTCGCTAGTAAGACGGACACCATGTTCAACTGGCCTCAAAGATTGCCCAGGTGTCCCAAGTGAGCAAGTGAGCATGTCATGGCAGTCAGACACTGACGCGATGTATTTCACTGTAGTCGCCACGCGACTGTGCAGGACGAACGTGTCAGGGCCGCCAACCTGGTCGGCGTCGCCTCGAGTCACTGCCATGATACCACGCCTTACTCTATGAATTATGATTGCCAGCACATGCCAAAACCGGGGGATTCATTGTTTTTTTTTTAGAGAAGAACGCGTTGGGGGTCTTTTCGCTAGCATGAAGAAACATGAATTTGGCCATCTTTCCGCATGGCTGTCCCATACAGCAGTGTCGTTGAAGTGTGGAGTAACACAGAACGCCTGTTCTCGTCCACAGCTTCCTGCTTCAACCATAGACCAGGTCACCGGATCGGACGTCTTGTTCCTGGCGTCGCTATTGGCCAACATGCCACACCGCACCGTTTTCCGTCATGTCTCTTCGATCAACCATATACTGCATATTGAGCGGCATGTCCCAAGACCACTGCATCGAGGCGCAAACCTGGTATTCGGAGGCGAGCACTTCCCACTAGTGCCCGTCATTGATGTGACGTTGATGGCCAATCGGGTTGTTTTGCGTATAGCCTTATGACCTATATGGACAGCCATTGCTCCTCTCAATTCCCTACATTTGCAAATTGTGGACACCAACTGCCCTATGAAGCCACTTTTGCTGCTTTGGGAGGCATGCGATGGTCTCACAGCTCGGCGACATCCGAATCCGTGAGACGGCGTGCTACTGAGCGGCCCACACTGGATCCATCTTCATTTTACACCACTGATCCATCATGGTACGTACCAGAAAAGCGTGCGTCGTACCAACTCACCGCTCAATCTCATGTTCCACCAGTCGATCGAGGGCAGATCTGTATCTCCGCCACCAGGCCACAAAGAATGGGACCCACCAAAAGCCCTTCCTCACAACAGAGTACCCTAGGATCTCTTTGCAGACTAGCATGCTTGAGTCTCAAAAGCTGACTAGCTTCCAGAAGGTCATTGCATTAGTGGATCAGTGTTGCAATCTGTGATGGTACCTTGCAGCTCGCGTGATCAAACCAATATATACCGTCAGAAGTTATATACACCGGAAGCCTCCTCTGGAGTACGTGCAAAGGGACTCGTTCGTATAGGTATGCATCGCCTCCACAGGTACAGGATGGGAACTGTCAGTCCTTTGGCGCATGCAGCCGGCAATACTACCTGCGAAGATATGGTCGGCGCACCACAAGTTTTCCATCTCTGCATCTTAATCAACGGAGCTGGTTTGACAACGTGCCCCAACACTTTACCGGTAGTCTCTCCAACTCCGCCCTCACACGCAGCCACTATGAACGGAGTAAAGAATATTCATAACACGGGATACCAGTACGTGGATGAAATCATCACGTCTGTTCAACAAGTCTCTTGAGTCAAGCTCCGACATTGTCTGATTTTTGAAGTTATGAGATGATTATTGTCTGCACTCAGGCTCTGTCTCGGATGTCCCTCTGTCTGGTGATATGGATGACTCTATCGGATGACTTCCTTCTCGGGTTCATTTGAACTCCCAAGAATCTCATGCGCGAGGCCTCTGCCTGGTTGTTGCTTGCTTTTTGCGAAGCCCTGAGCTCGTTGTTGGTTATAATGTAGGTCCCTGGTGGGGCTACACGCCGGGTACCAACACAGAAACATCCGTACAAAGTGCGCACGGCTCTGCCCTGTCTCCTGAGTGCATCAAAGAGTGAAGCTAATTAGATTGATGTCGTGGTCAAAATATTTGCAAAGCATCGACTGATGTGGAGAAAGTCACAAATTGCGCGTTTGGCGTTGAGTACGAAACGGATACAGTGTTACACAGCCTCATAACTGGCTGGGCCGTAAGAAAGTGATCGTCGTACAGTACTGTGATCTCAATCCTACAATACGTATTGCAGAGCTCATAGTCTTATCGAAGGATCTCCGAGCCGAGAGAGTCAAGCAATCTTTGCGGCCTCGTAGGCTTCACAGCCACATGAGGCGTTCGGAGAGCTGGTGCCAGACTGATGACGATGTGGTCGACGTTCGGGGCGTGCGTGCTGGATGCGAAGATCATGAGTGGCTGCATTGGCTGGTATGATCGCGTGCCAACGCAGCAGAGCTTGTGTAACGCTTCCAAGGTTGGGCGCGGGCAGATGCATAAAGGCTAGCAAACTGCCGAAGTTTAGTTTACTGTTCAACTTGCATGCTCCCATACTTTCGCATCACAGTGCTCGGATTAACTCAAGGTCGATGCATTGGTGATCGTGAGCACGTTTCTGGACGAGGGGTTCCTTAGCGGCACGCTAATTGCGCCAATATCTGCAAAATAATGACAGGAAAGCATCAACGCGCGTTTTCTCATTACGAAAACGTCACGCTTCTCGGACCGCCCACGATGCGTGGTGCCATAGTTTTTGCTGGGTCTTCGCACCCTAAGCTTGTCGAGGGCATTTGCGACAGGTTGGGCACTAAACAGGGCTCGGCCACGCTGGGCAAGTTCAAGAACGGGGAGACGTCTGTTACCATACGTACGAGCAGTGCCCGCCTGAGTCCTTCGCAGACTGACAGAACATAGACACGTCGATCCGAAACAAAGATGTCTTCATCGTACAGAGTGGAAGCGAGAGGTTGGTAGCTGCGTCTTGAGCGCAACTGTCGCTAATAGCAGCAGAATCAACGATTCAGTCATGGAGCTACTGATCATGATCTCTGCCTGCAAAGGCGGCTCAGCCAAGTCTATCACGGGTGCGCATACCGTACAAACGCGTCGTGTCTGGTGCTAACTGGCTCGGTCAGCTGTTATGCCGTACTTCCCCTACTCGCGCCAATCGAAGAAGAAGCAGCATCGTGGGGCTATCACTGCTCGCATGGTCGCAAACCTCCTCCACGTCGCCGGCGTCAACCATGTCATAACCCTCGATCTGCATGCCTCGCAAATGCAGGGCTTCTTCAAATGCCCAGTCGACAACCTTGTTGCCGAGCCCCTCCTTTCTCGTTGGATCCGCGTGAACGTGCCGAACTGGCGTGAAGCTGTGGTGGTTAGCAAGAATCCCGGTGGGACAAAGCGCGTCACGTCACTCGCGGACGCGTTGAAGCTCAGCTTCGGCATAGTGACAACGGACAGGCGGAGGGCCGGGACTGCGGTGCATTGGAACGAGAGCGCCATGTTTGAGCAGCTCAGGCTCGATGGTGGCTACGAGTCGACTGCGCTGCCAGAGCCTGCCCTGGATGCGGACGCCGAGGTGACACCCATCAACAAGACCTCAAACGACGGCAAGCCAAAGCCAAAGGCACACCTGGCATCAGCCCCACTACAGCGACGCGTAAATGGCCTGTCCGAGTCCATTGGGAGCCCATTGTCCAAATCCATGCGGGCGAGCTCCATCGTGGAGCCCGAAGTACCACTTGAGCCAATACGAACCAACGTCAGCAATGCGCAGGACGAAGATGATCACAGTGCTGATGAGAGTGCCGAGGAATATACTGACGAGGTTTGTCGCAAAACAATCAGCGCATAGTAATCACTAACCACAAAATAGCGTGCACGGAATGTCATCCATGGACGTCTGGTACAAGGACATATCGTCGACGACACACACCCCTCTCCAGCCATCTCAGCCACCTCGCACACCACATGGCGGACCCGCCCGCCATCTGAAGGCGACGAAGATATACCTCCAAACATGATGTCCTCGTTCATGTCCACGACTTCATCAACAAGGAACAAGGACAGCGAGCACTCCCACGCGCTGGGCGGTACTTACGACGCGGCAGCATCATCAGAAGACGAGGAAGAAGATCTCATTAACCCCGAGCTGGAGACCATGGTCACTCTCGTTGGCAACGTCAAGAACCGGCCAGTCTTTATCGTCGACGACATGATGGACAAATCAGCGTCCTGGATTGCAGCTGCTGAGACAGTTGTCAAACGGGGCGGCGCAACCAAAGTCTATTGCTTTGCTACTCATGGCCTTTTCGGTGGTGACTGCCTCGAAGAGATGAACAAGTGCGACCTCATCGAGAAAATCATCATCACCAATGCTTTTCCGATTCCCGAGTACAAGCAAGACCAGGCGCGAAACAAGCTTGTCGTTATCAATGTTGACAATCTGCTGGCCGAGTCGATCAGGCGCAATCACCACGGCGAAAGCATGTCACAGCTGTTCATGCACTACGACTGAGCCATATTTACCCATCTGGCAGTTCGTCTTTTCTATACAACTTTCATAGCGTTTGGGTGTTACGACTTACTTCAGTGGGAACTTTGGCGTTTTGAGGCCCCCGGGCGCGTTTGACCGTGGGGCGCAGCAGGAAAAGCTGGCACATTGATGGTGCACAAATGACTTTATGATAACCCCAAGGATACCTTGAAAGCAGTAAGCACAAGCTCTAGTTCAGAGCTATCCATCTCAACAGACTACAACAGTTGAGACCAGGTCATCCCCTTCAATTCGTCTCTCTCTCAGTTCTCTACTACTCTCTGCTCACCATACACTGGCATCATGCCACCAACGATGCAGGCCTCTGAGCCTGCAGGAGTCCCGTTCTTCATACGGACCACTCTTAACGGAACGTTGGGAGAATAAAACTAGTGAGGGCATCAACTGCTGGCTTTCGCTTTATCGGAAGCTGGATGATAGTTTTCGCTCGTACATTCGTATTCTGATCAATGAGTCGTGCCAGTGTTAGGCATTCTTCGGCTCGGGGCTGATCTGTAGAGGCGACATACTTTTTAGGGCTTGCTCAATGACAAAAGGTAAGGGCATAGCTGTGTTTGACCGCACTTTCAGGTAACTGCACCTTTGGCGACAATTCGTGCGCGCTGTCTCTGTAATATGAGCACTGTTCGAGCATCACTCAATTACGGCTGTATAATCTCATGACATCAATGATCATGTATAAGAGAGTAGTGTTTTTTGAGTGGGAATCAGAATTTGAGTAGAACGCACACAATTTGTTTCCGCATCTAGTGACGGTTCTTTAGAGTTTGTGAAGTTGATGTGCTTGCACCTTAAGACAGAGAGAATTTGAGAGCACAGGGTACAAGATGTCGCACGAAAAGGCTTGCTGGCTTCGCATGTTGTGCCACACGATCTCCTATCATTGTCTTGAGGGTTTCCTTTCAGACTGACATGGCGTTCTGGGGCCCTGTCTTCGAGGTATCGGCCATTCTGTATCATTACAACCACGACTTCGCGGACTAGTGCAATGTAGCTTGGGCTTCTTTTTGTCTTGGGGAATTGCATCATAAGTGTATGAGGCACGATAGTAGATTGACAGATCAGCACATTGTAGGACCAATCGAAACCTTCGACTTTGCAGTCGTCATGCTATTCTGACTTCGCATAGCGTGCAGAGAGAGACATCAATCGAAGCTTCACAAATAATAGCAAAGCACATCGTGACAAAATGAAGATCTTACCTGGGTACCTAGAAAGGTTGACTTTATACGTTGAAAACATGGAAAGCGAAGCGATCAGTGACAAACATAAGTTACAATGTTGTATAGTACAGGACAGGTGCTTTCTACTGTATAGATTCGACCAGTGCTCAAGTCTCAAGCCATGTTCCATTCCCAAAGTCTCCATGTTCCTCAGCTCTATAGCCATGTTTGAGCTCCATCTCGTTTCCATGGTGTTCACGTTATCGCACTACCGCGGCTCAGACACTTCACCGTCTGAACCATACCGCTGTGTATCAAACAACCACTAAACTTTCCCATTCTTGAACTTCTTCATGGCTCGCTTCCATGGAGAGCCGCATAAATGTACATGCACTGCCAGACAATCTACAGGCGGACTGGACTGACATGCTCAATCAACTATACAGCGATCGTCCCACTCGCTCATGAGCCACACCAAGAGGGCATCTGGTTCCGTGGAGACAGGCCTGCTGTCACAAACTGAATGTAAGCTGCATCACACCTGGGCTCCAAGAGCATGCAATGACTCCCTATAGGGTCCGGACCTTTCAGTTATACCTGCTCTCAACATGCGTATGTACCGCTACGCAATGAATGCATTCTCCGCAAACATGTTGGGGCGCTTTGGAGCAGAAAAAAAGCGAGAGCAACGCGAGAGGGAGTGGAACGGCTTGGGCGTGATGGAAACCATGTTAGAATTCTCTCCACCAAGTATTTGAGACGCTCGACAGTGGATGCACAATGGACGAACCGCGTAAGGAGCTTTTGAATAATCCATCGTAAGCACATCCGGCCACTATGAGGTTGGCAAATGTAAGTCCGAAACGTCTACTCACTGCCACTACAGTATGCGTACAATACTCCGCTTCCGACAGCTCACCTTTGATGTTTGCCTCTTATGGGCACTGATGTTCCTAGTATTCCTACGTTTGTATAACTTTCGCTGGTATCGTGTACATATTCACCCTTCTCAAACATGCACAAATGACTCCAAGTAAGTATGGAATTACAACGACACTTGACTGTACCAAATATACATTCTTATATTGCGTGATGTAGTGATATTTGAGCCGAATCGCCCCTAATGAAGTACCCGATCAAGCATGAGCCTGTCCAATGTAGACGCATACATTACGGCGACGCTCCGCGCCCCCCAAAAAAAAGTCGTATTGCTTTGCTCCGAGAGACCTCATAACGCATCACCTCTTAACCTCCACATCGACCTTTCCCTCACCCTCAGCATCAAAGAACAAACTGTTCCTCTTCTGATCCTGCTCTTCACCCAGGACCTTTTCCTTCTCCTTTCTAAACTCTTCTGCGCGCTTGAGATCGGGACTCAGGGGACCGGGACTGCTGCTCGGAGTCTTGTTGCCCCAGCCTTTGCGCTTCTCAGCTGCCCAACTGCCCCATGAGCTAAAATATGCGCCGGCAGATTGCTTGGCGGCTTGGATGTTTGCTTGAGCGTTGGTGAGGTCGGGAGGTTGTGGTTTCCCTGTTGGTATGTCAACTTGGAACGCCATTTTCATGGAAGAAGAACGTAACATACATTTCCCCTGAGCATCCACCGGTCTTCCTTCCTTCTCCGCCTGAAGTCTTTGTTCTTCTGCTCTCTTCCTCTGCGCCTCACGCATTGCCTCCATTTCCGCCCACAGACGATTATACGCGCTGCTGACTTTCTGCTGTCCGACAGCGAGTTGTTGTCCGAGCGCTTCTCTGCTTTTCTCGAGTCGCTCGTTGAGATGCATCTCAGCTACCTGCCTATTCGCCACGCGAGGATCAGCACACAGACACCAACAGATACAGCTTGGAATGTGGAGTTGGACATGAGACTGAGAAATGGGGTAAGTCATGGGCATGGGAGTGGAAAAGTAGATGATAAAACGTACTGTGCTAGTCGCCTTTGTACGTCCTCGATGCTGAGACCGCCAGAACAAGGGTGCTTGGCATCGACGATGTCGAAAAGATGCGAATCGGTGAACTTGTTCCAAATTCGAAAGTTCTCGGTCTGCATCCAAGCATGAACCCAGTCGTTTGAGAACTCGGAAGCTGGGTCGCCTTCGACATCGGTGATCATCGTTTCTTTGTGCGCGTTCTTCTCCATGTAGAGCTTATATTTGACAGAAGCAAGCATAGCCAGCAGGTACTCTTCAAACTGCATCCGAATAAACTCCTCACTTCCGGCATAACCGTGGTCCTTAGGCCGACTTGGGTTTGATTCGTCCCAAGTGTCTTGCACTGTTTGGGTAAGGAAATCTATCCATCTGCGGTCTGGTGTGGAAAGAACGGCTGCTTGTCGGAGAGAAGAAGAGGTGATGTTTACAGTATGATCATCAAGGTTAACCAGAATGTCGCTATAGCGGTCTTTCTGTTGAAGCAGGAGCGAGTTGGTCGAGCCAACGATATAGGATTTCGTGTCTTGATCAGCCAGCATATCGAGTTGCTGAAGTGGCGTATAAGGCCCGAATAGCGAGCCCTTGCCAAACAATGGTAGCGGCAGACCCATGTACGCAAGCACTGAAGTGATCAGTGTTATGTACAATCAAGCTTGAAGTAGTAGACTTACAGGATGCGCGTTCTGAGGTCTTCAAAGAGGTAGGCATAACGAGGTTCTCCTCGCAAGAATTGAATTTGGGGTCAGCGGAATCTTGTAGGTGGCGAATAAGGCCGGGTATCAGAGAAATGAGGGCAAACTGCATCATGCATAATCGCTCGCAGTGGGAACCAAAGAAAAGAACCTGACACTGTTAGCTCGGCTGTAGATAACGATGTGGGGAGGTACCTTGGGCTGAAGTAGAGCGCACTTGAACAGAACCAATGTCTGCCACTTGAACTCATGTATGAGTTCACGAAGCGACAAGCCTAGCTGGTCAGCATCCCTTTACTCACTAGTTGTATCAACCACTCACCAAAATCTTGATCAGCTTGTCCTCCTTGGTTCCTGAGGAACTGTGGTAGACTCTCCTGAAATCTTTGTAGGATCTCGATGTCCGTAAAGTCCTTCTGCGCAAACCAGGCCGCAGTGACGACGCCTAGTTGTGCCTTGATCGCACCGAAGCACTGCGGACGATCGCTGATCACCACAACCGCCTTTTGTACCGTACTCCTAGTTACGTCGGCGGGTCGGTCAATCAATTGACTAGCATCAAGTTGCCTCGTGCACGATATGCCAAAGAGTGAGGTTGCGGGGTGGGTGTCGGTGGCTGCGCGGCGGAGCGTGAAGTAGGAGTAGTCCTCTATTGAACTGTATAGGATGTCTTAGCCCTCAAGAACGCTTTTGGGTTATGTTTGCAAAAGAACGGACAGGCTGCAGGGCATACATACGCATGCGCACCATCGCTCAGGGCCATGAATGGCAGTAAACCCCAGTCATTCTCCGTCGCTGGATCGGTCCCTTCTTCTGCACCTAGCCAGAGCTCGACTTCGGGGCCTCTGAACATGTCGTTAGCTTCATTACACACACAACACATCCACAGCCTCCGGAATGATTCTCAGGCAGCGTGCGTCCCGCTCTTTCGCGATCAAAGGGCGCTCACCTCGCATGATGGAAGTCTACGACACACACAAGAGGGTCGAGCGCGGCCATGATGATCGTCACGTTTACGTCTTGTCGCAAGGAAGCTGGAAGTACAGTATCAGGGAGCCATCAGCGAGGCTCGCGTCCTCGAGGTTGCGGGACGCGAACGAGGGTTGCGGTGACGAAAGTCCACCGTTTGTCCCTCAGCCTTATGAGGCTAGGCTGCATCTGGACGAGCGCCTCGGCAGTCGTCGATCGGTTTGTGTAAAATCCCATGAACGACAGGACCTTCTCTCTGACGTGTCCAGAGCTTGTACTACTTCAGAGCTGCTTACACCTTCGTGTTAGTTCGTCCCTCGCGAAGCTTGCATGAGAACCTGGTCATAACTAGCCATGCTAAGAAACAACACAAATGCATTTACATGTTATCCCCATTTGATTGACTTTGCTACCTAAGTGTGATGTTCCCCCCACGTGACAAGTCCATGCATACCCGCAAGGGTGACCCAAGACTCCAAGCCACCGCCCCGTCTACCAGTTCACAACCGTATCCGTCCCTGAAGTGAGTTTCATTAAGAGAAAACTGAATGAACCGCCTATGCCAGGCAGTTTGTAACACCAAGCCTACGCAATGTTGGCCTTTCGCTCCGAGAATGGGATTCGTGAATGCACAGCGCTCGTTTCGATTTCATCACTTTTAGCTTCCGCCGTTCTCTCCCTCCTGTGCAGCGGCGTCCACATTGTGGTAATCGAGAATTTCAGAGTACCTGCACATGGTTAGCCAAAGACCTCAACATCTACGCAGGCATGAACTTACATCATGATTTTCCATGTGTCAACGGGAAGATCAGCATCGTTAAATGACCAATCGAACTTCTCCTCAGCAACTGGTTCGTCGGTCGGGTCGTGGTAAGGCGCAAGGTATGGGTGAGCAAGTGCTTGCTCCGCTCGTACACGCTTCTTAGGGTCAAAGACGAGCATGTTCTCTAACAGATCGACAGCTACCAATTGTTAGTTAGTCTCGGTAAATAGCTCAAAATACAGAGGACGTACCGGCTGGCTCAGCATTCTTAAACTTGTTGGCCAAGGGTTGTCGCTCGCGCTTAGGTAGCGACTGAACGAAACGGAGAGTCTGGACAAAGTCAGCAAAGTTCAGCATCCGGGTTCACAAAATTATTCTTACGTTCTCACTGCAGATGGTATGGATAACGTCATCCGGAGGAGTACCCAGCAACTCCGTAATGATGGAGAATTGGTTCACGTGGTCCTTTCCGGGGAAGAGCGGCTTGCCCTCGAGCATCTCAGCAAAAATGCAACCCGCACTCCAAACGTCAACCTCCACGTCGTACTTCTGCCACGTGAGCATGATCTCTGGTGCTCGGTAGTATCGCGTGGAAACGTATCCTGTCATCTGAGGGTCTTGTATACGGGCGAGACCGAAGTCACAAATCTTAAGATCGCAGTTCTCGTTTACGAGGATGTTGCTAGGCTTCAAGTCACGGTGGACCACACCAGCAGAGTGGACGTATTTCAGACCACGCTTTGTAGGTCAGCAGAATCCTCATTGTTCCGCGGATTGGCACCTACGAGGATTTGGTAGAGGAAGTATTGGATGAACTGCTTCTCCAGCGGTCTGGAGGTGAGCAAGCGGTGAAGATCAGTTCCGAGCAACTCGGTCACGAAGTAGCTACCAAGATTAGCGCAGGACCCTGTGTGGCGGAGCGAGTTCGGCGTACATGTCCTCCAGCGGAGAGATGAAGATGTCGCTCAAGCTGATGATCTGCCCCACGTCAGAATTTGCCTTTGTTGTATGTTTTATCGGGAGTGCTAACGTTCTCGTGTCTGAGATGTTTGAGAAGTTTCAGTTCGCCGGTATGTGCGCTTTGAAAGAACGGGCGTGCTGAAATGGCTTCATGATCTTCTTGATGGCCACGGCCCTGGCTGGTGAGCTGGTCCTTCGCCGAGCTGCGCGTGTATGAGTATGCAATTGTGCCACATCGTGGGGGTCCTCAGACATACCAGACGAGCCCAAAGGCTCCCATGCCCACGGGCTGCAGGTCGGTGTACCTGGACAGGGTCAGTAATGCGCGCTCGCAGGATGTGGGGTATGCCGCACCTGCTCGTGATTTCGAAGGTCGTGCCAAAAATCTGGGCGCGCACGAATTCAGCCATGGTGGATTATGTCCGTAGTGGTCCTGCGACAGTTGGCGGATGGGGATGTCTGTGGAGAAGGGTTGGGTTTGGGTTGGTGGTGGTGTAGGTGCGGTCGGAGAAGGCGCAGGTCAACAGGTTTGCGCGGTGGGCAGACCAGACAGGGCAGGCGGCGGATTGGATCGGTGGGGAAGGCCGCTAAGAGAGGCGAGAACAGAGACAGTGCCGGGCAGATTTGACAGTGGTTGGAGTCGACGGTCTACCGAGGGACGCTGCGGGACTGTCGAGTACGGTGCTGCGCGGTGCCTGGCTTGGGTATGCTGCTTGACGTGGTGAGATACAAACACGCTCGGCCCCTCGTTCCTCCTTGCCGAGCAGATGGGGAACACAAAGATAGGCGCAGAGGGATCGAGGCTCTAGGAGACTGAGATGGCACTGCTGATCACTGCCGGGACAGGGAGACACGGTGATGGTAGTATGAAAGCAATTTGAGGGCTGGAGGAGGGGCACGCGGAAACAGGATGGCGATGACGTATTGGTTCGCGATCTCAAATTTCCATCATTGCTGGCGGTCCGTGCAGACCGCTTTTTTACATGGCTGGCATTGCATTATTATTACACTTTCAAGTTTCAAGGCACGGCGCTGGCCAGCCTGCTTGTTGGCGTCGCGTACCCCTCGCACTCGTATCGAGACTTGACGCTGACAGCACAGGCTGGTGCACAGTGCCTTTCGGCTGAATCATCCCCTCCAGCATCCTGCGCCAACACTCACGTTCCAATGATAGTGAACAGTCGGAAGTCGGCGAGCGCGACGCTATGTTGCCGAACGAAGGAAAAGCCCGCATTCTCTGCATCTCTGTGGGACCGCCAGTCGCCACAGACGCTCGCAGCAGTTGTGGCGGCGAGCTGGTGCAAAGTCAATGCCTCCAATCGGCGGCGTGTAGTCCGCTGGAAGTAGCGACATTGCACATGCCAGAGGCCCAGCTACATACGCTACGCACTGTCGAGGTACGGCTATCTCGTCGGGCGCAAGTCACATGATGCGACTCGCAGCGTGTCCCACGGCCGTGGGTGAGGCGTGAGTTTGAGACGGCCACACTGCAAAACATGCCAGACCCCGACATAGTCCACGGATCGCTGAACAACGTGGACGACAGCTGACAAGTTGGGGTGTGCAGCCGTCTTGGAACACCTCATGACCTGTATCAGGGGACATGGTCGCGGCCCGTACGTTTCAAGGCTGATGCCGAGTCGTTGCGGTAGGCGGAAAGCTGGTTGGAGATGCGCTTCTTGATGAGAAAGGTTTGAGGAGGCCCACCGGGTTGCGACAGAGCAGCAGTAGATATGCTGGCGTCGCACAAACCGAATACTTGGAAGGCTGTGGGCAGGCTGACTATCGCGGAGGTAGCCCCTGGGGCTGGGACATGTGGGAGCATGGCGAGCCATTGGAGAACGTGTGGTTCTTAATATAGATACGAGATCGATGAGTGGGTAGGGCCTGGCAAGTGTACGTTCAAGTAGGAGTACGGTGCTGGCGGAAGCGGTGCTTGCCAGGACCCAGGGCTATGGGGACTTTTGGGTACTTGTATGTACTTGACTTCACGTCGGTATATAACATACTGCACAGCCGCGATGGTGGTTGCAGGGTGCGTGTCGTCGAGGACCGGCGGATAGCAACGCCCAAGTCATCTCTCGGGACGGGTCATGTACAGCCACGGCTTCATGCCTTTTGCACGGATTGATGGGGGCTAGCGGGCAACAGCCCGATCGCTCCTGCCCTTCAGTAGTTTAGGAGTGGGAGTGGGAGTGGGAGTGTAGTAAAGTAGCAAAGTAGGATAAGTAGTAGTGTAGTAGTGTCACATAGACGGGCGGCCCTGTCAAAGCACGACGGCAGACGGCAGACGGCATACGGCAATTCAGCAGGCCAGCACCAGCACCAGCACCGGCACCAGCACCAGCACCGGCACCAGCACCAGCACCGGCACCAGCACCAGCACCGGCACCAGCACCAGCACCGGCACCAGCACCAGCACCGGCGTGCTCACTAGGCTGTCGCTCCCAGAGTTCCAGACGCGCATCTGCTTCAGGCGCTACTTTGCACGCCCGCCGTCGCAGCGAATGTAATAAAAGATCCATCGGGCGCGTGGGGTCCGTGCTCTCACCGGGGTTGACGAGGAAGGCGCAAGGACGAGGAAGGCGCAAGGACCTGCGCGAGTGCACACTACGCACCCACTTGCAGCCAGCACCACCCCAAGGTTCACATAGCCGTGCATCCACCGTCGCCGTCGCCGCCGTCGCCTGTCGCCCGTCCACGCCTCCATTGCGGCACCCACGACGCTGGCGGCCCCCTCCTGCGCCCATCGACGCTGCGAACCCCTTTGACGGGAGCTGTTTGGCGGATCGAGCCGACGGACGGAAGCGTCAACACTGCTCGACCACGTCGCAGCATCGTCACGCGCAAACAACCGCGCTGGAACACTGTCTCGACGACCGCCCCGCGACCAACCGTCACGACCGTCACGGCTCACTCCCTTGCGACGCCCTGGGCCTAGTGTCCATCACCCTCCCCGCCCGGCCTCTCCCTCCTCCCTCGTCCCGCGGCCGCGAGCCGCAACGCACCACCGCCAGCATGGGCATCTGCATGAGCACCAGCAACGACGATGTCGAGCAGAAGAAGCGCAGCCAGGCCATTGACCGCAAGCTCGAGGAGGACTCGCGACGATTACGGCGGGAATGCAAGATCCTGCTGCTGGGTAAGCTGAGCGCTGACGAGCGCAGCCATGGGCACCCCAGAGCCACAGAGCCAGATTCACAGAGCGAATGCTAACGCGCCACAGGCTCCGGCGAGAGTGGCAAGTCGACCATTGTCAAGCAGATGAAGATCATCCACCAGAACGGCTACACCCAGGAAGAGCTCGCCATGTACCGCCTCACCATCTACAAGAACGTCATCGACTGCGCCAAAGCCCTCATCTGGCGCCATGCGCCAATTCGAGATCCAGCCCGAGTCGCCGGGCAACGACGAGTTCTGCAACTACCTGGTCGACTACACCGTCGACCCCGACCCCGAGAAGCCGCTCGACATGCGCGTCGGACAAGCCATAACCGCCATGTGGCGCGATCCCTGCATACCAAAGGTCCTCGAGCACTCGAGCGAGTTCTACCTCATGGACTCGGCCCCATAGTACGTTGTTGTTGTTGCCGCCTCGCATCCCGCCTTCTTGCCTTGCTGACAGTGACTGCAGTTTCTTCGACGAAGTCGAGCGGATATCAGACCGCGACTACATACCCATCGAGTCGGACGTCCTGCGAGCGCGTACTAAGACGACCGGTATCTACGAGACGAGATTCACAATGGGCCAGCTCAGCATCCAGTACGTGCGCCGTGTTCAAACGGACCTCAGGGCGCGTCGGGCTAATATGAAACAGCATGTTTGATGTCGGGCGGCCCACCGAAGCGAGCGCAAGAAATGGATACACTGTTTCGAAAACGTCACATCCATCATCTTCTGCGTGGCATTGAGCGAGTACGACCAAGTGCTGTTAGAAAGAGAGCTCACAAGTACGCGACCAACATGACTCGCTGCTTCCTCTACTGACTCGCAAACACAGAACCGAATGATGGAGAGCCTCGTTCTATTCGACTCGGTTGTCAATAGCCGGTGGTTCATGAGAACCAGTATCATCTTGTTTCTGAACAAGGTCGATCTCTTCAAGGCGAAGCTAGCGCGATCCCCGCTGGGCAATTACTTCCCCGACTACTCTGGCGGCAACGATGTGAACCGCGCCGCCAAGTACCTCCTGTGGAGATTTAACCAAGTTAATCGAGCACATCTCAACCTATACCCTCAGTAAGACGCCCCTCCGAGTAACCGTTCGAATCTCTAACCTGCCTAGCCTTACACAAGCAACTGATACCTCCAACATCCGCCTCGTCTTCGCCGCCGTGAAGGAAACGATACTACAAAACGCCCTGAAGGACTCGGGAATTCTATAAAACCTCGCGCCACATCGATCGCTGTCCATACCGCGTACTCCTCCTACCCACTACATAATACACGAGCCCTTACGATCATTGCCTGGTCGTGCCATTTCTATGCACATTTTCGGTCACGACTCAGGATTTGGGAGATATCATTGCCTCTAGCCATTCACCAGAGCGCAGCATTGGAGTTTCTTGGCGTTTTAAGATTCCCTGGGGATACTGTTTGGCTACTTCCGGTTATTGCAACATTACCACCCTGGGCGTCATTCCAGACGTCCCAGTCGACCATTTTTCTTCGTTTCCTTGCATGCTACACGCCCCATCCGTCGTCTTCATTTTTGCGGCCAGAAGAAAAGTTGAATGCGGGGATGAATGTCCTCCTATATACTATTGTGATTACATTCCGCAGGACCTGTACGCTATAGTCTCTCCTTACGATGTCTCTGTTTCTCTTCTACGAACTCCTGGCACTGGTCTGGTTGCGCAGACGTACGACCACATGCGCTCAATCTTATCGAAGAAACTGCGACCCTAAGTCCCCCGCCGCGCGCACAAACAAGGTTGTTTCGCACGTTGGCTTTGCCCTTGTTACAGCACCGTCAAACAGTCTGGAATCGAAAGACTTGTTCTCAATTGTTGCAATTTGTTTACGTTTGTCGCGAATATGCTCCATGCCTCGCCTTTGAGCGGCACGAGTTTCCATGTTTTTTTTGACACTGTTGGATACGGGTTGCGTCTTGGATATGTGCGCAGCTCATCCGGAGATGGCGGTTCGCCCGAAAGACAGGCAGATATATCGAAGAGAATCTATTCTTCAACTTCAAAGCAACTCACGTGACATGTAACATATGCAATGAGTAGCGCGCGCATGTAAATGCGAGGTAAATCCGGTGGCAGGGCTCACAGGCTTGGCAAAGTGAAATTGATTAACAGGGTGTAGGGCGGTCCGAAGATCGAGGCTGTCAGATTAACTGTTCTGCTTTCAGCCATCCCTGTCTCACTTCAGTGATAGAATGCGACCATATATGATCGATTCGAAACGTACCCTTATCTCTATTAAATCTGAGAACGTCACAGGCGCTGGACATACGATGAATGCGTCGGATACCGACCTCACGCGGAAGACTCTGCAGTGTCCTATTCGTGCAGATTGTATTGTTGAAGTGGACTTCTGGATATTCTCAAGCAGGAATATTTCCGAGACTGCTTTCAAGAGGAGGGTTAGAGGCAGCAGTCCTCTCTGATACCCATGTTGAAATCAAAGAACCGCCAGCGACTCATCCGATGGCACTGGTCTCCCGATTCTTGCACCTGGAAGTGCACGAATATCTGTATGGCATTTACGTCTTTGTTGTGAGAATGTATACTGAATTTTTGGCTTCGCTATGTAAGTATACCTAGGTGCACAGGCGTATGTTAGTCTCAACCTTGCAGTGATTTCGCATTTGCGCAGTGACGAGAGTGATCATGCAAGACAGGCGTGTTGTTTCAATTGACGTCGGGATTGAGGACCTCGAGCCATCGGATGGCAGCAGTAGACCCTAGAGTCGCTACCTAGGTGATGACTGCCAGGTGAACAGGTGACTAGAAATACAATCCTTCTCCACAAGGCTGAATGCACGTATGACGTCTCACACTGATGACCAGGAAGCAGGGAACACGTGTAAGATGTGTTCAAGTCCGTGGTACTCACACACTCGGACTCAAGAGGACGATCGCCCCGGAGACCGGACAGCCACTTCTGTCGCTAGTTACATCCCAGTCCGATCCGATCTCACGAGTGGAAAAGCCAGACTGTCCGACTTCCGATGTATCTGGCATCAGGTCATCCAGGTTTAAAAAGAAAAATGCGACGTCCAATATCATCAAGGGTCCGATGGACCCATGATTCGTTTCTATTAGCGGTTCCACACAGATGCTGGCTATAGGTGGCGATACGCACGAAACACGGGAACGAAGATATGCGCACTGGAACCCAAGCATTGATAAGCTTTGCAGCTAATCGGTCAACACTTTCGTCCAGCGTGGGATGTCGAGCGGCTTGCTCGGATGGCGCCGTCAGCGTTGGTGGCGTATCTCACCTGAGCATCACCAGATGGCGAAAAGAATATGCATGTGCTGGAAAAAAACTCGCCAGAAATATGCCTGAGAAAAAGTTCATTGATAAGGCTAATTGTAGTAACTCAAGTGAGAATCAAATTGTGGTGTTGAAGACAATTCCCCCAAGCGCCCGTCCCTGCCCCTGCCCAAATCCTGCCGTGAAGGGTCTTTTTGTTGGCTTTGACTTTTAATGCAAAGAGATAAAAGGAAATTCGTAATCTTCGTAGCATGAGTCTTGTGCTGCTTCGCTTGGGAATGCATGCTTTGTGTTGCGCTTTCGTAGCCAGCTAGTCTGCGCTCTTGTACAACGCTCTCTAGCTTAGTAGCCACCTGCACCCCTTGACAATAGCGTAAGTAACTACTCAAACACCCTGTGTGTGAAAAAAGAGAGCTCTACCTGTTGGACAAGAATGCGGTCCTGGCAACGGGGGTCATGTCCGCAATGCTCGGCGGAAGAACCGCGTGCTTTGCGTTAAGCGCCAGAGGAGTGAAGCTCCTTCGCTGCAAGGACTGGGCTAGCGGCAGCGACGGTGGGGGGAGAAGATGGCGCGCTGCTAATGGCATCCTCGGAGATGCTGCTGGTCGTGCTACTAATGGAGGCGTGGCGCGGAACGGCAGCTGGCCGGTTGGAAAGAAACCCGTGATCAAACTGCTCGGACTGAACGGCGGCGGTGGCAGCGTCGATGGACCCGGACTTCTTGAGGGGAGTGTTGACAGCGAGAAAGTTGCGGGGCATCGGGATGTGGTACGAGGAAGACATTGCGCCAGGTTGGTTGTGTTGTGGTGTTGTGTGGGTGGGAGTTGAGTGGTAAAGGTATAAGTAGTTCTTTGTGGTTGAGGTGAAAGGAAGAAGTTGTTTGTTGGTCTGGGAAAAGAGGGCAGCAAGGTGGGCGGCGATTTATATGGGATATGTCGAAGCTAAGGGTGCGTCGAAATTGTGGAGTAGCCCCAGAGTTCCAGAAGTCGACTTATGCGTAGTAGCACCAGCCAGGGTTCACTGCGCCAAGGTATCCCGCTTAATCGTGGGTCCAAGGGGTGTGCGTGGGATAGTTGCGTGTGTCAGATGACCAATATGACTGGCTAGCCTGAATTTCGTGCGTTCACCACGGACTGGGATCTGTCTACCTGCAGCTGGCGGACACTGTTTCTGCAAGCCGGCCAGATTATGCAGTCAGATCACAAATGCAACGTTCAACAAAGCCCAAGAATGCAGGCAAACTGTGGAGTTGTGGATCCGAGGCGTGGCCTGGCAATGCGCGTAGAGAGCAGTACGGAGGGCAAAGTTGCAGCGCGGGATGTCGCGCAGTGCTCTTGGCTGTGAAGCTTTGGTGTCGCACCGTCCGTTCCTACTGGTGCGGCGTGCAGGACGATCTTCCGCTATGTGAGATTGTCCCTACTTGGTAATCTGATCGTCGCTGGAGACTGGGCGGGTGCGTGCTTGTTCCAACTGCGTAAGCTATTGAGTGTGTTTACGTGGCGGCTAGTCACGAAACAATAACCCAAGTTCTTGGGGTTTCGACAATCCCAATTAATGAGACCGCTTTGTTGGTGGCAGTGTGCTTGGCGGAGACTGTTGGCAATTCTTGGTGTAGATCTCCGTGTATTAAAGCCTTGTATAACAATGTGTGAGATGCAGAAAGGTTTACGAATATCGGGGCGGTGGTGTCCGTGCGATAGATAACGCTGTTTTAAGATCTCTTGGTAGTAGATCAAGGTTGCTTGGCGCACTGTGGCGGGAAGTCTGACGCGACAAGGTGGATAGCTGGTGATACAGGGTGCACAGTGGGGAGTAAACACACAAGAAACAAAGTCGAGACCAGTGGGGGACAATGTGAGGAGGGCGATTGTTTTTGAGTAGCACGACTCGGGCTAGAGGGCTGTTTTCGGGAGCACTCGATGGAATTGGGTAAGGGTTTCCGAGGTCCAGAGATGCAGATGGATGCATGAAGCAGACTCAACTCCTCGATATTATAGGTAGAAAACTGAGATTGACAGAGAGGGGAGAATCTCAGCTTACCGATGCGGATCCACTCGCGGTTGGCTTCCTTAGCACAAATAAGACCGAAATTGTACGCGCTAGAAGCCCGAGTAGGAGCGGGTCACAGCTTAGGATGCCCGCCACGTTGAGGCAGGCTTCATGCTCTGTGGTTGCAGGCTGTTGTAATTTCTGACGACGCATTGGTGTAAGAGTATGACGCGTGCGGCCACACGCCGCGACGAGTCTCATGCAATAGGCAGCTTTTCTGACATTGTCTAGGAACCCACCGTCATCGTCTGAAATTCGTCCGCTGAGTTTCCGCCGATTATTGCTGGCCATGTGAGCACTATTGCTTTTGACAAGGCTGGATGCAGATTCTAGCGAGCCGCGAGGGCGCGTGCTTTCGCATCGTGCGGGGGAAGAGAAGCGCCGCAGGCCAATCTGCCCCTGTAGTGTGTCTTTGGTAATTGTAAGCCGAGGGTAGCCTGTCCAGTTTGCACAAAACAGGTGTTGTTCTCTCGCGATGGCGCCATGGTGGGATGAAAAGGAGATGGACGAGCGGACGGGCGGGGTCGTGCAAAAATCGCCTAAGCTTCACATGAGGTCGGCTATCTTCCCCAAGCCAGGCCAACACTTTACTGTGAGTGCATCGTGCCTAGCCATCTACGACATATTCCTGCACGAAGATGCATACCTATGCAGTCGCCTTGCTGTCAGGGCAGGTCGAGGTACGCGCGGTCGACATGTCCCCCCACCATCCGGTGAGACGTCTGCAGGTCTGCAGGTGCCCAGACAGACTGTTCTTGTGGACATGAATCATGGCACGATATCCGTAATCCGTGAAAGCCTGCATTTCCTTGACCCACGTCAGTCGAGATGTGTGTTAGCCAAATCCAAGAGGACAGGGCATGTCTGCCAACCGGATACCCTGGAAGCCCGTGGCTCCATGTCAGCAAACAAGATGCGCGTGCGTTTTGAGAGGACACATTCCGACTACTCCGTGGAAAGACCCGGTTCGGACGGGCCAATTCTTCATCTATGGTAGGCGGGCAAAGAATTATGGGAGCCGCGCTTGTATTCGCGATGCAATAATCGCCTCTCCTGCTCAGCCAGCTGCAAGCTCAAAGCTGGCTTACGCTTGATACCCCATTCGACACCCTAAGTAGACGTCGGCTAGTGCCGAGAGCCCAAGCTTGCAAATGCGGCGAGCCACTCTATTCAGTACAAGGATCCATGCTGCGGGAGCAAGGTGGTGGCCTCTTGAGTAGCCGGTGATTAGCAGGGCCGTTTACCAAGTTCGTGCTACCACCATGGGTGCACCCGTGTCAACGCCATCCACGGCGATCCAGATGCACCTTTGTTAACACTTATGTATCAACCCAGTAGGAGATAAGGACACTTGATAGGCGATTAAGCATAGTCATACCGTTGTAATGTTGCGCAGCAAGCGACGCTCAGGTCTACTGTGTAGGTAGAATCATGCTCAAGCGTGAGTGGAGATTGCCGCTGTTGACCGGACCTCCAGTCGATCAGTTGCTGATACATGACAGCGGCAGTTGCAGTAGACCAGGAACAGTATAGATTTGCGATGGCAAAGGATGCGGGAGGTAGATATGCGTGTCAGTGATAGGCCATCTTTGTTGTATCAGTGCAGTGGATTTACTTCAATAGCCCAGCAGACTTGTGTGTTTCTCTGTAGAGCATTGCCGTGAGCGTACTCAACGTGCTTCCATATCGCTTTCAAGGTGGCTCAAATTGATGGTAGCTAGGTGCACGTGAGACATTAGCGCATTAGTGATCCCTAGTGTGATCGGACGTCAGTCGCCGATGCCTCCCTCCACCACGACTCCTTCTACATCACCACCTTGGCATCTAGCAGCAGTCTTCTCATTCTGGTCTTTCTTAATGCCCCTTTTCTTGCTGATGTGGCCTCCCTTCCCTTTGACGTATGGTTGACGATGCACAAAGTTTAGCAAAGGTCTACCACGACTAACTTGCTTTCTTAGACTTTAAGCTGCTGCGGGTTTGCTAAAATGACTGAGTCTACGATATGTTAATGTTTGATAATATAGTCCCTTCAGCAAAGGAACGTAAAATCGTACCATCGCATTGCAACGCGTTGTCCGCGTTTGTCGATCTCTGCAGCGGATCCTACAAACAAACGCAGTGCATGCAGTCAAATCCATAATTTCCCTATCCTTCTCATCCCTTCTCCACTGTCGGTTCTTTTCTTCTTCTGGTAGAGATGTACAAACGCAGTCCTAGAGAGACATCATGCATCTTGTGTCATCGCAAGCAGCTAGCTGTTGCCACCAGTCCCAGGCTTCACTACACTTACGCAGCTGCCGCCTCTTCAGTAGCTCCTCTCTCGGTTGCTCTTATCTCTCGTGGTACCGAGAGTATCGGGTACCGACGATGTGGCTCAATTGGCGCATGCGCAAGAACGGGCTTCGACGGTCGCCCGAAGGCCGCACCTGTCTTACACATCCACCCAAAACAGAATCATGTTGCGCAATAACGAGGCATGCTCTCCCAAAGTCCAAACTGTGCTGTTACATCTTGCTTATGTATTGTGTTTCCACTTTCTTTCCGGGCAAGCTTGCTACAGTGAAGCTTGCAGCAGTCAGCTACAAACGCCGCTCTGCTGTCACCTCATCTTCATCGCGTCTTTTGTTTTGAAACACGCTCTCTTCACCTTCACCACAGCAAACAGACTTCTGCCTCACCGCCGACCCGGGGACGCGCCGGCGGCCCAAGCTCACTGTCGCTACTATTTAGTCAAGGCCTCGCCCGCACTCTCATTTTTGCTTCTCTACCCAGCCCGCTACCTTTCTTTCCTACCCACACGATACACTGGTTCACATTCCTTCGGATAGCATCATACGAAGCACCGTTAAGCACATCATGTCGCTCAACAACACTCCCAACAATCTAGGTAAGCTCCAGCGGTATTCCGCGAAAGTATCACACGTTCTGACACCCCGCAGTCGCACTCGCAGGTGTCGGTACGGGCACCGGTGGGGGCAAGAGGCCGGCCCAGTTAGCAGTAAGTCCTCTCTTTTCCTGAAAATGTACCACAGCTTTAAACGGTTTACGACTAGCCGGTGTGCAACATTCCGCTCGAGCTACTCCACGAAACCATGTCCTACCTCGATCGAGCCGAGGTCAATCAGCTGCGCAGCACCTGCCACCATTTGGACTACAAGATCTGGTCAGATAAGCTGCGCAAGCTCACCGTGGGCAGGACGCTATATGCCACCGTCGCCAACTTGGCAAACTTTCTAGGTATGTTGAACACGTTCGCCCCGCGCGGCGTGAGCGGAGAGGTCAAGGAACTTTGCTTGGTAGCGGATGGAGTGAAGTCACCTGAGCATGGCTATGGTTGGGCTTGGGAGAACTTGTTGCATATGGAATTGGTTGAGGTGGATGCGAAGGGCGAACTGCTACCCGCCAAGATGGCGACGAAGGACGACTTGCAGATCATCAAAGATGCCACCATGAGGCACACCAACTTCGCCAACATCAACAACGGGTTCATCAACAGCGGCGGATATCGCGCGATGCTCACTGCGATCTTGATCGCCTGCCCCAACCTCGACGTCCTCAACATTCGCAAGCTCAAGGTGAGTCTTCTCATTCATTACAAGACGAGCACATTTGATATGCTAACCCATTCGTTAGCCCGACGAGCATCTGCCTGGCTGGTTCGAGACTGAGAAATTCGAGAAGTTGTCATTCTACAAGCCTGGCATGAACACCAAGGATATCTTCTACGGCGACTGGCAGTACGACACCGTCCACGGCAGGGTCACTCACTACACTGATGATTTCGGCGAAGCCATTGTTGAGCCCAATGCCGGTCCTCAGGCCAGCTTCATCGACGACCTCAACGCTGCCGTCACCGCCTCCGGTCGTGCCATCACCACCAACTTCATTCGCGGCTAAGCTCGCACACACCAGATGGCACCAATCTAAATTGGCGTTCAGGTTTCTCACTGCTGGATTTTTCGATTTGTAGGAGTATTGGCGGGAAGGATCTGGCATTGAAGAAACACGGCGTTGGCGGTTGATGGATGATGAGAACCAAGAGTTCTGGGATGCGATACCCCGATTTGTCTTTTCTGTACTCTCATTGATGGCCGTTGCCTATGTTGCAACTTGCGGGCTTGAGTAATTGCGAGTCACTGTTTACATACTCCACCCATGGGTTGTTACACGATTTCGCAGCTGTTGCTGCATCTGGGTCTTTCGGACTTTGAGTTCTCGGAATCATCTTTTCGGAGATCATTCTCAGGGCTTAGTACGCTGAATAAGAATCCCACCTACTCCAACTTACTGTCTTGGTGATACTGCAGTGCCTCATGTGTCTCTTGTTGTCACCGTCGCCGCCAGACCTGGCGTCTTCGCATATCGTCGGATGCGCGTCAATAGCTCACCGTCAAGCAATGAAGTACATGTAAGTCTCGCCGAAGCGTTCACAGGTTCAAAGTCTTCAAGAAGGTCCATAAAGACGCCTTCCGTGCTTCAAGTGTTACTTGTAGAGGTCTAGAGGACTCGCGATGCGAGCTTCAATTACCGTGCTATTGCCTAACATGCTCATCATGTCCCAAAAGCAAATGCCACCCAGTTCTTCCCCAGCTGCTTCACACCCTCTTCCAACCCCCAACCTTTGATTCTGCATATCCTCCTCACGATATCTTCCAACCGCCTGTCCATCTCATCTCCTGCCGTATGCAAGTCGCTCTCGACAAGCACCATGTGATCCGGTACCGTCTTGATAATCTCCTCAAACGACGCTGGCGTCTCATCCTCCATCGCATCCGACAGATTGATCGCAGTACTGAACGACGCAAAGATCTGCGCAGGTATGGCCGGATTCAAGTACTGTTTGAAATTCGACGCATTACCAGAATACGAATGCAGACATATCCGCGGCGGATATGGTTTCGGCTCCCAGCTCGACTGCTCAGTGCCAGACATGTCGGCCTCGACAGACGGATGGTCCTGTCCCCGTTTCTTGCGCTCGCGCTTACTCAGGATTTGTTTCTCGTGGCCTTTCCAGAGCTCCTGCAGCATTTCAAAGACGGCGCCGTGGGCTTGCACGCCGTGTACGCTGACGCCTCGGCCCATCTCGCCCGCGAGGCGCAGCTGCATCTGGCAGATCTTCCTCTGGTGCTGCGGACTGCAGCGGAATGGCGTGAGGCGCCGGCCTTCACGACCGCCTGGAGTCAATTTGTGGTCTCGCCGTGCCCAGAGGTCAGGGTTGTCAATCCAGGACTCGGGAATGCGGAAGGAGCGGTCGAGTCCGATTTCGCCTACCAGTGCGTACGGGTAGCGCTCTAGGTGCTGTCTTGTTTGCATGAGGAAGTTGGAGAAAGGTGTTGGGTCTGGTAGCGATAAGAATATCTGGCGGTCTTCTTCGCTCGGGTCATCTCGAGATGGGAGAAGAACGCTCTCAGGTAGTGCGTGATCTTTGCGTCACCCGTAAGAGTCCCTTGATTCGTGCCGTCCCCGTCTCCTTCCTCTATGTACATTTGATGTGAGAACCATGGATGCCATCCGAAGCACGGTACTATACATTCTTCTTGAGACCATTTCTCTGGATTGATTGACTTGACGCTGTGTTTGTCCGCTGCTGAAATGACAAGCTCCTGGTCTTCTCCACGGGTAGCCATGACAGTGAGCACCCGCGTCTTCATCTTTTGGATCGATTCAATGCTGGACATGGTGTCAGTTGGGTGGCAGTGCGCATCGTAGATACCCAAATGCCACGGGAACGCATCATCTTCGCTGCTATTGTTCCCGATTGTCTCTGCCGGCATGATGGGTACGCGAGTGTAGCTATTCTCTCCTCTCAAATAGCTATGTCTAGACGATTGTTTCTTTCCAACCCAAAGATCCCGTCCGCAAAAGTGCAGTTTTTGGGGGACTTATTAATTCGCATTCGGTATCGAAGATGACGTCGGTGCTACGCGGATGCAAATTGGGACTAGCTACCCCACATCCGAGGCCCTTGACCGCATCACTTGCGGGCACTTCAACGTACCGAAACCTTCCTGGGGATGGAATAGCTTTTCTCCTCAAACGAATATGTATGCTCCAGTAGCGTTTGCGTTGTCACATAACTTGCTGGATCTGAGAGTCACAACACACCTCCCACACTGCCTAGACTTTCAAGATCTTCAAACGCTCAATCATCTGCAATGATGTTAACAAAAAAGGCTCAGTATCAAACCATACTGATAATCAGCCAACACCATCTCCAGCATCCAGTGACTACAACACCAATGCCCCCCGGGTACAGCAGCAGGTACAAACTGTTACCCGCAGAAGCTCGCCGCTCCCACCTCCTCCCGGCCCTTCTCCCGCTCATGTGCACGTTAGATAAATTATTCCGTTACCTAGTTACGCATCTGGCCAAGCTCTGGCAGCCAATACCGTCGGACGGCATACATATAAACGATCTCTGCGTAGCACGAATCCTGAAGATTGGACCAACTCGGACATACCGAGGGTAGTCCGTGACCCCTCACGGGAAGTACACTTGTGGCCCACATGTGGCCAAGAGGGAATACGCCCTGTTGGAGTGGGGTACTTGAGGAGTAGATTTGGGCTATAGATAGTATTATTTATCTTCTGTCATTGCGAATTTCTTCAGTACTATTTAGCCCTGCTGTCGATAAAGCAGACAACCTCCCACAGCCCCATCTTAAGCAATCCCCCAAAGCCCTCATTCGCATCCCAAATATGCCCGGCCGACTCACCAACAAAACTGCCATAATAACGGGCTCCAGCTCTGGCATCGGCCGCGCCATCGCCCTCGCCCTCGCTTCCGAAGGCGCAAACATCGTCTGCAGCGACATCACCGAGACCTTCCGCCCCGAATACCGCACCGACTCGCTCTCCGGCACAACTCTCCAAGAAGTAACTAATCTCGGCGTGCGCGCCATCTACCAGAAATGTGACACCACATCCTCGGCCGAAGTCGAGAGTTTGGTCAAGAGAGCGGTGCAGGAGTTTGGGAGGGTGGATATTATGGTGAACAATGCGGGAATCGCAGTTGAGACGGGCGAGCATGGGAACCGGCCGATTTGGGATGTTGATGAGGAGGCGTTTGAGCGGACGATGCGGATTAACGTGCGGGGCGTGTTTTTGGGGGTCAAGTATGCTAGTCGGCAGATGAAGGATCAGGAACCTGGGACGAATGGGGATAGAGGGTGGATTATCAATCTGGCCAGCGTATATGGCTTGGGTGGGGGAGAAGGAGCGTGTCAGTATCCTTCACATTTTTGCTGCTTAACGAGCCAGTCTCATCATTATCGTAGCATCGTACATTACGTCCAAACACGCGGTAATGGGCATCACCAAAGCTGCAGCACACGACTGCGCTCCCCTACGTATCCACGTCAACGCGCTGTGTCCGGGATTTGTGCAGACGTCGTTCATCGCGGGCTTGTTGAGTCCCGAGGCTGAAGCAGTGAAGGCGGAGGTGATGAAGAAACACCCGTTTAGAGGTCTTGGGACGCCGCAGGACGTTGCGAGGGCGGCGGTGTTTTTGGCGAGTGAGGATGCAGGGTGGGTTACGGGCATTGGGTTGCCGGTTGATGGGGGATACTCGAGTATATAGTGGAAGATGATGAGTGTATCTGGAGTTGTTTTGGGAGGATCTGCTCATGTCCATTAATCTTTGGCTTCACACATTTGCTTCTCGCATCAACGCTCTTGATATGCAACTGTGATGACGCCGAGATGAGGACGTCGACGGCTTTTGTTTTCCGCATGGCGATGTTGTAGGGTGCTCATGTTGCTAACAATTTTTGATTGTTGCATCTGCATGTTAGGGAATCGACTGCGGCATCTTCCATGGTGACATCTCGCTAGGGACGGCTACTCGGAACGTCAGGACCCCTTTTACCCCACCAGTCCCAGATCCAGATCGACGCGATGTGGGATCCTGACTAGTTGTAGATTCGTGTCATGGTTCATGTATACCTGTTATAGCGTAAGTTATGAGTCTGCCCAGTAAGGCTCGCCCGTATACAGCGACAGTCTGGATCTAGTCAGAATCATGGCTATGACAAAACTTGGATGCTAGCTCAGTACGACTCGCTGTCATTATTTTTAGGTTCTTGTGTATGTATTGTTGTTGCCCCTCTTCGCCGTTTCTCAGTTCTTGCCCAGTGATAGGAAATATAGGATGTGCGCAACCATGCATGACAGAGAACACAATCGTGTCCGAAAAACGCCCCAGCGCCGTCGCTGTGCAGTGTACAAAGTGCAATGCCAGCTTACATTTACAGATCAAGGAGACTGTGGGCGAGGGTGGCGATTGCGAAGAATCGAGGCCTTGCGCCGGTGGACAGGTAATAAAGCAGAATGCAGAAATGTGGTGTCCTTCCTAGATGGACACGGAGATCAGTCTTGCGCTGATGCAACGAACATAGTGTTACATGGAATATGATGACAAAGAGTGTAGGAATGTATGGGTGTAGAGGTACTACCTGGCTACACGATGGATTAACCTGGAAAAGTTAGTAAAATGACGAATCATGGCCGATGGTTGAGTTGACTTACCTCAAAGTGCTGATTGTGAAAGTGCTGATCCACGCAAAGAGGGCAATCAACAGAGTCGCAGTCAAGGCTTTCTGGCGCGTGCAGATGGAACTGGTGTATGAGCAGACCTGATAGTTTGGGTCTTTCGAGTCTCGACATGCCCACTTCTCGTCGGTGAGAGCCTGGAAGGCTAGACTCAAGTTGGCGGACTCGAAGACAATGAATGCTAGGTCCAAGAAGATGAGGGACATCTTGGCGTTGTGCGAACGTAGGCCGAGCGGCTTCGAGGTGTACTCGTCATAGGTGATGTAGATGGTATAGGCAATGGCGACTACGTCAACGATGATGGCCATCCAGGTGGACGAGTTGTTCAGGCAGAGGTTGGTGTTGGAGAGGTGGAAGATGGCACTAGAAAGTGAGAGTGCCATGATGGAGAAGACGAGAACAATCATACGGACGACAGCGGGCACCATGGGATGATTCATAATAGTCCTATGGAAGCGCATGAACTTGCGCTTCCGCTTGGCTGGGCTGAAGAGCCAGAAGCCTTTCATGAGCTCGTCGCCCTTGTCTTCGTCGATGGGCTCCCAGGGCGTTTCGAGGTCGGGCATGTTCTCCTTCATCCAGTCGTCGTCGACAATTTGCTGGCCTGTCCTGGACGAGACGGGGCGGTCGTGCTGGTCGCCGAAGTGGGAGGACGCCTGGGCAAACTGCTTCCACTTCTGGGCGCTGTCGCTCATTGGGGTGCCGAGGGTCACGGGGGCGCCTTCGCGGACATGGTCGAATTTGCGGCCGGGCACGTTGGACTTGGGCGTGGGCATGAAGTTGTGGCTCGCGGGACGCACCGAGGTGGGGGTGCGCGGCAGCAGGAGGGAGGTTGCGTCGGCATGCTCGTCTTCGTCGGCAGACTGGACCCAAGCTGGAGGCTGTTAGTGCCATGTTCATATTCGGGACATTTGCAAGACAGGATCAAGACATCAGCAAGACATTTCGTGGGGAATGTCTCGGGCTGGTGTTCCGGGCAAGACGGCGTCACACAGGAAGTCTTACGAGGAAGTGTCCGGGCATTGCGCTGCCTCTCCTTGTTCTCCGCGCTCGCGCTCAGGGTGCGGCTCGACGACGCCAGCGTGTGGGGAGTGCTCGACACGGACTGGCTGTGGCTCTTCCTGGCGGCGCTGTCGCTCTGGCTCTGGCTGTTGCGCGAGTTGCCCGAGACGGCGCTGACCCTCGACTGCGGGCGGTTGTGCGAGTTCACCGACGAGGCCGTGGGCGGCGGGATGGGCGAGGGCAAGAGCTGGCTGCTGTGGGTGCTGGAGAAGGACGGGTGCGTGTGGGTGCTCCCCTGGGCAGCTTCGGGGCTCAGAAAGGGCTGGGCGTTGGGGTGGCTGCCATTGTCGCTCTTCCTGCGCTCAGCCATCGACTTGCTCGTCATGGCTGGGTGGTGTGCGCTTGTGTGAGCCTGCGAGAGCCTGTGAGGGGCCGCCTCGTCGCTGTAGCGGGTCCCTTTTCACCTCGCAGACGGCGCGCCAGAGTCAAGCACGGGGAACCTGGCCTGCTTGGCGGTGAGTGAGCGACAGCAGCGTGTTACGTGGGCGCAAAGTAGACGACGCGCTGCCACAGCATGCCGGGAGACGGTAGACGGTGGGATGGCCCGGTGCTGCTGCTGCTGCTGCTGCTATGCTGGGACGTGGCTGGAGACGACTGGACTTGCTGGCCGACGTTGGGAGCGGAGCCCTGGGCCACTGGGCTAGGGACGCTTTCGACGTCCGGGCGCGGGAGATTAAGGTTGTCGATCTGGGTTGCCGTGAAACAGGGATATGAATGCTGAATGCTCCGCCTACACGTCATTAGCTCGACGCTTGCCGTGCATTTTCACTCACAAGCATTTCCCTCCTCCACACCACGCGCGGCATGATCTGCATCATGTTTCACCACATCATTGTTTGACTGCCAGCTTACCACTTGCGCCATTGTGCGCTTACATAACCGTCCCTGCGACCGACATCGACATCCACATCCTGGCCCGTGACAATGCGCCTCTTCCTCCTGCCTATATCGACGCGCCGCTCGCTCATCTACTGCGAAAGGGTCCACGAAAAAGCCCCCAAAGACCGCTCCGTCATCGACAAGGTCACCATCAAGGCGAACGAGACATGGGCCGCCTGGGAAAAGGACGAAAAGGCCGTGGGCAATTGGAAGAAGAAGGTCACCTTCTACGGTAACCAGGCGATGAAGAGGATACCGTACGAGGAGTGGGGACTGAAGACTCTGCCATCTCTGACCGCATCGCGGAAGCAAGCCATTCTGGATGGCAAAGAAAAATACGAAGTCCTGTTTCCGGGCCGGTATCTGAAGCAGGAAAAGCTGCCAGGCATCCTCGAAAAACTCGCCAAGGAGAGACAGCTCATGCACCGCAGCAAGCTGATCTGGAGCATCGTCATCATGCCCTTCACTGCACCCTTCATGCTTGTACCAGTTATACCCAACCTACCCTTCTTCTACGTACTGTACCGCGCATACTCGCATTGGACCGCACTGAACGGATCAAAATTCCTCGAGCATCTGCTCAAGCACAATCTGCCCACCCCGAAGGCGTCATGGGCGCTCGACGAAGTCTACACAGCCGGCCTCATGTATCCCACGCGTCAGCTGTCGCGAGCGGCACCAAACCCCACGGAACAGCAGGCCGAAGAGGTGGCGGCGGTGGTACACAAGCAAACCAACAACGAGACGAAAGACGTCATGGTACTGCAGCGATGGAATGGCAAGCTTATTGCCGAGCAGTTCGACCTACCAGATATGGAGGTCGAGATTGAGCGCGCCGTGGAGCAGGTCGAGACGTCAATAAAGGGCAAGGAAGAGCTCATGGAGGAGAAACTGGAGCTCGAGAGAGCAGCTGGCAAGACCGATGCCAGAGCCAAGGATGAGCTTCCTGAGCATATCACTGAGAAAATCCATGAGCAAGCAGAAAATGTCGCCGATAGGGCGAAGAAACAGGCAGAAGAGGGTGTTAAAAAAGCACAGGAGAGCAGCTAGACTGCTTTTGCTTGACTATACACGAGCGCAAACATTTGAATTGTACGATATAACGAAGTCAGGATACGAAGTTTGGAGTTGGCGGCAACATATATGTATACCCACATAGAAGCACGATGTCAATGTATCATATCCGCTCACATTCCAATACTCTCAAACCAGCAGATGGGCAACTTTGCAGCCCTTTCGACATTTGAACAGCCCCGGCAAGATCCAATAAGTGCATCGGCACTACCAACAACTTACTCGGCACCGGGACCGGCCCCTGCACCAGCCTTTGTCTCCTGCTATCCAGCTTTGAGGTACAACATCCACCCCCAGAAAAATCAGCAAATATTTTCCGCCAACATCGCCATCCATAAATACCACACCACCCTCACAGCTCCCTCCCGACAAACTCCTCCAACCTTTCCCTCCCCCACACCACCGGCCCATCCTCCCCATACAACGGATCAACCTTCAACCACTCCACACCCCCCACCCTCCTCGCCTTCTCCTCCTCCCCCTCTTTCCCATAGCACATATCCCAATAACACCCCTCCGGATACGCCCCAACCATCTCAAACCCCCCCACCCACACCCAAATCCTCCACCAACCGATGTCCCACGCCCGCTGGCACAACGATCGCATCCCCCGCGCCCACCTCCGCTTCCACTCTGCCCGGGTTCGAGTCGCCCGCCGAAGAGCAGCCGCGCGCGGCCTGAGAAGACGCACAGGATCTCGTGCGTGGTAGCTGTGGTAGTGTGTTGTTGTGTACATTGTGTAGCGCCATTGTGGGGTTAGGCCGTGCTGGGCCAGGTGGGATTCGAGGGTGGAGGGGGAAGTAGTGGGCGAGAAGGCCGCATGGTAGATGTAGAGGGGGTGCGAGTGAGGGGTTGTGTTGGGGAGGAGGGAGTGGGTGGGGATGAAGTGGGTTGAGAGGCGGAGGGAGTTGAGGGGGGTCAGGGTGAGTGGTGGCATAGTGGTAGAGGCCCGGATTAGGGGTTGAGTGTCAAATGGATGTAGAGCGACTGATGGGCTCTGGACGGGTGGTTTTGAGGCCTTTGGAGATTGAGATGGTGTCTTTCGATGTGTTTAATAGAAGACAGTGTCAGAAATGAACGGGCGGGACTCGAGCAACCGATGGAGTAGAGTTTCAGCCACAAATCTCGTGGTGGTAGGATTCGCCATATCCATGAAGCTGGACCGCTGAGCTGAATCCGAACGACGTCATCGCACCCGACGTGAGGATACTGACTTGACGCAGGCGTAGTAAGGTGACCGACAGGTGGTAGTTGATTGCGCTGCTACTGCGTACTCACATAATGTTTGTTGATCTAAATACTGTAGTTCATCCTTCATCTAGCTCGGGGTGGACTTGGGAATACTCTGGTTCGTAATCCGTCTCGCCACACCTAGACATTTCCGAAGACATCGAGCATGCGGTCGTCTGTGTCTTGGGATAAAAGAATTTCGATATTCACATTTCGTACACACGGACACAGCACCATCTTTCACAAGTGCATGAGCTGTAGGCGGTCACGGTGGCTAGCGCGTGAATTGCTACCTCCCCGCCAAGTCCTGCTGCCTGACTTCAACCATCGACGGTGATTCACAAAACGTCGCCGCCCGCACGTCTGGCTCCTTCACTTTGAATCTTTCCTTTCACCTCGGGCAGCCTGTCAACCGGCCACCAGACACGCCAAGCGAGCGGTAGCTAGTGCCGAATTGCATAACCACGGTCGCCCGCAGCCGTTGCTCTCCCACTCATCGCCTCCGCCTTGCACTCCGCACCTTCCACCCACGCTCACGCTCAACCTCACGCTCAACCTCAACCTCACAACCAACTGCCAAAGTTCAGGCGCGGCGACCTCTATTCCTCCTCTATCGACTTTACGCTTTCTTTCGCGCAAGAAGTCGCCGTCGAAGAGTGCCTCAGAGCACGCGACGACACCCAACATGGCCTCTGCATCCGCGACCACGTCTACGATGCCACCGGTCCCTGCAAAGGACGATGTGAATGCCACGTAAGTACAAAAAATCAACACACTACTCAAACCACCCCGCCCCCACTTGCGCTCTTGCTAAACTACGACAGATGGAAATACCTCGAAGCCGGTGTCGATAAGATCATGACCAACCTCCGCGGGGGCATGGACATGAAGACATACATGGGCCTCTACACCGCGATCCACAACTTCTGTACCGCGCAGAAGGCTGTCGCCGGCTCGTCATTTCACGCCGCTAACAACCGCGGTGGCGCACATCTTCTCGGTGAAGACCTCTACCAACATCTCATCGAATATCTCAAGACACATCTTCAAGGCGTCCAGGACGAGTCGCGGCAACATGTCGACGAGGCGCTCCTCACATTCTACATCAAGGAGTGGAATCGGTACACGACCGCCGGACAGTACAACAACCATTTGTTTCGGTACCTCAACCGTCATTGGGTGAAGCGCGAGATGGACGAGGGAAAGAAGAACATCTACGATATCTACACCTTGCACTTGGTCCGCTGGAAGGAGGACATGTTCACCGGCACCCAGGAGAGCGTCATGCGCAGCGTCCTGAAGCTTGTCGAGAAGCAGCGAAACGGCGAGACCATTGAGCAGTCACAGATCAAGTCGGTCGTCGACTCGTTCGTATCTCTGGGCCTGGACGAGTCGGACAGCTCCAAGTCTACTCTCGACGTTTATAAGGAGTTCTTCGAGAAGCCGTTCCTCGCAGCCACCGCTGAATACTACGACAACGAATCGAAGCAATTTTTGGCCGAGAACAGCGTGGTCGAGTACATGAAGAAGGCTGAGTCCCGCCTAGACGAGGAGAAAGAGCGCGTGCCGCTGTACCTGCTCAACGAGATCATGTCTCCTTTGATGCGGACATGTGAGCAGTCGCTCATTACCAACCACTCACAAGCTCTTAGGGAAGAATTCCAGATTCTTCTCGACCACGACAAGATCGACGACCTTGGCCGCATGTACAAGTTGCTTGCCCGCATTCCCGAGGGCCTGGATCCTCTTCGTGGCCGTTTCGAGACCCACGTCCGTAAGGCTGGCTTGGCTGCCGTCGACAAGATTGCCCAAGAGGGCGACAGCTTAGAACCCAAGGTCTACGTCGAGGCGCTCCTCGAAGTCCACACACAATACCAAGACCTCGTGAACAAGGCGTTCAACGGCGAGTCAGAGTTTGTGCGTTCCTTGGACAACGCCTGCCGCGAATTCGTCAACCGCAACAAGATATGTAAATCGGGTTCCAACAAGTCTCCAGAACTGCTCGCAAAGTACACCGATACTCTGCTGAAGCGATCGAGCGCAAAGATGAGCGAAGAGGACGATATGGAGAAGCTGCTTACACAGATCATGACAGTCTTCAAGTACATTGAGGACAAGGACGTTTTTCAGAAGTTCTACTCGCGCATGTTGGCGAAGCGTCTGGTACAGACTACCTCGGCTTCCGATGATGCTGAGACCAGCATGATATCCAAGCTCAAGGAGGCCTGTGGTTTCGAGTACACCAACAAGCTTCAGCGCATGTTCCAAGATATCCAGATTTCCAAGGACTTGAACTCTGCCTTTAAGGAGTGGCAGTCGAACAACTTGGACGAGGCTGACATGAAGACCAACGTCGATGCGAGCTACCACATCCTTGGAACCGGTTTCTGGCCGCTCAACCCACCCACCACTCCATTCACGCCCCCACAACTTATCGTCCAGACTTATGACCGTTTCGCCCGTTTCTACAACCACAAGCACCAGGGTCGCAAGCTCACATGGCTCTGGCAGTTGTGCAAGGGTGAAGTCAAGGCAAACTACTGCAAGGTTCTTAACTCCAAGGCATCGCCTACCTTCCAGGTCTCGACTTATCAGATGGGCATTATGCTACTATTCAACGATAGTGATACTGTCACTTACGACGAGATCGCGGAGGCCACGAAGCTGAACAAGGAGACACTCGACCCTAGCTTAGGCGTCTTCCTAAAGGCAAAGGTTCTGATCGCGCAGCCTGAGAACGCCAAGACGGAGTCGGGCACCACCTACAAGCTCAACACCGCTTTCAAGACCAAGAAGGCGAAGATCAACCTCAACATCGGTATCAAGTCGGAGCAGAAGGCTGAGGCTGAAGACACGCACAAGACCATTGAGGAGGACCGCAAGCTACTCATGCAGGTATGTAATACCTCTTTCCCACTTTCTGAACCTTGCTAACATACTATAGTCCGCCATTGTGCGTATCATGAAGTCTCGCAAGAAGATGAAGCACCAACAGCTCGTCTCCGAGACGATTCAGCAGATCAAGAACCGCTTCATGCCCCGCGTGCCCGACATCAAGAAGTGCATAGACATCCTGCTTGAGAAGGAGTACCTGGAGCGTCTTGAGGGTGACGAGCTCGGCTATCTCGCCTAAGCTCCCTTCGCTATTTCCTTTGCCTGCCTTGGCCCCTTGGCTAATGAGTAACGGATTATGGAACCTATTTTCCTTTGTCATGAAGCTGCATCCGTAGTTCCCGATCAGCTCGCGGCCGCGTTCCTGGCGTTTGACGGCGGGTATCACATGGGCTGGGTTTTTCTTTCTCAAAGACACAATGCTAGTTGATGCGTTGATGTCGCCATATGGGTTCCTTGAATTATAGATACGTGGCTACGAACAAAAGATAGTCCATGGCTGGCTAGTGTATCAATCAGACAATGCTGATACATATTTCCACTTTCTCTCCCATGATTGTGTGATGCTGTGCTGTGACTAACGATGACATTGCTCAACTATACGCCTGTACTGTAGCTAACGTTAATAAAAGTTCAAACAGTGTATTGGCGAACAACACTGGTGCTGGATGTCGTATACGTCTGACGCGACACTACATGGTTGACAATCAGAGCAGTGCCATTAGTCCTTTGACGTACCTACCCAATATTTATTCCAATCCGCAGCCCCCATCCTCTCCAAGATCCCCTGTCTGATCCTACACCATGCCTCCCAACACCACTTCAAATGCCGACTTGGACGACCATTGGGAAGTCATCACCACCCCCTTCGCCCCTCCCCCCAGACTCCCTAGCCAATCTCCAACTCGTGTTTCACAACGATGATTCCCTCCTATCCGCATTCATCTTGCTGCACCAGCGCCTCTCGCACCTTGGTATCACCGACGATGCAGATATGGCAGGAGCTCTGCAACTTGTGCTGGCGAACTTGGAGCAAAGCACACATAGCCTGGCCATTACGCGCGCCACGCGTGAAGATTTATTGGTGCAAATGGCGGAAGACACGGATTGGTTTGCATTTGAGATACGCGAGAGGGATCGAAAGATTGGGAGGTTAGAGAATGAACTGAGGATAGCTGCGAGGGATGTGGTGTTTTTCTATCCAAGATGGCATTCAGCGAGAGACCGAGTTAAGAAAAGGATTGGAGGGGTGGAAAAGGGATTCTGAGGATTTGTTTGGGTATTAGCGGGATTTGATAGATCGGTTAGCAGACGCGGAAATTGTGCTTGGGAAGGTCACGAAAGAGATTGGGGAGTGTGAAAGGATGGTGGGGGATCTGGAAGGGGAGAATGCGGGGTTGTGGGAGGTGCAGCGTGAGCTTTTGGATCAGGGGAAGGAGAGAGACGGGGAGATTGAACGGTTGAGGCGCGAGTGTGAGGAAAGGGACGAGGAGAATGAACGAGCGAGGCGGGATTGTGGCGAAATGGCTGAGATGTTGGCGGACATGGCTAAGATGAACGAAAGTAACAAGACTGGGAAGGGTAAAGCGAAGGTACATGTGGGTGTACAGGTGGACATGTATGCAAAGCTGGAGACGGATGCGACAATTAACAAGAAGGCGGGGCAAGGGAAGGAGCCAATGTGGTGGTATGATTCACAGTTTGATGATTTTGAAAGATTTTCCTGAATGTTTGATTTGCTGGCTTAAGAGTTGTAAGTGGTGTTTACTTGTTCATTTTCACTAGAACTTAGCACGCATGTAATTAGACAAAAGGTGTTGATGGAAGTCTTGTTGAGCGAAGTGACTGCTTTCTGTTCAGGCACACACATGCTCTTGCAGACCAACGGAGAAAAACTCAACGTATGCACCAGACACCCGGCAGCTATACAGCTACCCAGTCTCAAACAAAAGCCCAAAGCTGATGAAACGACGCATCTGCTCTTCATACATCGCCGGCGTCAAATGGATCGGAACACCCTTCTGCCGCGCAATCTCCACCCGCGCCAATGCAACCTCATCCATGAGCTCTTTTGTGCAGTAGCAACAAGTAAGCTGGCTAGACGAACCGGCATTTTTCAATGAATTGCGCCAACCCGTTAGGCAGTCCAGATGATAGAGATGGTTGCACGCAGTGGCATAGCAAGGAGTCTCAGTGAAGTCGTCTTTGCAGATAAGACATTCGTCGTCGGGCTTTGGGTCTGGGATGCAGTGCATGTGTTGCTCGAGCCAGAGATCCTCAGCCCGCGGGAAGTCACGGGCGATGTGGACGTCGTCGAGAGGATCGTTGATCACATAGACGACTTCGCCGCCAAACCCGAATTCGAGATTCCAGTGTGGATGTAGTTTTGGTTCGTGGCTTCGTTCATTCCAGAGCTTTATAGCGTCCTGCGAATCAAGAGATCCAGCGAGTATGTTGTTCTCTGCCTGCTCTGTATCTGGGTTGAGGAAGCGTTCGGCAAGGACATCACCCGGGATATTCAGCCTCAGGAAAACTCCGTGACGCGAACAGAGGTATGGCAGACGCTCAAGACATCCAAGATCGAAGACTTTGCTAAGGGCTGATCGAACATTGCCTGTAGGATCTGCGTCAGGATGTGTTGCGGCCAACATAACCCAGCGGAACATCAAGAACAAAGTGTGTGGATGTCCAGCGTTGATGTTGGGCAGCACCATTGAGCTAATCAACACTGAGTTGCCCAGATAATTTGACTCAGACAGGGCCTGTCGCACTTTCAGTGGGAAGGGCGAGAACGGGCTCTCGATAAGGCAGGCATGAATTCGTTCGCACTCGAAAGTGTGCTTGTAGACCGGTCCCAGATTACCCTCTGGGTACGCTGACATGAACATGAAACACGAGATCATGTTCGCGGCAAGGGATAGATAAGAAGTAACTGCCATGACGGCATTTTCTTCGTCTTTGCTGCTCCACTCTTCCTCTGATGAAGGTCGAAGTGCAGAAAGCGTTCTAGTGAGATCGGGCCATATGCCAAAGCCACCGGTGACTCGCTCACTCCGCTGGAGTCTATAATTACCCTTCTTGCTGAGATCCACATGCGGTTGTTGCACTATGATTGCACGCATCTCACGGAGAAGAGAGCCGTCTGTGTCGACGCTGTCGTGACAAGCACACTTCAACAGCCAATCTTTGATCTCGAGGAGAAGTTTCGTTGTCTCCTCCTCAAATAGCTCGAGGCTTCGAGCCACCTGACGTAGATCCTTTATCGCAGTTGCAAAGGTAGTGCTCGCAGGCATGAGAAGTTGATGTAGAGGAAGATCCAGCGCAGTCAGATGTAGGCGCACTTCTTCGGATATGGGCAGGTAATGTGGTTGCTGCAAGAAATATGTCCAGGCCTGCCAAATCGGCCCAGTAGGTTTCTGCAAGCTCATTCCTATATTATAGATCTCGAATGCCAACAAGGTAAAGACTTCGTCCACCTGGTGAACATCGTGTCGGAAGGGCTTGATGGCGTCGTTGAGACATTGGAAGGCTACTGCTGGATGATTAGTCCAGTCAACTGAAGGCGCACCGAGGTCTGCCGCATACAGTGCCATGAGTGTGGGTGTATGTTCAATCGTGAGTGAGCTTCCAAGTGTATGTGAGAGAAACAAGTGTCCAGAAAGTTCGGTGCGGTTGTGTTATGTACAGTTGTGTTGGTGCGATATTAAGCTGGTGAGTGTGGCTGGAGGAAGAGGTCGAGGATGCTGAGTTTATATCGAAGTAGTCTAACCTGGGGACATTGTTGACAGGTAGGGCAAGGACTGGCTGTATGGTGATGATGATCTTGACACACTGTGTACATAAAGTGTTGGATTCACTGTTGTCCGCATGAGACATCTCATGATCCGCTCAATGAGCCTCGAAGGTTCACCCATAATTTCTCGATCTTGTTATTGTTGTGTTGTTGCGTTGTGGGATAGAAGCTCTGTTGACTCTTTCGGGTGACTTGACAGGGGAAGTGAATAAACAGATTCGTTAGGTCATGATGGTGCAAACGAACACGTAAGCGATCAGGTATTGAATGTGTGAGCGTTCTTCCGACAAACAGGCTTGAATGTGGTGTTTTCCTCTGATGCGAAGTCAAACAAGGCCGTGCCCACAACGCGTCTGAGACCTGCAGTATATAAGAGAGTACTTTGCACACGTAGTGGACTCTGCCGTTCTCATATCGGAGTCGACAAAATGCCACCTACTTTTAAACACGTCCCTCTGGAGGAATATCTTCATCTTGACCAATACATTCCACGCCCCCTGGATGAAGCGCGGCTAGCCGAACTCAAAGCTCTGTGTTACGATGACGAACTGCAAAGAGCATACGTTGTACTGCAGCAGCACCACGTTTACATGTACTTTTCCAAGCACCAGAGCGAGCTGGAACTGTCCGACGCAATCAAGCGAGTGCTCAGGAGCTTAGACGAGAAAACGTTGGAGGCGCAGAAATTGCGTGCGAAACTCGAAGGGATAGAGAAGAGGATAGAGAAGAGGATCGAAGAGAAAGAAACCAAGTGGTTAGACGAGAATGGGGATCATGAAGTAGCTGGCGATCATGTGCCGACGACAAGTGTGGACGGGTTCCACGAGATGGACGCGTCAGGGGGCGAACAGTAATGTCATGTCATAGTGTCGACAGAGGGGAATTTTCATACTTTGTGCAGGATGTATTGCGATATAGTGTACACAACCAGAAGCCGCGACAGGCATGAGTGATGTACTTCAAGTGTTGGTGATAGGGTCGGGATGGAAGTGGAGTTGCATAAGCATGTTCCTGTTCCTGCCTAGACCGGTTTCGGATGATCAGCACCCCACCAGCCGAGCGGCCGTTCCATGGTGCAGCGGGCGGCTGTGCTCGGTGGCGGCTCTTACGACCACAGTCCTCCTTGGACTGCGCGTCTCTCTTTCACAGATATCTTCTCTCCAGGCTGCTAGGAATCATCTTCTACTACCTAGAATCCTTCGTCCTGCGCTCTCAATCAACTCGCCATAGCACGCGCGTGAGACAGCGTCTCGGAGGTCCGCATCATGCCCGCGCCACTAGCCAAAGGTACGTAGCTCTAGCTATGCATGTCTGTCGTGTTCGCAGCACTCGAACTGCTTTTGTACACCCCCTTCCTGTCTTCTGTCCATGTAGCGAATGAAGAGTCTAGTTGGAGAATTCGGGCGGTTTCTGCCATCCAACGACATCGCACCTTGCTGCCTGATGCTTACCACCCCTCATTGCAGGCATCATCATCGCCGCTTCCATAGTAGTCGCCGCCGGCATCGCCATATACGAGTCGCCTCAAGTCCGCGCATGGGTCGACCAGTCTCGTCGCAAGATCGCCGTAGCGCTCCACAACCTCGGCGATGACATGCAGCCTCGCCGCCCCAGCGAATCGTCGGACGACTTCGACCTGAGGAAGCGGAGAAGGGAAGAGCTCATTCGACGGAACAGGAATGAGCTCATCAGACGTGCCAGAGAGGAGGGCGTGGCCGTCGATCTGGACGAGCTGGCGAAAATCGGCAACGAAGACATCGAACTGGCGCAGCAGAGGTCACGAGCCGACCGCACCAAGAGCTTCGACACCATGGTAGGAAGCGACGGCACCCTCAGGAACGACACAACTGCTACCGGAAACGACGTATCGGACAACGGCCTCAAGAAGCGCGGTGCTGCTGGCTTTGCTGCGGGCGCTGCTGCGGCTGCGACCATGGCCAACCCCTTCGTCGACGAGAATGTGCTCTTCGACGTGGGCGATGACGAAGAAGCCCCGTCGCCAAAGGAGTTCATCTATGCCGAGCCTGCGTCGCGCGAAAGCACTGCCACTCTCGACGCTGCCCCGCCTGCCGCCTCCGCGCCTCTGATCGACCTGACTCAAAGCAACGACGAGATCGACCCAGCTGCACAGTCCTTCTACTCCTTCACATCCTCCAACTCACACGCCGAGGTCCCTCTCGCGCACACTCAGTTCTTCGACGACGAGGCCGAGCACATGTCCGCCGGAACCTTGACACCGCGCTCCGAGCGCTCCCACTCCATTGTCACAGGCGCTTCCGTGGCTGCCAGCAACGCCGACGACATTGGCATCCTCAGCATGCAAAACGACACTGACCATGACGCTCGATCAGAAATCTTCTCCGAGGGCGGCTTCACCGATGGCTTCTCAGAAGGAGGTTTCAGCGAATTCGGCGACAATGACAGGACAGGTATCATGACGCCAAATTCGTGGACCGACGTCGGCAGTGACGACGAGAGCGAATGGGGTGGTGCCCAGCAGAACGGGCACGTGAGCCAGGTGCATCAGTAGAGCGCACTCCTTTCTTGGATTCAAAATGTTTGCAATAGGGTACGGTGTTGGGCATAAATAGGTAGGATGGGTCGATACCTCCGGCGTTTTCCCTAGGAACTTGGATTTTCCCTTCATATCGTTTCCTTTCTTCCCCTATGTATGAATTGGAACCATTGTCTTGAGATCTTTTGTATTTCTACCATTTTTTATTGCTACGTTATTCTATTGCTGAATTTGATCTGATCATCCTCCCGCCTGTCCAATGTTGTCCTATCTCGGCAGAGCTCACCTCATTCCTTATATTGATGAACTCATCGCCGGCCATATAGAAAGCGGCCCGACATAACCTCCGCCCTCCGTTTGATAGCGCGGTCACCGTCGCAACATTCCCGCTTCTCCTACGGCTCCCGCATCCTTAGCGCAACTCTCACCTGCCATGCTATGGCACCAGAATTTGTGGTCACGTTGCCCTATGGCCTCAGCGAAATGCACCGAAAAAACCACATCAAAGGTAAGGTTGTAGTCGGTCAGGAAGGACAGTATACGCGCGGGGGCGTCCCGATTTCTACTCACCTATCCGAGATGACCATCGTTCTACCGATAATCACTTACCATCGTGCGATTGACGCTCCACGCTCGATCTCAACTGGATCCCTAAAACTCCACGTCAAGAAGCAACAACCAGACAAGATGGGTGTTGCGCCAGCGCCACATCAGAAGAAGAGCGCGCCGACCACAAAGGAGAGAAGAGCAAAGACGCCAAAAGTAAACAAGGCGCCAAACTCCAGGGTTCGCAGCAAGGCAAGATCAACGGCGTCAGCCCAGAAAAGCAGATCGCGCGTCGGGCCCGGTACACGGGATGGCGCATCAAAGAATCGTCCCATCACAATCGATGATGATGACGACGCCGAAGCAGAGGAGGCTCTGTCACGAAGAGCAGACTTCATGCAAGATGGTTACCTTCCTTCTTCGACGGCGCCTTCATGCCCGAGTTTCTACCAGCCACAATCGCCGGCACTGGCAGTTCGGCGCACTTCTGCTCCCGGAAGAGCGGGGGTTGGATCTCTCGGCAAAACATATGCAGCGACTTCCCCCAAAGCTCCGTACGAGCCAATGTCCCGATCTATGGGTATATATGCCGAGTTAGTGGAGCTGTCACGAAGCGTTGACTGAATACTGACCGAACGCGAAAAGAGAAGTACAGAGGATATCACAGGTAGATACGCCCTCATTACGACGGACCAAGAAAAGGCCTGGAGCAGACAAGAGCTTGTCCACCTCGCAAAGAGCAGCAATTTCAGTTGCACGGCGGCGCACACAACCATTCATCAGGCCCAACTTATCAAGCAACAGGCGTGACGACCTCGACGGCGCTAGCTTCGATCTGAACAACATCTCAGATTTCAACACAAGGAAGGATGTTGCGCAGCTGATGGCTGTCGCGCCAGGTTTGCCCATCCAGGATCTACATGACATGCTCCTCGAGCTTGGAGGTGATTTCGCGGCCGCAAAAAGACAAGCTATTAGGAGAAGCCGAGCACCCTCTGCGCGTCCGCCAGTCAAGCATGGGCCTCCGTTGTTCAGAGCTCTGCCACAGCAGGCACTAAGTCAAGAGTCCGACGATGGCGATGAAGTCATGATCAAAATCGACCCCAACCTAGACTTTCTCGAGTGGGTGAGTACACACCACGCCTTTCACACACATGTTACATCCTAACTTTCGACAGGACTCAGACGCCCCTCCAGAGCCAGATCTCACCCCCAAGCGCCCCGCTCCCAAAAAGTCAAAACCCGCCAAACCAGGCCCGACGAAGTTGCGCCCCAAGGTCTCCTACTCAGGCTCCAACTCTAGATCAAGCATCAGCGTCCGTCGCATCCAGCCCAGGCCACGAGGAGGCTCCATCAACCGCTCCTTCATCGTCCCGGACAACTTCGTGGAACTCGAATCAGACGCTTCTTCTGCCGAGACCGAGAGGTCAGACAGTACAAACGACACCGACGTGCAGATGGGCGGAACGGTGCCGGAGGATGTGGAGGATCTTAGGATCAATATGCGGCCGCAGTATTCGTATAATTCGAGAGAACTTGAAAAGGCGAAGGGGAAAAGGAGGTAGTGGGCATGGAGAACAGCGCATCGCGATGACACAACAACTTGCTTCATATGGTTGGAGATCTGGTTGAACTACGACATGAGTGTGTATTTGGGTTCGGACGATAATGGCATATCCCTCGTCACAGCGTAAAGACTCGAATATTTAGTGCATGCCGCGCTACTGGCTGGAAAATTCATATAACTCACTGCCCATCCTGGTGTCTCCTATCTTCATTGTGAGCTGAGCGACGTACGCTTCATGGATTTACGCTCAGCTATCGAATCATAGGCAAATTCGAGTCGTTTTCAATATGCATGAGCGGTGGGATACCAACTTCTTACGTCGCTAATTGGGAAATGGCCAGTCATGGTTCAGTCTTTACGTGCATCATTTGATGTCTTCTGCTACAAGAACAAACGCACTCACTGCATAAGTTTCCTAGTACCGAGTGACCCATAAAATACTCCCGCATGTGCCAGAATACAGGTTCCTTCATTCCGAAAAATGGCCAGTCACAAACGATGCTTTCCATGTATCGTTCAATGTCTTCCGCTACAACTTCAAACGAACTCACCGTATGGATGCCCTGGGACCAATTGCTCGTATTTCCCTCGCGCTTGTGTGATGACACCATATGCGCGGACGGACTTCACCTGCAGTGTCAAACGAATATTATCGACGCGGCCGGACACGTAAGCGCCTTTACCTGTTCATCCTAGTCTCTCGATTATTTCTTTTACCTCTGAATCCTCTATTACCTTGGGGATTGAGACCCCGCACAGAGCTCTGGTGTTTGTTGAATACCCTCGACCTTCGACCCGCGACCCTTCCGTCTGCTACTTTTTCGGGTAACTCCATCTGTAGTCCTGACCATAATCACTATTCTACTCCCCGATCAATACAATCTCGCTTATCCAACCTTCTCCTACGCTATCATCTCTTCCCGAGACGCATCAACCATCCAAAGAACTTCATGACTCCTAAAAAGGCTCAGATCAAAAGCAACAAAAAGTCAAAAGCCTTAATCCGGCCCAGCAATTCAGCCCTATTTGAGGCAGCAGATCGACTCAATTTCATCAACGACATGGCTTCTAGACGCACGGCATCCGTTCTCCGCAACTTGTCATCCCACGAAGAGCGCAGCCATGAGTCTGTCCGTAAACAGCCGGAGGCAAAGCCGGCGCAGTTCAGAAACGCGCCTAGGATCGATTCAAAGAATAGCTGTGATTCACGCCAACGGCCCCAACGACGTCCGAACGGCATGCTACAAAACGCTCAGCGCCAGGAACCCGAGGCACGACACAGGCGACAGAGACCAGTCATTCACGATTCTGAGGATCATGATCATGATAATAGTGACAGAGGTACATAGTCTTCTTTCTGCACCGAAGCATAGTATCTAATTAACTTAATTATAGCAGAAAATCTTAGGATTTGCTCTAGCAAGTCTGGTGCAAGGAAGCAACCAGGAATGAGTAGCATCTTCCTATTAAACACTAGCCTAGCAGACTGTTCTATTAGCGCAGATAGCCTTAGTGACCAGCAGGCAAAGCAGCGAAGTCTAAGTGAGCGACAAGCTATCATGATCACGCCTGGGCCGGCTTCTAAGAATCTCTGGGGGCCAGCCTATAACAGTCGGCCTAGTCACCCTACGCCCTACAATAGCAGGCCTTCCGCCATCACTCCGTTTGTCAGACCTCCTACTGCCGGTCTCCAGACACCCAGCCAGAGCAGGGAAATGCCCCAGCCTAGCAGTCGACAAAACTTATACCCTCCTCTCTACAATGAGTGGGACAATAACATACCTTCTGCCGAACACCCAATCAGGATCGTAGGACACGAAATTCACGCAGGCTGCGACATTCCGCGTCCCAGCATCGGAGAATATCAGATCTGAGCGAAGACGAAAAGAAACAAATTCAAAAATGCTCAAAAGGTCAATAATTTTAAGGTACTGCGCTGCGGAACTTAGGGATCTCAAGGCACAAATGCTCACCAACTTTAGATTTTGGAGAACATTCTTTTCATCTTTTCAGCCGGATATCTTTTTTATTATTCAGGGTTTAAAAAGTTACTTCTTCACGAGAAGCTTCTTCGGAAGAACGCTTCTATAACTTTTATTCAGTATCATTTTCGACAAAAGGCGTTTTTGCATCTTTTCATTCGAAGCAGCATGAGCTGCTACAATTTCCTATTCTCCTTCTATTTCTAGCATCATAGAAACAATCGGAGACAATCCTACAGACCATAATTCTAATGCAATCTCAAACCCGAAGACAGTCCTAATAAACCGTCCTCCACCGTCTTCCACTGTCTTCCCCTCCCTAAGCATACTCCACATAATCATACCCACTCCCCCGCTGTCCCCGGCTTGTATGATGACTCCTACTCCCATGCCCCCGCCCACCCGTCCCCCGATCCGTATGTCTCCCCGCCTTCACCCTACGCTCCCCAAGCGCCGCCTTCTTGCGCCGAGGCAGCACGCTCAGCGCGTGCCAGACGAACCAAGTCAGGCTGCCAAATAAAATCAGCACGCCGATGATGATGCCGGCGATGGCGGTGGTGGAGAGGGAGGTGCCGGAGCTGTTTTGGGAATTGATGGCCTCAATAGGAAGGGGGGTAGAGGCGCGGATATTCTGGGTGTGGGTGGGGCAAGGGGAAGTAGTGTTGAGGAGGTTGTATGGGTAGAATGGGGCCATGATGGTGGGATGGTGGGATGGTGGGATGGTGGGATGGTCGTGTGTGAGGTCGTTTGAGTAAGTCAGTGAGTAAGACTTGTGGGATGGATGTCCGACTGCGTGAGCTACACTTGTGACTGTGCGATGAGCAAGGGATAGGTTAGAAGGATATTTGTAGGGCAGGGAAGATGCGGAGGGTGTTTTGCATGTGAGACATTGTGAAGGCACGATGTCTTGCAGTGTGCGGTGCGTGGACTTGATAGATCGAAGCAGCACTGTTAACCGTGCGTAGCACGGGGCGCGACACGCCTATCAGAGTGCGTCCGGGCTCCCTAAGAATGAATTGTGTGCAGAGGTAAAGCATAAGTTAGAAAGATGAGTTAGGCCTTTAAAAGGCAGAATGGCCTAAGTGCTAGTTGTATGCTTCTACACTTTGCTTAATGATAAGGAGGGATTCTGGATTCTGAATCCTTCCTGAATCCACTTTTATGTTGCAGCCTATGATCCCAGCTCTATCTAGTTAACCTGTCTCTATGTCCGGCTGACTTAAGCCGTACTCTGTACCGTAAATGGTACGTAGTGCGCGCAGTTGGGTGCGCTAGATCGAAGTCTTAGATCGTATGTAGTATTGGAGCAGCGCGCCTTGTAATTGGTCGTGATCGTTCCAACATCTATGCATCCTTTACGGGTTTCAGGACCCAGTCAACAAGCCTCAAGACAGCGTATCATCTATTTTCAGATTTCCCTAAGAACTTCTGAAGCTGCATCTCGACATCTTTCTCAACCACCTCTTGCTCTGATCCCTGCGCTAGGGGAGTTTTCTTGTTGCGATAGCGTACCACCGTAAAACGATAAATGACGAAGACGATGAATGTAAGGAAGAAAGGCGAGAAGAGGCAGAGTGGGACGAGTAAAGGTACTTGGATTAGGCCGAGCTTGACATCTTCTGCGTTTCGGCCGCTGGGTGTTGGAGAAGGCGGAGATGACATTTTAGATTTGGCGATGAGGGGAATGAACGTGAGGTTAGATGGATTGGGAAGTTTTGATGCAGGAGTAATTGATAGTAAATAACGCAAGTGTCCTTCAACAAAGGTAAGAAGACAAAGGAAGGGCAATGAACAGTATGAGCAAAATCACGAGGACAAAGAACATTTTGAAACAGCAAAGTTTATTGTTACACTAACGCGAGATTTTACAATCATTGTGCAATGTGCAATGCAGTCCAGTTGTATCGCTATACGGCGAAACACCAACTACGCCACACTGCTAAGTCAGGTTGTCTGCGAACTGCACTGCCTTGAGCAGTACGGCAATTCGATTACCTTAGCCTTAGCGAGTGATGAAGTAGATAAGCGCCAACAACATAACTCCCACCGCCGCGCCAGTAATACCAAAGATGATACCCTTGCTCGACGAAGTTTCCCCCGAACTCTTCGTCTGCACAGCCTCAGGCTCCTCATACAGGTCAAACTTCACGCCCGTGACGTCCGCAGCTGCTATTCTAGCGCTTGTCGGCTGCTCGAGTGCCTTGGCAAGCGCAGCCATGCTAGGCATGTCAGAAGGTATCATGACGGTAGACGTGACAGTGATGCGCACCGTACGTGGACCAGATGATCCGTTCACCGGCACACCGGGCTGGGACATCGGATCCAGAACGATAGGCTGGATGGATGCAGATGACATGTTGATCGATATAGACACTGAAGGCGCGCCACTACTAGATATAATCGTGGGGATATACACAGTAGCGAATGAGCTGGACGGCATACCATTACCGAAAGTAGTGTTTGCCTGCGGCACACCGACGGAGAAAGATACCGGCGGAGCGTCGCTGCCAGAAGTGCTAGTCGCCTGGACAGACGATGTAGCTGCAGGCAGCTGCGAAGAGGGGTGGAGCGAGACAACTGACTGACCAGTGGAGGGCGCATCAAGCGCACCAGCGGGCCAGGCGAAACCGGATAGAGAAGAACCAGGCATCGTTGATGAAAACGAAGGTTGGTCGGATGGATGTAGAAGATTTAGGGCTTGGTGTGTAATCTGCGTTACAAAGAAGGAAAAGATGGTATCTTGTTCTGTGCGGTGCAGAGATGGGCTGTTTGGAGAAATGAGTTGGAGGAGAGTTGGCAGGGCTTATAAGTACCTTTTGAGATGGACTGTGTATTCACTATATTCATTGTGGATGAGAGGTGAAGAGTGAAGGGGTACGGGAATTCACAGTGCTGTGTCACGGTGTACTGCGAATGCGGAAGATGCTGGTTGAGTCGTTGTCTTGACAGCCACATCTATTTGGACGTATGTCCCTCTCAATATCGATGCTATTCCACCATAGAGCTTCAATTCTTAGTACAAATAACACACGTGTCCAATGTATGCTACAAACGTTATAGACATACTTCAGTCTCGCACACCTATACTCTCATCCCCCATCTAAAACTCTGGAATCGTACTCAACCCCTTCCTCGCCCCCAAATCTGGCTTCTCTCTGCAACCTCATACCTCCTCCCCTTTCCCCATCCCCTCCATCCATCCTCGGCGCCGCCCCAATCCCACTCATCGGATACCACATCTGCGGTCTCTCCGGAAGCGGCTTATCATACACCTGTCCGGTTTGAAACTCCACCGGGCGCTCAGGGAGTGGTGTGTCCTGGTACTTGCGACGACTCCCGCCAAAGCCAAAGCAGTTACACACGTTCACTCCACGACGCAAGGGCGCTGGAGCCAGTATATCAGGGAGGCCGAGGGAGATCACGGCCGAATATGGAGCCGAGAGGTTAGGCCCTACAATGAGGCCGATGCCGTGAATCCGGAGTTTGAGGGGTGGGGGAAGGGGGAGCAGGGGTCGTTGGTGCGGAGGAGACTGAAGAGGTAGTTTGAGATGGCGATGTTGTGGCTGCGGTTGTGGTGGGGTCGTTTTGTATACTGGATGGTGTGGTAGATGGCTCTTTCGAAGCTGAGCTTGTGATTTGCGTATCTGTCTTCGTCTTAGAGTCAGTCGCTTCCGCCGGTTCGGTGCTCGAGTTGGGTCTTGAGCGTGTAAATGTTGCCGATTCTGACGATAGCGTATTGGAAGTTTCACTCGGTTGCGGGTTGGGGTTTACGATCGATGTGGGGATGGCAGAGGATGTTACCGTTACCCTCGAAATGATAATTACGATACTCGTAGAGGGGGGAGGGGGAGCGGCAGCATCTTGTCGGGGCTGTAAGAAGGATATTGAGGTTGACGAGGATGGGTGTATGCTGTCGACGAGCGCGCTTCTTAATGCGCTCATCGCGGTCAGTGCAGCGGTAAGAGGTAAATGCATGGTGTGTTCTAGGTTGCAGACGATGTGCGCTCGAGAGAGGACGTACCTAGAGGAAGATTCAAGACATTTCGGTCTCTTTGTTCGTGAGTGTTGGTCATCTGTGAGGCTTCACACTACTACATTCACTGAATACGTTCAAGATTCCCATATTCCGCCTTGTCTCATTCAGTGGTGCATGTGAAGTGCCGACCTACTCTGACTTCACGTCACAAGGTCAGCTATTTCAAGACATGAGACCAAACACTGCTCTGACGACAATGAAAACTTTTTGGGTATGCGGCCTAAGACAAAGACTGATTTAGATATCGAGCACATGAACCAACTTCTTTGTGTTATTGTTCGCCTCGAACCGTCACGAAACGACTCCACCATGTCGAACATATCGTCATAGCCACGCCATCTGACTAATCACACTCACTCTATCCTCCTCTCAGTATTCTTCTCCACATCCTCACTGTCCCTACCATCGATTTTCCTGTCCACGCCCGTAACAGCAGCCATATCTTCATCCGCCGCGACATCAAAGTTCCTGCCCCGATACTCCGGTCCAATAAGCGTCAACAAAATGACGTACGCATAAACACACCCCATGAAAATGCAAATGACCAACCCATACTTGTACCTCTTCGTCTTGCCCTTCGGCGGCAGCGGAAATTTCTCTCCAATCGTCGCTTCAATCGTCGAACTCGCGCTCGACACCAAGTTACCGAGTTGGTAACTCGTGCCTACCACGAACGTCCTGAAGCTACCCGGGCTCAGTTCCATCAGGTGGATGGGGATTACACCCCACGCGCCTTGCACGCAGAATTGCTGGAAGAAGGCAGCAGCGATGACGCCTTTGTTGGAGACGAAGGTGTAGGGGTAGAGCAGCGCGCCGCCGAGGATGCACATGCAGATGATGCTGAAGCGGCGGCCGAAGATGGAGGAGCAGTAGCCGACGAGCGTGCCGCCAGTCATGGCGCCGAGGTTGGCGACGACTTGGGTGACGGTTACGGCGTTGGGGGAGAAGTCGTATTGGTTGGTGAGCATGGTTGGATATAAGTCTTGCGAGCCGTGGGACATGAAGTTGAAACCTGATGGATGTTAGTCGAAATATCGTTGGGAGGCTGAGGGGTGTGATGACTTGCCAGCCATGAGGAGGACCATGTAGATCAAAAGCAGCCAGTGACGCTTCAGTGCGACCTTTCCTTCTTCAATGAATACTTTCACTGCATTGGGCTCTTCCTCGCGAATGCGCTTGCGTTCAAGGTAGGCGTTTGTTTCTGGCAGACATAGACGGAAGATGATGATCAAGACTGGTGGACCAGCACCGAACCAGAACAACGGGCGCCATCCGTGTCCAACAGTGTTGACGAAAGCACGTGCGAACACTGTGGCGAGGAGGTATCCGAACGCGTAGCCTTGCTGCAGCATACCAGAGATGAGACCGCGTGCCAGTGGAGGACAGTCTTCCAGAGCTATTCAAATGATCGTCAGCCAATATTTCAATAGCTCAAGTTAAGAAGAAGAGAACTCACCGGTCGCAGCCGCATTCCCATACAACCCTCCCATCGCAATCCCGAACAACGCCCTGACCGCCAAAAACTCATTGTACGTCGAGCAAAATCCCGTCCCCAGTTCCAACACAATAAACAGCACGTTGTTAATGATAAACGGCCACTTGCGCCCATACCGATCAGCCGCAAGTCCAAAGATAATACTGCCTACGGACCGCAGCATCAACACGAGCGTAATACCCCACGTGATATCTGCTTTGGTTTTTCCAAAGGTTTCAGCGAGGTCCGTGATGGTCAGCGAGACGGTGAAGAAATCGAAAGCGTCCCAAGACCACGCGAAGAAGGCGACGAGGAAGAAGAGCCATTGCTGGAGATTGAGCATGCGCAGCAGCGTGATGGGGTTGGGCACGGCATCGCGAGCAGGTTTCAACGTAGTAAACCGCGTAGCCGCATAGCGAGCGGGAGTAATCCTCTGCATCGTGGGAGTAGCAGCATACTCCTGATGTTCGTGGTGGTCGTATTTCTCAGCCATGATTGCAGGCGAACAGAGACAAGGCCTGAGGAGCAAACGCGGGGCTTGAGCAGCATTTTAACCCCTCCTCTCGAGGATACACACCAGTTGGCAGCCGATCCCATGACATGGATGTCGGGAGTCTGGCGTGTCCATTCTTACGGCGTGGCTTGGGACGGGCCAATGGTGGCGCGTGGTGTTGCAGCGCTAAGGCAGCGAAGCCTTCTTGGCTGGGGAGCGGCGGCGAGAAAAGCTTTGACAAGCGTGCGCGGGGAAAGGCTTGGGCGACGTAGTGCATGCTTGAGGCGTTGGGGCGGGCATATCTCGGTGACATGTTGACGTTTGACAGAGAAACCGTTGTGAATGTTGAAGAACTCTGTACTGAATTGCTGCGTGCGTTCGTTGCAACTGAGCAGCTTTACTTTGCTCGACACTTTCGCTACTCATAGTCAAAGCACTAAACTTCACGCGTGCCCAACAACCCTCCCCTTCGCTGACGCGCCTGCACGCCTGGGATGCGCAATGAACAACGCTAGCGCGAACCCTCCCCACACCTCCATGGGGAACGCGGTCGGCGCTGTCAAACCCCGAGCCAAAACCTGGGGCTGTCTGAGCGTTACTTTCCTTGTCAAAAGAATTAGGTTGTGTTGGGACTCTGGGCCGCCGATATCGAGCCGCAGGGTCTCGGCGAGGATTTGAGACTAGACAGCTCCGACTTGTTACCTAGCTACGCCGGAAGCTTACGTGGAGCCTTGGGTGTGAAGACGTTCGGATATAGATGTAGCTGCGTCTCCGCGTCCGCGTCCGAGAGAGACGAGAAAGTGTTATGCATTCCAAACCACTCTGATGGTAGTCTTCACAAGGTATGCGGTAATGCACCGGGGACCTAGATCCCATACACCAATCAATTCATCGTGACCAAAATTGCTTGCGATACTTTTCCTATCAAAACGCCCAAACGCTTATGCATACAATATCAAATCCTCGTTGCAGCAGAACACTATGCTATCGCGCTACTCACACCTCGCGAGCTCCCAGCCTCGCTTCCATATTCCTCCGTAAGACGTTCAAGTTCAGTCATCCTGAGCGCTTCTTCAACGCTCTTGACGAAATGCCTGCTTCCACCACACATCTCTACAATGCCGCTACTTTCGAATAGCTTATACACTGGACTGCGCTCACTCGGTACTCTGCAAAAGAACACGCGGACATCGCGATTCCTGTAAGACTGGACAATCTCAGCGAGGACTTGCGCACCCGCACCGTCGAGCGATGTGACACCGTGAACATCGAAGATGATGTTCTTATTGTGTTCTGCGCGACGCACGCGAGGAAGCGCGGGGTGAGCTCTACCCGTACCGTGGTCCTCGAGGCGACCAAGACGTGTTTTCAGACTTCCGGTGTTGGCGAAGGTAAGTGGTTCGGGTATCTTGACGATAAGACAGCCCTCGACGAACTCCACACTCTCGGGCTCGTGCTCGGCATTGGTAAAGTGATTCGTTGTGCCAGGTACGCGACCAAGAATTTGAATGCGTGGACGGACGGAGTGACGAATCAGGCGGAGAAGGGAGAGTCCAATGCCGACACCAATACCGCGCTTCAGGTCCCAAATGATGGTGATGAAGAAGATCAGACCCATCAGGACGAGTTCGGACCAGCCGCGAATACGCAAGAAGAACTTGATATCGTGGGGTGCTTCCTCAACCAGGGAGTAGGCTACAACCGAAACCATGGCGCAGAGGACACCCTTGGGTAGGAAGTAAAAGTATGGTAGCATGAAAACTGTGCAGAGAATGGTGATAATGGAGAGGAAGATGGAGCTCATCGGCGTCAGACCGCCAGTTGAAGCGTTCACCTTCGATCGGCCATAACCCCCGAAGGCAGGAAGAGCCATGAACAAGCCTCCAGTGATGTTTGCAGTTCCAAGAGCAATCAGCTCGCGGTTTGCACTAATAGGCATAACGACACCGTCCTTGTTGTGGTCGCCGCCTCCCAGCGACTTTCCTGCTACCGAGGATTCGAAGAAACCTAGCAACGCTATGATGAGCGAAGTGTTGATGGCGTCCGATGCATACTTCAAGTGCGAGGTTTCGAACGGGAAGTGGATGGCAAAAATTTTACCGCCGCTGGAGTTGACATCGCCCAGCACAGCAAGACCTTTCTGGTCGAGATTGTATTTCCAGGTCAGAATAGCCGAAAGAACGACTACGACGAAATGGTCCGGTATATACGCAACGTTCGGGTAGCGTGGCTGTAGGCGCTTCTTAAATTCTCTGCATGTTGTTAGTCAGGACAGAAACCCAGCTTGACACAACGTACCTAAAGAACATGATGACACCAAAGGCAGTAAAGGACATGGCGCAGGTCAAGCCATGAGCTCGTCCGATGTTGCGGAAGAGGAAGACGACCTTGTCGATGGTGCTTCCATGAGAGACTTGGTCAGCCGCGAGCCTCGCCAGACCCATCTGAGGAATGAGCTGGTCGACAAAGATGACCACACCAATGGCGCTAATGAAGCCTCGCAAGAAGGGTCTGCTGAGAACGTTGTCCAAGAAGCCGAGTCTGAAGAAGCCCGCTACCAGAATGAAGGCGCCAGCGAGACACGTCACGATACCAGCGATCTCAGCATTCCGTCGACCATCATTGTCCCCAGTTGTGCCCTTCTTGATGTTCTCACGTACGATTTCGCCCACCAGCAGCGAACCTGGCGCCTCGGGTCCGACAATCATCTGTGGACAGGTGCCGAGAATTGCGTAGATCAAGGGGTTCAGGGCGAAGCTGTAAAGGCCGTGTACTGGTGGCACGTGTGCGAGGTTGGAGGCATACGATAGAGCCATGGGTATGTAGAAGGATGCCATGGTGATAGCTGCAACCAGGTCTCCTTTCAGATATCGCCATTTGTACTGCTGCGTCCAGTTGAGGAGGGGGATGTAATACTTGAGGTACCTGAAGCTGTTAGCCAATGCCTGCTTGCATATCGCTGTATGCCTACATCATCCGCTGGTTCTTCACACCGTGAAGTTCGGCCAGCCAACTCGTGGTACTCTTCTTTTTCCCACTACTGTTCACACCGCCGCGGGCGGACGCACCACCCAAAAGCGCACGCGCAGCGTCGCTCGTGTCGCTGTCTGGTGTGCCTGTACCTCCCGGAAACACGCCCCCGAAGCTAGTATCGGAATGTATGCTTCCTGCAAAACTTCCATAATTTCGCTGGACACCTGGTCGCCCCTGAACACCGTCTGAGCCTTGCTGCGCCAGCAGCCGCGTGCGTGCAGTCGGCTCGAGGTCAATCTCTATGATGCCACTCTGCTGGTTCACGGCGTCCTCGGGGATGGAGTGGGCAGACGCACCGTCGAGCGGGGGCTGCATGCCATCTGTGGAGAATTCGAGGTCATAAGGCGCGTCACCGCTCGAGGGCTGTTGTTCTTCATCGTAGTATCGCTGGTGATGCATGACGTCTTCCGGCGAGCTCGAGCGATCTGACGGGGCATGTGCTTGTCGCAATTGACTGGGAGTGGCGGGAGCATGCGCGTGTCGAACGCTGCCACTCGACGAGTCGCGCGAATGCGAAATGCGTGGAGGGCCATCATCGGTGTTGATTCTCTTCGGCGGCATATTGACCAACTACAACGGTAGCGAGCGTGAGGACAGTGTTAGCCGTACTTGGGCTGGCTGCTTCTCTTTTTTCTGCGGTATGAGCGGAATAGGGAAAGGTTTGTTGTGGCATACATGACGGCACCGTCACGGCTCAGACTAGGCAAATGGCGCAGGCATGAAGCTGCTTCGTGTTTTGCGCCAGCCGCTCAGGATCCTTAGCTTGGAGCAACGCCCATGTGCGATCAGAGAGCGGTCAAGATTGATCGGCTGTTGCACGTGCGGGCCCCGCTGCGTACGATGGATTCTGCGAGAATTGGGAGACGAACGCAGGACTGCAGGCGATGTCATCGCGCTGTTAGCGAGCCTTACTACGACCATCTCTGCGCTCTTTGGCTGGCTGATTTGGCCTCGGAACGGCCCTGCAGTAGTGCCGCGGTCGGAGTTGCGTGACGCCCACCGCCCTGGCAGAAAAAGCTGCCATGGAGTCATTGCGGGCATGTGTGCTCCGCGCTGCGATCTACTCCACTCTCCGATCCCCGCTCACAGCTCGTACACAGCTTCACATATATAAGTTGTTCTTCACTGCTGCCAATTGATTGCTCACATCTACTTCTTCACCCGCCATGTCTTTCCCCACCCTCCACGCACGCGCCGAGGCCAAGCCGCTGGAGCACCGATCCGCCCTCACGCCCACCACAGCGAAGAAGCTCCTCGACGCCGGCTACCCAGTCCTGGTCGAGCGCAGCCCCAAGGACCCCAACTACGCTCGCATATTCAAAGACGAAGAGTTCGAGCAGGCAGGTGCGACCCTGATTGAAGAAGGTGCATACAAGACGGCGCCCAAAGACCGGATTATCATCGGACTGAAGGAGCTCCCCGAGGATGAGTTCCCGCTCGAGCACACATTTGTCCACTTCGCCCATTGCTACAAGCAGCAAGGCGGTTGGGAGAAGGTCCTGGCCCGCTTCCCCCGCGGTGGAGGAACACTGTACGACCTCGAGTTCCTCCAAGACACAACTGGCAGGCGCGTTGCTGCGTTTGGCTACCACGCTGGCTTCGTTGGCGCTGCTCTTGCCATCAAGGTATGTTGAAAAGCCACTATGTGGGGCCACCACTAACGACCATCACAGACCTGGGCCTGGCAACTCACACACCCCAACGGCGAGCCACTCCCGGGTGTCGAGACCTTCACCGACGGACGCGGATACTACAACAACGAGAGCGAGCTGATTACTCAGCTCAAGGAGGACGTTGCCGCTGGCGAGAAGGTTGCCGGCCACAAGCCATCGAGCTTGGTTCTGGGCGCACTGGGCCGCTGCGGTTCAGGCGCAGTCGACCTTCTCGAGAAGATTGGCTGCCCCGAGATCAAGAAGTGGGACTTGCCCGAGACCAAGGAGCGTGACGGACCGTACCCCGAGATCATCGAGTCGGACATCTTCGTCAACTGCATCTACCTCTCCAAGCCCATCCCGCCATTCGTCAACAAGGAGAGCCTGAAGTCGCCCAAGCGCAAGCTTAGTGTCGTCTGCGATGTGAGCTGCGACACCACAAACCCACACAACCCCATTCCCATCTACGACATCAACACCACCTTCGACAAGCCGACCGTCGGGGTTGATGTCGAGGGCGACGGACCGAGATTGTCCGTCATCTCCATCGACCATCTCCCGTCTGCGCTGCCACGAGAGTCCTCAGAAGCATTCAGCAATGCCCTTCTGCCCAGCTTGATGGCGCTGAAGGACCGTGCGACCACACCGGTATGGCAAGGAGCGGAGAAGCTCTTCCAGGAAAAGGTACAGACGCTTCCTGGCGGTGTACCGAAGAAGGAAGTATAGACGGCTTTTTACGACTTTATGGGAACCACTAGATAAATTGCGCTTCAATGACAAAAAGCGCAGCTCCGCGCACAGAGACATACAGTGATCTGGAGACCTTCACGCATTTCCGTACATGATCGTGCATCAAGACAAACGGTGGGTGTTGCCTCAATAACCAGCATAAAGGAACCCCGAGGACCTTGTGGAGAGCGTGACACACTTGGGGTTGCAATTCAGATGAACCAATACCGCTCGAGGGTGGCGCAGCTGATGATTAACATACACGCTTTGACAAATTCTCGTCCTTGCCCAAATGCCAATGGGCCCTTACAAAACTGCACAAACACAGCAACATATTCGCAGCGAAATCTTCCATTCGCTCTGCCACCTAGAGATGGCAACTCACGAAAGCCGCGATTATGATTATACGAAGCTCGCCCACACAGATTCGATCCGCCTTGTTGAGCTTCTGCCTGGGGATGTAGGATCGCCGCTCGCATGCAATATTGTCGACGCACGCAAGAACAACGAACCCAAATACGAAGCCCTTTCGTATGCTTGGGGCGAGCCGACCATGTCACATACTGTCCGTGAATTGGCATCCCAAGCGACATTACATATCACTTCGAATTTATCACAAGCTCTGCATGCCATACGCTATGAGAACACACCTCGTGTTATATGGATCGATGCAATCTGTATCAACCAATCGGACCTGCGTGAAAAGGGACATCAGGTGGCACTCATGGGCCAAATATATCGCGACGCGCAGAGGGTTGTTGTTTGGCTTGGTCTCAAGATTGCAACAGATCGACTCCAGGTCCTTGTAGATGAATTGGTTCAAATCGCCAGAGAGTGGTCTCCATATTTTCTGGCTCTGAGTTCCCACCCACATGCAGGAGACATAATGCTCAAGAAGATGAGAAGAACTTTGAGAAGAATTTCCATTCTTCGTGTTTTCGATCAACCATGGTGAGTAGAGCTAGAAGTCATCCTTGTATAGAGGTCTAGAGCGCTGACAGAAGTATGAATAAAAGGTATAACAGAGTATGGGTGGTGCAAGAGTACGTACTCGCGCGGGACATACAATGGGTTACTGCCGAGGGTAACCTACCATCAGGATTAATGGAAGATGCTGTGGAAAACCTGCAATCTATTACCCATGAAGAGTTGATTTGGTCAGCGCGCGACCTCAAGAACTTGCGTGTCGCAGGGAGACGCATGTATCAGCTTTTCTCGCGGCGTCACAAGCGACTATCTGGAGGCCAGACAGGACAGGATGTTCAGATCTCGTCTCTTACCTCATGCTTTTTCCAAATCTCTGTTGGCAGACAATGCAAAGATCCCCGAGATAAACTCTACGCCCTGCTTGCCGTTGCCGAAGAAGATCTAGACATAAAGCCAGACTACAGCCTGTCTCCTTCCGTTATCTTTTTAGACTTCGCCATACGCTCTCTACTCAAGGGCGACCTGAATCTCTTACACGCGAGCGGCCTGAATCCAGAGATTGAAGACGGGTCGAGTCCTCTAGTGCCTTGGACAACAAACTGGGACTATATGACGAACCCGCTTGACATACTTGAACTCCGATTCAGCGCTGCATCGATCTTTCCAGTCAAAGCCAGTGCCTTTGCTAGAGATATGGTATCGATCGCTGGCGTACGCGTCGACTCACTCAGTCATTCAACAGCCAAAGATCAAGTTAACTACTATTGGGACTTCGCAAGGTGGTTCGTTGCCAAACAAAACCTACCAGGCACGGGTCTCGATGTTAATGCATGGGGCTACGATATTCTGGGCGCAATAAGGCCAATCTCACCATACAATAATCAACCCTTAAGAGTATCCTTCGAACTGCTGACTACGCTGGAGACGCAGAAACGGCCAACGCCTGCATACAACCCAGCAACACTTACTGATAATCACATGTGGTTTGCCACAGAACGATGGCAGAAGGACTGCACCATCTTCATAACGGAGCAGGGCTACCTCGGCCTCGGACCCTCCTGGAAGCTGCCAAACGACCAAGTCGTCATCTTCGACGGCGCTGCGAACCCAGTTCTCCTTCGAAAAGCGGCGAACAAGGATGGGGTGGACCATTGGCATCTAGTCGGAGAATGCTACCTCCTCGGATGGATGCATGGTGATTACTTCGGCCATACAGTGGTGGACGAGCTCCCATCTGACGCCAGCGACAGTGAACATGACAAGAAGTACTTGGTGAAGGAATCGTTCGTGCTTTGTTGATCAGAGATCAGGCAGGGTGGGGGTGTTTCGGCATGCTGGTGGTGAGCTGTCGAAATGGTTTGGTGATATGTGTCTGGACGGGTGGTCAATCAGGGTCATGATGGACATCCTTGGATATTGTGGCGCAAGGCTAAGTGGAAGGCGCAGGTAACCTTCTTTCCGACTACAAACCAGCTCCGTCTAGTCGACCGACCAATCGTTGTACTACTAGATGTGTTTCTACTCGTTACCCACACTGTATCGAACTTTTCGCATATGAAGAATCATACGAAAAAAGGAGATGTATTTCCCGCCACTCTTGCGCCATACGTCTACACATCACTTGAGACAATCGATTCAATCCGCCTAATGGAGCTCCTACCTGGCGACCAAGGAACACCTCTACGCTGCAGCTTAACACAATCGCGACGCACACAATCTAGACAATACGAAGCATTGTCGTATGTATGGGGCAAAGCAGACTTCTCGTGTACACTGGTAGAAGTTGCCACAGACACGAGTATTTCAATCACAGAAAGCCTTCACAATATGCTACAGGCTGTTCGCCTTGAAGAGGAACGCAGACGGCTTTGGGTCGACGCTGTTTGAATTGCGTAGGGGGGATATACAAGAGAAGAATCATCAGGTACGACAGATTTCTGAGTTGCAATGAATCAGATCTCCAGTGTTTACTTCGCAGTCACCAAGAACAACCTAGTCGAGCTCAGCACCGAAGAGAGTTGTGGCGGAGACAGTTTGTGTTGGGCTAAGGGGGGAAGGTGACATTTCGCATCTTCACGATGTGCACGAATGATCAACGCACATTGAACAAGGTTATACGCTCTCTCACACTTCATCTGATTATCATTATCCAAATGCGATTTCAAGGATCGACAAAACACAAACTCCATTTCCCACAAAACGTTTCCCACAATGAACAATTCCGCCATACAGCTCAAAAAGGAACGACTCGAAATTTTATGCTTCAGCAGACGATAGATGATGATGGGCGTCATATAGACATTGTACATGCCAAAAATATACACTTTCCTTCTTCTAGATAAAACAGTAAACACCATATCCCAAAAATGCTCCAAATATACAACAAACACCATTCCCAACTACATGTCTTCTCTTGCTGTAATGTATGGACTTAGCCCATATTGGCAAGTTGTTCATCAATAGTATGACTCAAGAAAATCTTCCTCTCACCCGTCAACTGCGCCTGCAACCTTTGCTCCGCAAGTGCAACAAGCTGTTTTTTCGTGATGCGGTCCAGATCCGCCTCGCGCAAACACTGCTGGACAACCTCGACGATGGTAGCATCATTGGGACCGTTCATCATGTTCTGGAAGTTGACCGTGCTGCCAGGCCGCGACTGGTCGAAGCCAAGCGGGCTACGACCGCGGATCGGCGGCGTGGAAGCCATGAGATTGTCTGAGCTCTGGAAGCCACCGTGGTTGGGACGGTTGTTGTACGGGGAGGGCTGGCGGGCAAATTGCTCGCTCATGTTGCCCATGGACATCTGGCGGCCGGCGTTGGGGTTGTCCTGGTAGCGGGAGAAATTGGAGTATGTGGATTGGCGCGTCTGCATGCCTTGGTAGGGGCCGGGGGATTGCGGGGGCATGTGCGAGATGTGCTGCATGTTGGACATGATGGTTGAGGCGGGCTTGACGGACGAGTAGACGGATTGCATGTCGTTCAGCTCGTATGCCTCGTCTTCGTAAGGGTTGAGGCCGCCCTTCTCAGATGCTTGGCCGGGCATACCGCGGCGACCGGGGAGTTCGTTTCGCTCGGCATAGTCGTCCCAGCGCATCATAGGGATAGCCTTCGGGTCGAAGCCTTCGTCGTCGGTGGTAAGAACCTTCTTAGTGCCTTGCTCGCCAATGACGACACGAGTGTTACCCCAAGAGAAATCATCCTGCTTCCAGAACGAGTACATTGGTAGAGCCAGGGAGTAGATGGGAAACGCCATGAGGTAGATGATCATCCAGCCAACGTGCTGCCATTGCCTCTTGATAATGAAGATGAGTGCCTGCAGACCATACACAGCAGCGAGCATAATGATGGAAAGCAATGGGAACTGACCCTTTCCGGACGCGACGCTGTAGATGAGGTACACCAGGTATGCGCAGATAGAAGGCAGCACAAGGGTTCCGAAAAGATCAATAAAGACCACGAAGCGCATGGAGAAACAACAGAAACCACAGAGGTCCTTGAGGAAGACGAGCTCAGCCAGGTTGTGGATGGTAGAGTTGATCCATCGACGTCTTTGTGAAAGTAGAATACTCCACGTCTCAGGGGCAGCGGTAAGGGCGTATGCGTCAGGAATAAACTTGTACGACATGGTTGGGAAGTGCTTTGTCATCAGGGTGGTCAAGTAACGATCCTCACCAAGCGAAAGCAGGTTCTTCTTGTGCAGAGTGTCGATTGCGCAGTCGGCATAGTCCTTGATGACCTTGTCGGCAATAATGAGAGGCTTGCCTTTGTCGGCTGTGCGCAGGCGGTACATGCAGAAACTATTATCGTTAGCAACGTCTGCGAAATTATACCCAAACAACTCACCATCCAGGTAAACAGGTAACACTGCCAAATAAGCTCTCGAAAGCCTTGGACAAGTGATGGGAGATGTAGTATTCGTAGACCTGGATCATCGTCCACCAGGATCGGTCTTCATTGTCCAAGCTGGTTTCACCGCAGATACCGGCAATCTTCGAGTCATTGGCGCAACTTGCTACAAGACGGTTGAGGGCATCTGGCCGGACCATCGTATCGGCATCGACCATGAGAAGATATTCGTATAGCTCGGGGTCCACACCGATGATGTTGTTGATCTGGTGAAACATTTCCAGTTCTAAGGGGTTCATTGCCGAGCGGTGATGGACACGGTTGAGGAAGCTCATGAGCAGGATTTGCGAGTCACGCTTTCCACGATTGCCAGGTTTAGACTTCTGTTGCTCCGATTCTTTACCCATCTTGACCACAACAAGGTATGGAACCACGTTGCCTTCAAATTCGTAGAGACCAGAGTAAACCTTTCCGTAGTTGAGCTGCTCGCTGCCCTCGCCAACAGACCAGAAAGGAAGAGCGGGAGGATCGACTTTGGGGTCAACACCGAGGATATCCAGGACAATCTTTGGCGTGGGCCTATCGTTACCACCACCAACAATCATACCATCGCAAACGACACAGATGAGCTTACGCTTGTTGTCGTAGGCAAGCGCAGTCAGAGAATCGAGACCTTTTCGAAGTTGGTCCTCACCTTCGGTGTAAGCGGGCACCTGACAGATGACAAACTTGTCCTGGTTTGCTGGGCGTTTTCTTGAGCCAAAGTTGAAGTGCAGCCAAGAACTTGACGACAATGACTGAGACTAGCAAGATTGCAACAGCCAACAGGATGTAGTCGTTCACTTTACAGCGTGCCGTGTCGCGGAAATCGGTCTTACCGACATAGAATTGATTGTCGAGACACTGCAAATTTTTGGCTTGTGCGTCGGCGCTCAGCAGGTTGGAATAATCCTCAGACAGGTCTGTTCCAGCCTTGCTTTTCACCAAGTCTGTCAACTTCGTGTCAAGGAACTTGTATTGAGGGAGGTCATTCATCATGTCCAGCGTCTTGAAGTAGTCCGTGAGGTCGTAGACTCGGTCCTTGAGTGTGAACCACATGTGGTTCAGGTCCTCGCCTTCTTTCTTGATATCCTTCTCTTTCCACACAAGCTCACCCTTCCTGAATTCCCGCATGGCCGGAAGGAAGACATCAGGGTACCAGTTCTCGTTTTGCAAGGCTTTGCTGTCCGCTAGGTTTGTTTGAGATCCAGACTTGTGGGTTGCGAATGTGTTCGTGAGTGTCGCGTTGGATGTCAAGAACATTTGTTTGTTGGCCTGGTTGTTTCCATCGATAAGGTTCGGGCATGCAAGGTACAGCGGTGGCATGATGTAAGGGTCCATGTCAGCACCGGCCATCTCTATCATTCGGTCTCGAGTTGATTCGGTGTTTGAGTCACTGTGCTGTTTCTTCCAGAATGATGTCAAGTCATAAACGACACCACGGTGGCTGACGAAGTAGTCGTTCTCTCCTTGATGCGATGAAACTTCGCCTCGGCTCCAAACCTTGTCCTTGTTGGGGCATAGAAGCTTGCCAAAGGCGACGATGTAGAACACGATTGCGGCGTTGAGCAAAATAATCATCAGGAACAACACAAACTTCTCTCGCCAGGCCATGCGGACATCAGGACGCTTCATACGACCAACCAATTTCAGGAGAGGCGAGGGCATCCAGAAAGTAACCACCCACACGAATGCGATCCACATTCGTCGCGATGCCGTAAGGGGGGATTCAGTGACCATGGCGTTGCCGCCAGATTCCGCGTCATAGTAAGTGACGCCTTTGTTCTCATCCCCCTTCCTTCCAAGTCCATAGTCTCCGGCGCTTTGCACAGGAATAGTGGGTGCGATCGATTTGGCGTCGGCCATGCTGCGTGGGGCGAGACTGGCTGAGCTTTGAAACGGGTTCTGGATGGCTTGCTGCTCAGGAAGTGGCGGGAAGAAGCTGCTGGCTGACGGAGCGTATGGTGCACCGTAGGCGCTTTCCATACCGCCAGCGCCAATCATACCTCCTAGCATGCTTGGCGAGCCATTGAAGTCTTGCGTCTTCTGATCAAGCTGCGACTCTGCTTCCCACCATGTACCTTCTCTGACCCATACACGTTCTGTGCCGACCACAACTTCGCCATTGCTCCATCCACGTTGCAGGACCCAGCTCTGTATGCCGTCTCTGCCTTCCATGCAGCCCAGAGGATGGTATCGTTGATAGAACTCCGCATGGTCAAAATCGGCAGTGAAGTCCAAGGATCGGTTGCGGCGGTTGGCCCACTCTGGCAATCTCCACTCTCGAAGTTGTCGGGAGACTACACCAGCTTGCCATGTTGATTGTAAATCCTGGGCAGTGGATGTTGGCATAGAGTCTGTGGGGTGAACAGCGAGCTGGAACCAGACTCTGCTACTGGCCGCTGTGATGGGTAGATCAAAGCGACCGTGCTTCCCAAGCACTACGCCTTCGCCTTGCACAGGAGCCAGCACTTGCCTAACAAAGTTGCCCTCGTCAGCCACTTCGTACATGACCTTTTCAAGCACAGCCTCGCGCCTCTCAAGATCCTGCTCCTTCTCGCGCAGTCCCGGACCGCTAATGCCAAGCTCGGCCTCACAGTTCTGGATGGCTTCTCTCATACCCTCGAGGACGGAACCGCCAGCTGGGGCAAATTGGACACCGTCTTCCTTCATCTCGGCGTTGATTCCTTCGCTGTCATCGAAAACGGTGCGTAGAGCAAGGGCTTTACCGAGTGCACGGCTGGGGACATCGACAACGGTGATGTTGACAATATCGCCAGCCTCGTCTTCGGAGTCATCTGGCGTCATCATGCCTGGCTGGCTCCCGTCACTTTCATTGCCGTGGCCCGCCTTTGCTGCTCGGATGTCTGCCTTGATGGCGGTATTTGCGTGAGCAATGACGAAGTCTACTATGGCCTCGTAGATGCCACCGATGACAAGCTGGCGCTCGTTCGAGCTGAGCTTTTCTTGCAGAACTTCTGGGGAGACGTCCAGCAGCTCGGCAACCTCCTGGCAAGTAGACTGCAACGCTTCTTCGTCCATGAAGTAGTCCAGTGTGTTTCCGAGCTTCAACAAGCCGGTCAAGCAGCTGATCAGATCGCGCAGCTGTTGTCCCTTGATTCCAATAGCCTTGAGGTTTGTGCGGAAGTCTTCGGCCGCGGCAGCATCGTCGGCGTCGGGTAGGAAATTAGGGGGATTGTAGGTGCCAGATCGGTTGAGGAGGGTGTAGCGGTCGAGAGGTTGGATGTCGAGGAACTCGCGCTCCTGCTTTGATGCTGAGCTGGAATTGAGATAGTAGAAGACATCAAAGGCGCGGAAGCCGCTGTGAGCTGGCACTTGGAGGAGGCCCTGCTGAACATCGAGGCCCGATGTGGAGAGCTTAATCTCAGCGCCGACCAGGCTACCTGTGAGGTTGATAGTGAAGACGGCTGCGAGGGCAGAGTAGCGAGCAGCGAAGGGATTTTGCGGAGTCACGCAGTGTGTGAAGGCCTTGAGCACTTCGAGTGCTGTGTAGAAGTTGCCCGGTAGCGACAGTGGCAGACTCGACACGAAGGGTGCGAAGAGGGAAGGAGTGGATTCGTGTAGCGAGGCGAGCACAATGCATCCATCCTCGGCTCGTCGGCGGGCATGTTCCCATGCCTTTCGTCCCAACTCGAGGTCAACAGTGCCGCCGATGCGGTCGTTGATGACCGACTTGGAGTTGACCCATGTGTTTACAACGAGACTGGTGCTAGCCTCGAGACTATATGCCTGGCTTTGCTTGTATGCCGAATTGAGGTAGTTCAACAGCGATGTGGTAGAGACCTGCGAAGGCGATTGACCTGGATGCGGACCCTGTGCGGACGCGGTCGAGTACACAGACATGCGTGAGTTGTTGACGAAACTCATGGTTGCGGGCTGAGGCGGGTCGCCCCTTCCGTAGTTGAAGGTGATGTCGATGCCCGGTGGCAGTGGAGGTCACGAATGGGTCGAGTAGTGTAGCGAATGTGTACCAGTGAGAGTGCCAGTCCGCGTTTCTGGGAGGCGTGCGTGTGTTATTAACGTGTAACGGGTGCAACGTCGAATTGGCTTTGGCGCCAGTTGCAAGAAGTGAGCTAGCGAGCGGATGGTATTAAACGATTGTAAAGAGGTCAAGAAAGAAACGCACACAACACGAGAAGCTCTTCAGACGGAGAAAGAGGAGCGATTGAAGTGCGTTCGTTCAGGGCGACTCTCCATTCCTCAGCGGCCGGGGGCTCTGCAGGTTAGGGCCCGTTGCGGGTTGGCGTCAGTGTAACGTTAGGGGGAATTAGCAGCAGGACGGTCGGGCGATGCGCATGCAGCTCAGTGCTTGGATTAACAAATGACCGAACGAGGATAGCCAGTCTCGGATTTTCATCGCCACGACGAGCTGGGAACTCGTCCGATGGCCAATCCGGGCCTGCTGCGGCGGGGTGGCGCGCCCCTATTTTTAGCCAGAATTTATTGTTTACATAGTGCGAGGATGATCACGGTGCCGGGGAGGTAACAGGTAGCGGCATCAACACCAGAGTAGGCTTTCTCTTGCGTGTCACGACAAGAATAGGTGGCCGCCTGTCATGTTATCGATAAGACGATGGACGACTGGCAGGGCTTGCGGAAGGAAGGAGCTACCCGTGGACCGTAATGAAGCCAGCATCGCGAATCGCGTCTTCCCCTGTAATCTGCTTTGCCATCTGAAGTAAATTGCCTTCACCACGATTGCTGCGTGCTAGCGGTCAATCATGCCTGAGCATTTTCAAAACATGTTGACGTCAAGAAACCCGGTCCCTGCTACTCCGCCAGCACCGCTCGCAGACTGACTAATTTGACTTTTTCCCAAAGGTACTAGGTACTTTGCAGACGTTACGCTTGTCATGTGCAGCGCAACGCCCGAGCCTCCTCCCGCCAGTAGCACGATTGCGTCGAGTGACTGCCTTTGCACCCGAGACACTCTCGAAAAGAGATGGGGTTGCAGATGCATACAGTCGTCAAGACAACACCAAGCCTGCACACACACGGGTGACTTTGCATTGGATGACCAGAGACGCGCAATCGATACGGGCCTTAGCGTGCATGAAGGATGCAGTATGATCGCCAGCCCCAGATGCGCGAGCCGCTAGAAAGCACCGTTGGGTCAACTACCACCACAACAGCGGGTCGAGCCAGTGTGACAAGTGGACAATGGCGAGAAGTGAAATGCCTCGTAGCAGCAAAAGTCACACTCATCGTTGTCGTGCGCGGCGGTGGCGGTCATAAGCGTCACGACGAGGTCCCGGCGGCGTTTCGTCGGCACCCAGAATGTTCTTGGTACCCTCTCCCATTACGAGCTGTGGAGCATGAAGCGTTGCCCAAGCCTCCAATACCCCCCATTGGCGTAACAAAAGTCTATTTTTGCGACCCCTTTTCACTTCAAGCCTCGTCTAGTCCGGCCTCCAAGCATCACAGACCACCACGGCGGCGCGGGCTAAACATCCCGGAAAGCCCCATCGTTTTGAGGAGAGCACTCGACCCCTTTGACGCGACTGTCAACGGCCTTCAAGACCGATTCCTTCGTTTGTACCATTTTCACCACGTTCGCTGCCGTTGTAATTATTCATTTGCTGGAGGATTGGCCCCCTTCGCCTTGTACCTACTCGCCTGTCGTTAATCCTGCATTCTCCGCATTCCAGCACTCCCACCGCCAGCCCTAATAGCACGCGCCTCAACCTCGCAAGACACCTGTTTTAAATCCTGCCACTTTCTTCGTCGACGGCTGCCTGCTTTTGCCTGACGAGAAATCCATCACAACGCCCCCACGGGGACGCGTTACACCCACCACAATGGCTGCCAACGTGCTGCAGCAGCCGTCGCTGCCCGCCCTGCCCACGCACCAGCAGAACGACACTGGCGTCACCGGCGCCCTTGCCAGTCGCTATCACGCACATCTGCCCGTGGCATTGATCTCATCGCATGGATTTGTCTCCATCAATACATACACCGATGCCAGCCGAGGTGTTGACGGCGGAAAAGATGGAAGCGCACACCAGGCCGCCGAGGACCTCGCACAGAGGGCCTACATGCGACTTGGACAACGCTCCGAGGATCAAGTAGTGGTATTCTTGTAAGTTGGCACACCTAGGTTGAGCAGGAAACGTTTCTAACACCGTGGCAGGGGCGACTCAGGGTCGGGTAAAACCACCATTCGAGGTCACATGCTGAGGTCGCTGCTCTCATACTCGGCAACACCTCTTTCCAAGAAGATTGAGCACGCCAACTTTGTCTTTGAGGCCTTCACAACCACAAAGTCGTTGACTACCCCTCTCGCATCGAAATCTGGACTCCTGCTCGAACTCCAATACAACACCTCAACGTCCAACCATGCCACATTATTGGGTGCCCAATTCCTCGCCCATCGTCTCGAGCGCAGCCGCATTGCTTCAGTACCGACTGGAGAGCGAAACTACCATGTCCTCTACTACCTGCTTGCTGGCACTAGCATTGCAGAGAAGAAGCATCTGCATTTGGACCTCGTTGGTGACGGCTCTGCGGGAAACCGAACATCGATCGGGTCGAATAAGAGATGGCGATATCTAGGACACCCCACCCAGCTTAAGGTCGGCATCGATGATCCCAAGGGCTTCCAGGACTTCAAGACGGCCCTCCGAAAGCTCGAATTCGGCAAGGAAAGCATCGCCGGTATTTGCGAGATCATGGCCACAATTCTCCATATCGGCCAGCTCGAGTTTGAAACCGGTCAATCTACCACGCCCGGTGCGGACGACAGTGGAGGCTACTCTCATGAAGGTGGTGAGTCTCTCACTGTTGTCAAGAATAAGGAGTGTCTCGCTCCCATTGCCCAATTCTTAGGCGTCGCGGTTTCCGACCTAGAGCAGAGTCTGCGCTATAAGTCGAAGACACTTTACAGGGAGCGCGTAACAGTCATGTTGGACCCCAAGGGTGCTCGGGCAAATGCGGACGAACTTGCTCGTGCACTCTACTCCTTGCTGGTCACCTGGATTATGGAGCAGATGAACTCCCGAATCTCCGTGCTCCCCGAGGAAATCTCCAACACCGTCTCACTGGTCGACTTCCCTGGTTTCCAGCACTCGGCTCAGACCGGATCGTCACTTGATCAGCTGCTCAACAATGCCGCCAACGAGAATCTCATCGCATTCACGCAAGATAGTTTCTTCAAGCGTCAGATTCAAGAACTTGAGGCCGAAGAGGTCGCTCTCCCCGGCACAGAGTTCTACGACAACTCTGAGGCGAAGAGCGGTCTACTCAAGTCTGGAAACGGACTTCTGGCCATCCTTGATGACCAGATGCGTCGCGGCAAGACAGATATGCAGTACCTGGATGTCCTTCGCAAGCGTTTCGATGGCAAGAATCCTTCGATCCAACCTGGCAGCTCTACCGTTGTCCAGCCCGGTAGCAACTTCCCAACTCCAAACACTTCGCCCATGTTCACAGTTCGCCACTACTGTGGAGACGTAGACTACAGTGTAGAGGGCATCCTGGAGGAGAACGCGGAGCTGATCTCAGGCGATATGATCAACCTTCTCAAGTCTGCCCAGGCGCCATTTATTGCACAACTCTTCGGTCAAGAAGCACTCCATAAGATGAGCCATCCGAAGGAGAAGTCCGCCATCGTGCAAGCTACCATCAGTTCCAAGCCTTCGCGTATGCCTAGTATGGCGCGCCGCAAAGCCGACCAAACGGGCCGGTACGGACGCCAAGTGAATGTTTTCGATGAAGACGCCATAAGTGATGCTGAAAGTAACGTGTCAGGCTCCAGGAAGGGAGGCAGTTCCGAGAAGCAGACCGGCGCTGCAGGCCAGACAGTCAGTGCTTTGAGGACGATCGACAGCTCAATGCGGAAAGCCAACCCCTACTTTGTCTTCTGCGTCAAGCCCAACGAGCGCCGAATTGCCAACCAATTCGATAGCAAATGCGTCCGAGCACAAGTACAAGGCCTGGGAATTGCGGAAATCAGCAATCGTGTTCGCAAGGCTGACTACAGTATCTTCCTACCTTTCGCCGAATTCCTCGGTCTTGCGCACACCGATTTGGCGATTGTAGGCAGCGAGAAGGAGAAAGTCGAGATGATCCTGGACAGCAAGCCCTGGCGGGAAAACGAAGTTCGCGTTGGTGCCACCGGTGTCTTCCTCAGCGAAAGGTGCTGGCTGGAGCTGGCGAACCTTACTGATTCTGTTCCTGTCGGTCGCGGTCTTGCTGACTCAAACGACAACCTCCTCACTCCAGACGCGAATCGGTCCTATGGTGACGCGCGAGCTGGCCTACTCTCCCCATCCCAGGGTGACTTTTACAACGACAAAGGTGGCAACTACTTTGGTAGCAAAGACGTCGATGCTCGGTCAGAGGCACCTTCTGGCATCACGAATGGCGACATGTTCCACGGACTCGAACAGCCCGTGATCGACGAAAAGGCTGCAGACAAGAACCTTGAGGAAGTCGAGGTTATACCCGTATCCGGCAGCAGAAAGCGATGGATGTTCATCGTATACATGATGACATGGATGATTCCTGACGTCCTCATCAAGTGGATCGGACGCATAAAGCGTCCCAGATGTGCGTCTCGCTTTGGCGCGAGAAGCTGGCTATCAACATGCTCATTTGGTTGAGCTGCGCTTTCGTCATCTTCCTCATGATTGGTTTCCCAATGCTAATCTGCCCGACCCAACACGTCTACTCCACTGCCGAGCTGTCCTCGTTTGACGGCAAAGGCAAGAACGACGCGTACATTGCCATGCGAGGTGTTGTCTATGATCTGGGCGACTTCATCCCCGCTCACTACCCCAACATCATTCCTCAGAAGAACCTCGAGAAGTACGCCGGCAAGGATGCCACGAATCTCTTTCCGGTACAGGTCTCTGCTCTCTGTACTGGCATCAATGGCGATATCCACCCTGGTGTACAGCTCAACTACAGGACTTCCAACTACACAGCCTCTTCTGTCAACAATTTCATCAGCAACACCGATCTCAATGCTCAGTACCACGACTTCCGATGGTTCACCAACGACTCCAGGCCTGACTGGTGGTTCGAACAACAAACCTTCCTCAAAGCAAACTATATGAAGGGTCGTGTTGGTTTCAGCCCGCAATACCTGAAGACATTGGCTGGCAAGGGTGACTCTATTGCCTACATGAATGGCAAGGTCTATGATCTGACTCAATACATTCCTGGTGGTCGTGACATCAAGCCCCCGCCTCCGGAGCAGGGTGAGCCCGATATGCCGAAAGATCCAAACTTTATGGACGATGGTGTTGTCTCTATATTCCGGGTACAGTCTGGAAAAGAGATCAGCAAATACTGGGATGGACTCGCTTTGGATCCAACAAAGAAAGCCAACATGAAGACTTGTCTCGACAATTTGTTCTACGTTGGCGAACTGGACACCAGGAGCTCTGCGAAGTGTCTTTTCGCCAAGTACTTCCTCCTTGCTATCTCCATTCTCCTGGTCAGTGTTATTGGATTCAAGTTCCTCGCTGCCTTGCAATTCACCAGGAAGACCGATCCAGAGAACATTGACAAGTTCATCATCTGCACTGTGCCAGCCTATACAGAGGACGAAGACTCACTGCGCCGTGCCATCGATTCCGCAGCGAGGATGAAGTATGACGACAAGCGTAAATTGCTTGTCATCGTCTGTGATGGTATGATTATTGGCCAGGGCAACGACAAGCCTACTCCCCGCATCGTTCTCGACATTCTCGGTGTTCCAGAATCTACCGATCCCGACCCACTGAGCTTCGAGAGTTTGGGAGAAGGTCAACGCCAACACAACATGGGCAAATGCTACTCTGGATTGTACGAAGTACAGGGTCACATCGTGCCTTTCCTGGTTGTTGTCAAGGTCGGCAGGCCTTCTGAGGTTTCTAAGCCTGGTAACCGAGGAAAGCGTGATTCTCAGATCATCCTCATGAGGTTCTTGAACCGCGTCCATTACAACCTGCCCATGAGCCCTCTCGAGCTTGAGATGCACCATCAGATCCGCAACATCATCGGTGTCAACCCTACCTTCTACGAGTTCCTGCTGCAAATCGACGCTGACACGGTCGTTGCGCCTGACGCAGCCACGCGATTTGTGGCGGCCTTCTTGCACGACACTCGCCTCATCGCAATTTGTGGAGAGACAGCACTTACCAACGCCAAGTCCTCTTTCATCACCATGATGCAAGTGTACGAATACTACATCTCTCACAACCTGACCAAGGCTTTTGAGAGTCTGTTCGGTTCCGTCACTTGTTTGCCAGGTTGTTTCTCCATGTACCGCATTCGTGCTGCTGAGACCGGAAAGCCGCTCTTTGTCAGCAAGGAAGTCGTCGAGGCCTACCAAGAGATCCGCGTCGATACTTTGCACACCAAGAACTTGCTGCATCTAGGAGAAGATCGTTTCTTGACAACACTACTCATGAAATATCACTCAAAGTACAAGACCAAGTATACCATGCGAGCCCATGCATGGACTGTGGCGCCCGACAGCTGGACGGTCTTCATGTCCCAACGTCGTCGATGGATCAACTCAACCGTGCACAACCTGATCGAGCTGATTCCTCTGCAACAGCTATGTGGTTTCTGCTGCTTCAGCATGCGTTTCATTGTCTTCCTCGATCTGCTCTCTACTGTGGTTCAGCCTGTCATTGTTGTCTACATTGGTTACCTCATTTACCTCCTGATCGCGACGCCTGATGTGGTTCCTATAACCGCCTTCATTCTACTAGGAGCGATCTATGGTCTACAAATGATCATTTTCATCGTTCGCCGCAAATGGGAGATGATTGGATGGATGATTATCTACATCCTTGCAACTCCCATCTTCGCTTTTGGTCTGCCACTCTACGCCTTTTGGCACATGGACGACTTCTCCTGGGGTAACACTCGTCTCATCACTGGTGAGAAGGGCCAGAAGATTGTCATCTCTGACGAAGGCAAATTCGATCCCGCTAGCATTCCCAAGAAGAGGTGGGAGGAATACCAAGCCGAGATGTGGGAGCAACACACAATGCGGGACGACCGTTCAGAGGTCTCGGGATACACTTACGCCACACGCAAGCCATTCGGTGGCTCCGTTGCAGGTTCTGAATACGGTGGCATGCCACCTTCGCGCCCGATGTCGCATCTCGACCTTCCCCGTTACACGAGCCAGTCTCGCGTCAGCCTGGCCCAGAGCGGCTATGGTGGCTACGAGCACGGCATCGAGATGGCACAGGCCGCCAACCTACCTACCGACGATGTCATCTACAACGAGATCAGAGACATTCTGTCAACATCTGATCTCATGACCGTTACCAAGAAATCCGTGAAGTCCGAATTGGAGCGCAGGTATGATGTTCTGATTCTCACTGAATGATTAGCTTGTACTAACACTACTCCAGATTCCAATGCGATCTCACACTCAAGAAGATGTTCATTGGCCAGTCAGTCGAAGCACTGCTTGTCAATGGCATCCATTAGCGATTTTCCATTCCGTAAGATAGTGGCGGGTTCTCATCCGTTGATGCTTTACGAGTCTATGCGTCGCCCAAAATCTTTTTGTATCTTCACTCTCTTGTATCATCAGCACATCAGCAAGAGCTGATACTATCTAATCACCGCATTCATTCATCTTGACGGATCTGGGGTGTTCATACATGGCGTTTTGTGTAGTTTGAAATAGCATTGGTGGGACAATGGGATTAGAAGAAGGCAATTTAAACGATGAGAAGAAGCTATGGCAGATACAGCATAGTAATACATCACATTCAAGAAACGAATTCCCCGTTCCTCTTGTGAGTACACGATTTAGGGAAAGGTACTCTTAAGAAAGTCGCGGCCATGATGGTCCGTGCGCGCGTGAAGCGTACCCCGCCACGGGCCGCCACAGAACAATCGATAGCACAAACAACGACTAATTTCGACCGTCAGTGTCGCGTTTGCCTCGCGCCTGCAACTTTTGTCGCTCTTTCCAGGCCCAGACCTTGATTGGTTCTAGTCTGACTCACAGCACCTGTCTCTTCGGACTTTAGGCACTATTCCGACGCTCTCGTAGACCGACTGAGAGAGCAAACTCGGCAACTCGAACCCCGCCACAGGGAGTTCTTTGAAGCGACGAATCCACATCCGAACACGCTCAGTCCAAGTTCACACGCCCGTACAACAGTCGCCATGGCACCCAAGAAGAAGGGCAACAAGAAGGCGCAGGATGACGACTGGGAAGCCGAGATGGGAGAGACCATCACGCCCCAGAACGGCGCAGAGGAGCCCAAGGCAGAAGATGCGGCGCCCGCCGAAGATGCTGCGGAAGGTGGTGGCCTCATGGCTGCGCTGCAAAGACGCGGCAAGAAGAAGAAGAACAAGGGTGCAGACTTCGAGCTAGAAGGCGAGGACCCCACTGCCGACGATGGCGCGGGCGCATCGTTCGAGAGCAAGGCACCACAAGAAGGCACTTTCGATGACGACGATGACGATGTGTTCGCTGGCAACTATGGCAAGAAGAAGAAGGGCAAGGGCGGTGCGGCTGCTGAGAAGCAGGAAGAGGAGAAGGAAGAGAAGACGGACGATGCGCCTCGAGTGAAGACCAAGGCGGAGAAGGAAAAGGAAAAGAAGGAGAAGGAGAAGCAGCGAAAGAAGGAGTTGGTGAGTTCTTTCACTACACATCGAGCGACCTGCGAATGAGACGCTGACTCTGCATATTTAGGCTGCAAAGAAGAAGGCCACTGGCCCTGCCAAAGCCGCTGAACCCGCGAAGCCTGCCGAAACCAAAGCAGAACCCGCTGCTGCCCCTGCCGCCTCCACACCTGAGCCTCCCGCAGCTGGTGGAAAGAAGAAGAAGCTCAGTCCGGCACTCGCTTTACTCCAGAAGCAGCAAGAGGAGCGAAAGAAAAAGGAAGAGGAGTTAGCTCGTCTAGAGGCCGAGGAGAAGGCCAGGATAGAAGAGGAAGAGCGCCAGGCCGAGGAGGAGCAAAAGAGACAAGCTGAGGCCAGAGCGGCGAAGAAGCAGAAGGAGAAGGAGAAGATCGAGCAGCTCAAGAAGGAGGGAAAGTACATGACTAAGGCGCAGAAAGAAGCCAAGGCCAAGGCTGATTTGCGCTTGAAGCAGATGCTCGAGGCCGGAGGAGCCAAGGTTGCTGCGCTCGAAGAACCAGAGGCTCCGAAGAAACCTGTGTACGACGACCGAAAGAAGCGCAAGAAGCAAGCAGAGGAGCAAAAAGCGAAGGAGGCACGCGAAGCTGAAGAAGCAGCCAAGAAACTCGAAGAGCTCAAGCTCGCCGAAGAGCAAGCCGCTGCCGCTGCTGCCGAAGCGGAAAAAGCCAAACTTGATGCCGAGGCAAAGGACGACGATTCTGGCGATGACTGGGAAAAGCTTGCAGACGAAGATGACGGCATCAAAGACAGCTGGGACGTCGACACCGACGAGGAAGAGGAACGCAAAGCCTCTGAAAAGAAGGCAAAGGAAGAGAAGGCAGCCAAGGAAGCCGCAGAAAAGGAGAAGGCCGCACCATCCAAGAGCTCACAAGCCAAAGGTTCTGATTCCGACTCCGAAACCGAATCTGATGAGGACAGCGAGGATGACTCCTCAGAAGACGAGCAAGGCACCGCGACTCAACGTGCGGAAGCGGCACGAAAGGCTGCGGCTGCTGAGAGGCGAAAGCAGGCTCACGAGGAGGCTCTCGCAGCTCGTTCAAGAGACAACTTGCGATCGCCCATTTGCTGTATTCTTGGTCACGTCGATACCGGAAAAACGAAGCTTCTCGACAAGATCCGACAGACCAACGTGCAAGAGGGTGAAGCTGGAGGTATCACGCAACAAATTGGTGCCACCTACTTCCCTGTCGCTGCACTTGAGAAGAAGACCGCTGTTGTCAACAAGGACAATGAATTCGTATTCAACGTCCCCGGTCTTCTGATCATCGACACACCTGGCCACGAGTCTTTCACCAACCTCCGATCCCGTGGTTCTTCACTCTGTAACATTGCCATCCTTGTCATAGATATTATGCACGGTCTCGAGCCTCAGACTATTGAGTCCATGAAACTTCTCCGTGACAGGAGGACTCCATTCGTCGTCGCTCTCAACAAGATCGATCGTCTTTTCGGCTGGAAGAAGATCGATAACAACGGCTTCGAAGACAGTTTCAATCTCCAGAAGCAGGCTGTGCAGGCCGAGTTCGAGGAGCGATGGACTTTTGTTCGCACGCAATTGCAGGAGCATGGTTTCAACTCGGAAATCTTCCACAAGAACAAGAGCTTGTCCAAGTACGTCTCCGTCTGCCCAACCTCGGCGCATACAGGAGAAGGAATCCCAGACATGATCAAGCTCATTGTCAAGCTCACCCAAGAGCGTCTCACAAACAACCTCATGTACCTGTCCGAGGTTGAGTGTACCGTCCTTGAGGTCAAGGTTATTGAGGGCCTTGGTACTACCATTGACGTTGTGTTGTCGAACGGTGTTCTCCACGAAGGCGATCGAATAGTGCTGTGCGGTAACCCAGAACCTATTGTCACGAACATTCGAGCTCTTCTCACGCCAGCGGAAATGAAGGAGCTGCGTGTCAAGTCACAATACGTGCACAATAAAGAAGTCAAGGCAGCCATGGGTATCAAGATCTCTGCCGATGGCCTCGACACGGCTATTGCTGGATCCCGTCTGCTCGTTGTCGGCCCTGATGATGACGAAGAAGACCTCATGGACGAAGTCATGGGTGATCTCGCACATTTGCTCAGCAAGGTCTCCAAGACTGGTCGTGGTGTCTCCGTCCAAGCATCGACACTGGGTTCCCTTGAAGCGTTGCTTGAGTTCTTGCGTGTCTCCAAGATTCCCGTGTCCACCATTTCCATCGGTCCAGTCTTCCGAAAGGATGTCCTACGCGCAGGTATCATGTTAGAAAAGGCCAAAGAGTACGCCGTCATGCTGTGCTTCGACGTCAAAGTCGACAAAGAAGCCAAAGCCTATGCCGACGAGATCGGCGTCAAGATCTTCGAGGCGGACATCATTTATCACCTGTTCGACAAGTTCACAGCGCACATGAAGCAGCTCGAAGAGCAGAGGAAGGAAGAGTCGAAGATGTTGGCAGTCTTCCCCTGCATCCTGCGCCCCGTTGCCGTATTCAATAAGAAAGACCCGATCGTCATCGGTGTCGACGTCGTGGACGGAAACCTCAAGATGACCACACCCATCTGCGCAATCAAGAAGAACCCTGCCACAGGCGTCAAGGAAGTTATCAACCTTGGTCGAGTGTATGTATCCCTCCTCACCCTCACTCATGAACACTCACTAACGCAACAACAGCACCTCCATCGAGCGCGACCACAAGCAAATCGCAGTCTGCAAAAAGGGCCAGCCCTCCGTCGCCGTCAAAATCGAAGGCCCCAACCAGCCCATGTACGGCCGCCACCTCGAGGAAGGCGATACGCTGTACTCTGCGCTCAGCAGGAAGAGTATCGACACGCTCAAGGAGTTCTTCCGGAGCGATGTTAGCATGGATGAGTGGAGGCTGATTAAGGATTTGAAGCCCATGTTTGATATTTCTTAGATGGGTTGAGTCATGGCGGGATAGGTTAGGCTGTGTATGATCTGTGTTCACGGCGTATAAGCATGGTTTGGCGCTTTTTGCTTTCTCGGTTTAATGGGAGGGATACATATATGGGAGGAGGTTTCTTATAAGTAGAAATAGGTAAGTCTAGTTACAAAAGTGATATACTCTGACCACTATTTTCCCATCTCCACAGCTCATCCTGCACCCATTCCAACTCACATCTCATCGATCATCAGCACTGCTCGATCATGACCGCCCCCGATCCCGCCCTCAATCTCATCACACGATGTCTTAACAACAACGTAAACCTAATCCCTCTATCTTCCCCACAAACATTCTTTGATGCGTGGGGTTAGTCTACGAAGCACAAAGACTTTGCCGGCGAAGTGAGATGTTAGTCGCGGACGCTAGAGGCGGGTCGAGCCCCCGGTGGGGGGTTTAGTGGAGGTTTCGGGGAGGCTAGCGGAATGCGGAAGTGGTGATTTTGTGGCTGTGTATCAAGGTAGGGTGAACGTGTGATGAGAGAATGGGGGAGGAGATGGAGAAGAGGGTGCATTGTGGTAGGTGGGTGACTGGGATCTGATGGTTGGTTGTGTTGCTGCCAGTAGTGGTCGGTCATGAATGGTTGTTACTTCCTTATTCAGCTTGAAGTACACGGCCGAACACAGTTCCTCGATCTCTCCATATCACGATCGTAGCGCGGTTATCTCGCTTACCACTGATGGCGGACAGCTCGTCGCCTCTCGGAATATCTCCAACCACAGCCATCAGCCTAAACTCTTCACCCACAGCAATTGCACCAACATTATTATACGCGGGGATTCGCTCCGATGCTGTTCTGTCCTATCACAAGGCTGCCGCGGACTAGCTCGCGCGAAGGCACGATTGGTCTGATGGTCGAGAGCTCGCAAACATCCGCATGCGGCTTGTCAGAAAGTCTGTCAGGGTCCCGAACCACTCGGCAACACCGAGACACATCATACCCAAGAACGAGAAGGGTCCTTAGCATATTGATCGACTAGCTTACAACGTGTAGAGCGGACACTTGTGCACGCGATTCCTTTGAGCTGGGAACATGTCTTTTGTACCTCGTAGACTAACTCCACTGGCTAGCCAAAATGCTCGATACACCTACTCCATCGTCCCAGGCTTCGCACCTTCGGATCAGGGCATCCGCAATTGCATCAGGAATGGCTCGAGGCCTCAGGGTAAAATAACAAAGACATGGAGATATTGGAGGCAATATCGCCATGACGAGAGCGAAGAGGGCCTGACATGAGGAGGAAGAGATATATAAGGAGTTGTTGAAACCACCAGAGGAGAATCATCAGCATCCCAACATCTCAGCTTTTCTCATCGCTTCTCTCTCCATCAATCCTCTATCGCCATCATGGTGAACACCGTCGTCACTGCTGGCACGGCCTTTCTGGCTGTTGCCAACGCTGCTCCTGCCTGGACACTCCCCGGCATCAATCTTGGTGTCGGCCTTGGGCTGGGTATAGGTGGCGGAACTGGTGCAAGCTCTGCTCGTGCCAGCTCTTCTACCGCCGCAGCTACCAACGCAGCTGCTCCCACCGTACCTGCTGGCATTGCGACTCCATCGTCCACCCCCGCACCAAACGGCACGCCATCACCCGCCTGGTCTCTTGCCGAACTTTTCGAGTGGCTTCGCTTGAGACAGGTAGCTACCAGGACTGTCACTGTGCATGATCTGCCTACGAATGCACCTGTGTGCAGTCTGGGCAATGGGCTTCCGGGATTGCCAGAACCGAGTTTGCCTGCTTTGCCTAGCATCGGGCTCCCTGATGGGCCAAACCCCGGGCAGACTGCTGCTCCGGGTCTTCCAAGCATTGGCCTTCCTAGCATTGGTGTTCCCAGCATTGGTGTTCCCAGCATTGGCCTTCCAAGTGTCAGCCTTCCAAGTGTTGGCCTTCCAAGTGTTGGCCTTCCCAGCATTGGCCTACCAAGTGTCGGTGCGGGCTTCCCTGAGCCAAGTCTACCGGTTCTTCCTAGCATCGGACTTCCCAGTGTTGCTCTCCCGAGTCTTCCTCTTCCCAGCAATGGTCTTCCCAGCATCGGTCTTCCTAGCATCGGTCTTCCCAGCAATGGTCTTCCCAGCAATGGTCTTCCCAGCATCGGTCTTCCCAGCATCGGTCTTCCCAGCATCGGTCTTCCCAGCATCGGTCTTCCCAGCATCGGTCTTCCGTCTCTGCCTACACCCAGTCTGCCGACTGTGACTGATATCGACCTCCCAGGATTGCCTAGCAGCCTGGCCCTACCTACTCTTACTATCCCATCGGGCCCTGGTGTAGAGATTCCCAGCGGACCTAGCATCGCTCTTCCCACTCTGCCAGCTGAGCCATCGCTACCAGTCATTGATCTTCCTTCACTACCGGCTCTTCCTTCGCTGCCGGCTCTTCCTTCGCTGCCGGCTCTTCCTTCGCTGCCGGCTCTTCCTTCGCTGCCGGCTCTTCCTTCACTGCCGGCTCTCCCTTCACTACCGGCTCTTTCACTACCGGCTCTTTCACTACCGGCTCTTCCGTCTTTGCCAGCAGATCCATCATTGCCAATTGATTTGCCCTCATTACCGGTAGTCACGGCGCTTCCTACGCAGCTACCTGATATCTCTGTGCCTGGCATCCCTCTCCCATCTCTGCCAGTCATTGAACTGCCCTCGCTACCGGCTCTTCCATCTCTGCCAGCGGATCCATCTCTACCAGTCATCAATCTTCCTTCTCTGCCGGTCATCACAGATTTGCCAGATATCTCTATCCCAGGTGTTCCCCTGCCATCTCTTCCTGTGGTTCCATCTCTACCAGTTATTGATCTGCCCTCTCTGCCGGTCATTACAGCGCTACCAACCCAGCTGCCGGATATCTCCTCCATACTGAGTGTCCTTCTTCCATCTCTCTAACCCAAGTCTGCCGGCTCTTCACTTCCTTCCCAGCCGTCTCGGTACCGGTGATTTCGTCTGTACCAGCGATCAATCTTCCTAACCCAAGTCTACCATCTCTTCCTTCCTTCCCAGCCGTCTCGGTACCAGCAATTGATCTTCCGGGGCTCCCCTCGTTACCTATCGGTCTACCATCTCTGCCAGTCATCACTGCACTGCCTACCCAGCTGCCGGCTATTCCTTCTCTCCCGGCGATCTCTCTCCCATCCGTACCGGCGATCTCTCTCCCATCCGTACCGGCGATCTCTCTCCCATCCGTACCGGGCGATCTCTCTCCCATCCGTACCGGCGATCTCTCTCCCATCCGTACCGGCCGATCTCTCTCCCATCCGTACCGGCGATCTCTCTCCCATCCCGTACCGGGCGATCTCTCTCCCATCCGTACCGGCGATCTCTCTTCCCCTCTTTACCGGCGATCTCTCTCCCATCCGTACCGGGCGATCTCTCTCCCATCCGTACCGGCGATCTCTCTTCCCCTCTTTACCGACGATTTCTGTGCCAGCGGTTTCTGTGCCAGCGGTTACTAGGGCCAGCGATCTCTCTTCCTCTCTTTGCCGACACTTTCTGTGCCAGCGATTTCTCTGCCAGCGGATTTCTCTGCCAGCGGTTTCTGTGCCAGCGGTTTCTGTGCCAGCGGTTTCTGTGCCAGCGGTTTCTCTGCCAGCGGTTTCTGGTGCCAGCGGTTTCTGTGCCAGCGGTTTCTGTGCCAGCGGTTTCTGGTGCCAGCGATCTCTCTTCCCTCTTTGCCGACACTTTCTGTGCCAGCGATTTCTCTGCCAGCGGTTTCTGTGCCAGCGATTTCTCTGCCAGCGGTTTCTGTGCCAGCGATCTCTCTTCCCTCTCTACCGACACTTTCTGTGCCAGCGATTTCTGTACCGGCAATTTCTGTCCCGTCCCTGCCGGCTGTTCCCTCCCTGCCAGTCATCAGCATTCCTGGAATCGGACTGCCAAATCCCAGACCAACAACTCTCGCGACCGTAGTCTCGTCCGCCGCGCCAACAACCACAACTCCTACTGGTCTCACCACCACTATCCTCCCACGAGCCGCCGACTTCGAGAACAATGTCGGCTTCCCACTTCTCGCCTTGTCTCCGATCAACACCTACCTTGACATCTTCTGGCAAGGCTTCACGCTGGCCCAGACCCCGGCGGCCCAGGGCATCCTTACAGTCGTCCCATACAGTGGAACCAACGTCGCTAGCTTCTCGTCCCTCAATATGCTGCAAGGTGGGGCCGCCATGAGCGTCACCTACGCTGGTAGCGTCGTAAACACTTTCGACTTGACCTCGTTCTTTTACGGCTGCGCCTTGCCCATACCCCTCGGTTTCGTGGCAGTACCGACAACATGCAAGATTACCATTAAGGGATACACTGACGATGCGGCCACGATCTCGGTGGGCGAGCAGACCTTCAGCTTTACTACAAAGGTTGGACAGACAAGCGCGCAGATGAGCAAGGCGCTGGTGGATGCAAAGTTCAAGGGATTGAAGAGGGTGACATTCACGACTGACACTCCTCTGGCGGCCGGCGTTATCGACTCGGTCAGCTACTCGATTAACAAGTGGACTGGATTCTAAGCAGACGGTGCAAGAGCTGCAAGATTGAGGAACAAATGCTAAATTGAGAATTTGCGAGCGATGATGATGATGATGATGAGTTTGAGTTACTGGGTTTTCTTTTGGAGTTTTGGGCTTTGTCAGGCAATTTTTTAGCAACGAATAACGAATATGAATACTTTCCTTAATTGAAAGCTTCTTCTTCTTCACATTATTCTCTTGCTTATTGACTGAACTAACAATATCATCTCTCGTGTTTCGTATCTCGGCGTCTTAGTCTCTGGTCCTGAACAGTCGGCAGTGTACATTCTCTAAAGTACAGAAGACCACGGCGAATTGCTTGTTCCCTCGCTTTGCGCTCTGTGTTCCAGCCTCTCCCAACAATTGAAAGTTGTACCGTAATTCGTTAAGTTTTTGATCGATGGCCTTTCCATTGACTTCCGACGATGAATCTCGTGTATTTCCACAACTGATGACATCCGCTACGGTGATCGATCTCCGCCCGATAAGGGCTGTTTAAGTTTGTGATGTCGTTCCACAACATTTGAGGATCATCGCGAATCAACACCGAGCCCAACGCGTGGAAGCATAGTTGCGTCATTCGAACTTCTCCTGCTCGATGATCGGCGGTGACTCAACGTGCGCAAAAGTGGTCGTAGCTCGAGATCTTCGGCAGGTTGTACGCGAATTGAGGGGACAATTGTGTCTGCCTTGTTTGTTTGTGATGATGTGTTTCCGAGAGAAGGGAATAGAGCGTGGACGATTTGCATGGTGAGGACGGCGGACATGGTGATGTGGTGGATGATGGGATTGGTAACAGTGATTTAGAGATCTTTGGAGCTTGAGAGATACTGTGGATGTTATCGTGTTGAAGAAGCACTAGAGTCCGGGCGTGGTTTTTATATCCAAGCAATAGGCTCACCTACATATACTGCTCGACCTTCTAAGCCTTCATCTACATTTCCGAAATAGGCAGTCGACAATGCGAACGCGCCAATCACAACACGGGCTTATTGCTGGGGTAGCGAGGCTTAGATTTTCGGCTTTCAGACGCCCAGTGAGCGTCGCATGGACGCGTATGAACGAGTCCAGGAAACTCGATGTGATTGGTCGTGTCGTGGGAATGTGTGGGGCACAGTGAAGTAAGCCCCGGGCGCAGCCCAGTGGATGCCTGAACATCATCGAAGACCGACCGTACTGCGCTTTTGGATGGCACTGAGTATCGCCAGTAATCAACAGGTACAAACCTCGGTATGATGAAATGAACAACGTGTGCAGTACTTGGTACATGTGTACTTCGCAAAGGTTACACAAGCACTTTGTACATCCAGCCGCCGCAAACTACAATAGACACTTACCAGATCTTGGTTTAATAGCACTTTCCACAGACGAATAAACAACGACATTAATGAACGCCTCTCCAAGTGTGTTTATCCTGCGGTTGGGTTATGTTTGCTGTCGGTTAAGCAAAGTCCAAGCGATTTAGGGAAGCATGCATGACAGAATTCGACGGCATGCAAGGAGACCTAGATGCTGTAAGGAGACCTAGATGCTGTGAGAAGACCGAATTTACAGCGAGAGACAATAAACAGTTGAAACATGCAGCGAGTATTATAACCATTGTTGGATATCAACCCTACGAACATAGCTGTTAAGGATATACAGACCTGCAAACTGTCCTTCCGCACCCTCGAATTCTGACTATTTAGCCCCACACCAGCATTTTTCCTACCCCGCACCCATCCAAAAGTCCTTCTACAATCCTTAACTATCCTTACACATTCGTTCGAACCTTTCCGAGTCTCTTCTGCGGCTCGTTTTCTGTTTGAAATCAGGATATATTTTAGCTACGTGGGTTTTCTTGTCGATTTCTCCATCCGACACGATGGCCGAGTGGTCTAAGGCGGTAGATTTAAGCCCCGCTTGGATCTCTACTACAGAAATGTGCGTGGGTTCGAACCCCACTCGTGTCATTTTGCTCTTTTTGGCCTTCCTTTAGGCCTGTGGATGGTTTTTTTTTTGGGCAGGTTGGGTGTTGTTGGCGTGGTGGGTGGTGAGAAGAACGTGGCGGCGTGATGAAAGAAAGTCACGGCTCCCAGCGCGAGTATGGAAATGGCGAATAGGACTTATGTACATGCAAGGTTGAATTCGTGAGGAGAGTTGCTGTTCATTTCGAGGTTGGTCGTATGAACATTACTAAAGTCTATGTACACGAGCTTTTGCGAGTCGACGATTGTACAGTAACACACTCCATATATACTTACAGCATTCACAACAACTCCATCTATAGCTAGCACCCTCTTTCAAAGCCACTCACTACAACGCGTCATGGAAGTACTCCATCTGCAGCTTGTCGTTGGTGCTCGGCATCGACTGAATCGCCCTCAGCGTCATCGGGGCCGCTTCCTCCAACTTTTCACGCAGCCAAAGACCCTTCTCCTCGTCATACCCAATAGCGTTGCGCTCGTCGCGCCGGACGTTCCTGTACTGCGCTGCCAGGACAATGAGTGTCTTGTATCGTGGCATGATGCTGTCCGGCCTGATGTCGTCCCATCGCAGCTCCATCCATCTGTAACCCTTGCGGTCTTTGCGAATGTAGTTCGGGTGCAAACTGCGCCAGCCAGGGAAATTGGGCATCAAGTACTCTTCACAGATGGCGAAGGCAGTAGAGATTTTACCGCGCTGCGCGAGTGTAGTGACAAGCTCGTTCCAGGTGAAGACGTCAATGGTGTAACCAGCGGCCGCGAGCTCGGCCATGGTACGCTGCGCTTCTTGCAAGGCCTCCGTATTTGGATTCTTGGAATCAAACAAACTGCGCATATACACGCGCGTGGCTTTGTACAGGATGTTACGGCGATTCGGGGCGATTCGGGATTGCTCAAAGCTCTCTCTGATCGAGGATGCATCTAGCAAGTCGCCCGACGTGGGTACCGGTGTTTCTTGGATTGCGATCTCTGAGAACGTATTGACGAGTTTCCTAGCAGAAGTGCGTGCAAGCTCCCACATGCGCGCTACTTCGGCGTGCTCGCCGGCTTTAAAGTGCACCTCCATTGCCCCTGTGGCAAGAGTGATGGGCACTGTGTAGTTTTGCACGTCTGGTTTTAACCGCTCGGCTTTCTTAATCAGACGCATGCAGGTCTTATATGCGCCTCGTTGTGCATACAGCGAGATCAAGAGACCATACAAGGCCTGCGGCCCTGAACCATAGTTACGAGTATCCATTTGTCGCGTATGTTGCGGTTCTCGATACATAGCTTGTCCTTGCAACGCATCAGCGAGCATTTCTTCCACAGCTTCGTCAACGTCCTTCAGTTTGTAGTTTGCATGCTTTTTGGTGTTTTGTAGTTCCTTTATTTGCGACATTCCAAGCGTGCGTATTGTTGCTTCTTGCGAGCTCATCGTTTGCGGTATCTTCTCCTTTTTCATTTCCTGGTAGACCTGGACGGCCAAGTCCAGTTGTTCACCACCTTCCCTCAGAAAACCAGTCATGACAATGGCGTAATGTAGCGCATGAATGCGAAGATTATTGCGAGGCATGGTTGTCCTGAGAATCTTGTAGGCAGCGTTTGTCTGTTTGACCTCAACAAGCGCTCGCATCAAGCTACCATATGTCCAGGAGTCCAAAGGAATATCATGATCGATCATTTCCCGGTATCGTGCTCTGGCGCCTGCAATATCACGCTCGAGCGCACAGTGCTGGATTAGCAGGTTCCAGGTGTACGTCAGGTTGCCGCTCAGAGTGCCCGCACTCCAAGCTTTGAGCAGTCCTTGCGCAACAGCCTCAGCGGCTTGTACATCGCCAGATTGCAAGAACACCTCAACATATGCAGACCTCACTCTAAGGTTTTGCACCAATTGAACGCCTGTTTGCTCCGCTCGCGAGTACAATGCTTCAAATGCTTCGACATCGCCTCGTTGAGCGCAAGCATCAAGCAGCGTTCCGAAAGTATAAACGTCCGCAGCAATACCGTTACCCACCATTGTGTTAAAGCACTCTAGGGCTCCATCAAGGTCGTCGGCGCGAAAGTATGCCAATATTAGAATGTTCCAACAAACTGTATCTGGTATCAGACCGAATTCGTCACGGATCCGGTGAAACTGCGCAATTGCTCCCTCGACGTCTGCGCGTCTTGCACAGGCAAAAGCTAGTGCTGATACCAATTTTACGTCAGTCTGGTCCTTGTAGTAACGTCGAAACTCCTCAAGATACTTTTCGGTCTGAGCAAAATCTCCGTGCTCGGCAAATCTGTGCACCATATACTTGAGCAAGCCGGCCCTCATTGGCTCCTTGGGGTAAAACATGTGATGGTCTGAAATCACTGCGTGCGCCTGTGCGAATTGGTCGCGACGCCAGTAATAAATGATCAAGTTTCGCAAGGTGTGTAACTTTGGTTTTGATGACTTGTGCTTGTGTTCCTCCGACGACTCTCGGCTGTCCAAGCATAGCTGCCGATGCTCCCCCCACACTTTGGCGATGAGTGAAGGTATCTGGTCTACTGCGCGATTACTTGGTACGTTCAACAGACGACTGATCGTATGTTCGTTGATTACCGACATTGGGAAGTTGAGCTTGACCAGTGCCTTGTGTAGTCGACGGATGAACTGTGCCACACCGTGCTCGCTCCACGTGGAACTTTGCATGACCTGGTCCATCGTATGAGGTACGAATGTCATGGTGAAAAGCAGCAAAGCTCTCTTCTTTTCCTTGTCTTCCTTTGGTCGTTCCGGGGAAGGCAGATGTTCCTCTTGCTCCAGCGGGTCAAACAAATAGCGGAACTCGCGCAGATACAACAAAAATGACCGCAAGTGATTATCGAGTCTATTCAATGTGGCGACGCCCTTCCAGATATGAGGCAGTGTATTGCCCCATCGTATCCACGTGGTCACAGGTGTTTCACTGACGGTGAAGGTGGGCTTTTGTTCAAGGTATAAGCTGAAGACGCGGAGACTGAGATCCCATTGTTCATCGAGTACGGTACGGCGTAATACGAGGTCGATGCCGATAACTGAGTAGTCAAGTTCGTATTGTGTTGAGAGTGCATCTTCGAGAAGCTGCAGCGCAGGCCCAACCATTCGCAGGGACATGTACGACGCTATAGCTGCTCGATAGGATGAGTCTCTGCGGTGTTGTTCAGGGATCTCTTCGAAAAGCTTCAGCACCCGGTTAGGCACAGGGGGATCGTCGTCTATGGCGAGATATTCTAGCAAGTCTGCTCGCAAGTGCCAATGTCCGTCTGCTGCAAGATGAGCTGCAGGAATGGAGCTGTACAACTTCCAGGCTTCGTCCTGCCCTCCCGGTTTCTGGTGGCCCAGGAATTCGCGAAGTTTGTGCAATGCCTGCGCGTCTTCCTCAACTGCCGGCTGTTCATAATGCGCGGGTACCGTGGCGTAGTGGCGGACAGGAGGAGCATGAATACAGCGCCGTCGTGGCGAAGTTGCGTCGATGGTTGGGACGGATAGTTGCCTGAGCAAGGCAAGGGTTTTCTCGGGGTATAGAAAGTCTAGAAGCGGGCCAGAGGGCGAGGCTGATTGTGTGGAAATTGGAGTTTTGGCTGCTCGGCTTTCAGCACTGTCGTTGCTGCTCTCGTGCGCGGAAGGTGCAGCCGACCATGTAGGCAGGCTGAGGTCGCTGGCACCGTGGTGCCAAAAGGCCGAGTGCAGGGAACGTCGGGCGCGAAGACATGGCTTTGTGGTGCGAAGAAGCTTGCGTCCGCCGGATTCAAGGCAGGTCGAAGTGCGCTCCAGCATCACCTGATGCGCCTAGTCGTGTAACGCAGCTGTGTCAGGCGTGGAAAAGTTGAAAGCGAGAGCGCGTATGGAGAACGATAGAGGTGGGAACAACAAAGTACGATGGGGACATGGACGGAACACGGGTGCGTAGCAATTGAGAATGCAAAGTACTAGATCCAAAAAGTTTCGACGACGACATCACAGAGATGCAAGATGCACTTAGCACTAGTTTCCGCTCGGTAGTGCAGCCGTGTCCAGTGTGCCCCTCGTCGACTCCAGCACCCACGTTCTAGGCGCAACCACACAAACATCGCCGGCTTCCTCGCCATGGACATCACCAAGTTTGTCAGCGAGTTCCGCGAGTCGGCGTTCCTGCTGGGCGACTACAGCACATATCACACCCAGTTGTCCCGCCGTCTGCGGATCGTGGAGAAGAAGCTTGGGCGGGCGACCCCCAAGAACGCCAAATATGCTGCAAAGGCCCCTGTCACTGCCGAGGACATTGCAAAAAACAATGAGTGTGTTGGCAATTGCACTTTGCGCACAGTGGACAGCTGCTGACAGGCTTAGATTTCTTCATCTGCTGCTGCTCACCTCGGAGCGGGCATGGGCCCAGGCAATGGCTATGAAGGCAGCCCACTCCGAAGACAACGCCGACAAAAACATTACCGGCTCGACACGCAAGCACATCGTTTCGCGACTTCACAAGGCGGTTCAGACCGCCAAACAAATCATCCAACTGCTTTCCGACTCAGGCGCAAGCGGCGCAAACGACACAGACGTACTAGAGGCAAAGGCATACCGATACGCCTTGGCTGGTGCTGAAGAATTCGAGAAGCAGGCCGAAGGTGTCAAAGCTAGCAGCGCTTCACCGCAACGCTGGAATTTATGCCTGACCAACTACTCGGCTGCAAGAGTCATCTATAGCTCACTGCTGAAGGCTACGAAGAAGGACTTGTTCAAGGAAGTGCTCGGTGGAACGATTGATCCCAGCATTCGCTATGCTGCTTACCAGAGTCGCATTCCCAGAACAGTTGGTGTGCCCGCTATCGCCAGGAAGTTCTTTCCCCAGGACGAAGCAGATTTGGTGAAGGCTGTCAAGCAGCTGGATGCTGCGTCCTTGGAGGAGGAAGACGATGCATCGTCCCGTACGTCTGCTGCAACTCATTCACTATCAAGTCTAACAAGCTACAGACACTCAGATTACCTGGCGAGGTCGAGCAGCAAACATTGTGGATGCTGCCATTGGGCAAGCGCTCGTTTCTGCCGACGCTGCATCGGCTGTGCTGAACGATTCCCAAGCTGGCGCTGCCACCGCCAAGGATCGCGCCAACGCATATGACGACATTCTCATCGCGAGTCAGGACACTGTAGACGCAACCCGAAGAGCCATAGAGGAGTTGGAGAAGGAGGGGGTGGACGAGGGCGATGCGCGCATGCAGGACCTCCGCGTTACGAACCTCGCAGTGAACTACGATTTGATCTCTTGGAGGGTGGGCAGGAACAGGGTGCTGATAGGTGCTGATGACGGAATCACTTTCCCACCAAATCCTCCACAAAAGCCACGACGACCACGCAAAGACGGCAAGGAGTGGACAGAGCGCGAGGAGCCCACTGGTCGCAAGCTCGCCCGGTTGAGGGAGCGCATTGCACTGTACGATGCCATCTTACAGAGCATAGACTCTGTGAAGGAGCTTCGAGGTGCTGCTCGTGACACAGCCTTTGTCTCCGAGCTGGATGGGCCAACGTGCCTACTTCCAGGCACTGAAATGCCTAAACTTATCGCATTCATACGCATTCCTGTCGAAACCAAAGGAGGCATTGGCACTTTGCAATCGTGCATTGTCCCTGTCGTCACAGGCTGTATCTGCCCCGCGGCCTTCGACGTCCTCTCCGTCCGAGGCGTTGAAATTAGGGGTGACAGAGCAGCAAGCACAAAATCTGAAGCAGAGGCTCGAGAATCTTACATCGCACTACCGGGGCGTGGTCGCACTGTCTCAGCTGTTTGCCAACTCGGATACAGCTTCGAAGGTTGGTCTGTCGAATGCGGCACCAGTCGTCGAGAGGCTGAACGAGTACCCGATATCTGGTTCGGTGGATCTCAAGAATCTGGTAACTTGGCCACCAAAGCTCAAGCCTGTTCCAGTCAAGCCCTTGTTCTTGGACGTTGCGTGGAACTACGTCGAGTACCCTGGCCGCACGCCAGCGAAGCAGGAACCAGTGCCAGAAAAGGCTCCAGCAGAGGAGACACAGCCGGAAAGACCGGCAGCAAAGAAGGGGTGGTTTTCTTTTGGTAGGTAAACACAGGTTCAGCAGGGATGCATGCGCATCGTAGCGGGTGTGCCGTTTTCCCGCCTGTATCTACGCAGACATAGAGATGCCGATCTGGGGTTCTTAGAGCTACAACTGAAGCCAATCTGCGTGTTGCAACCGCATCAATCGACTTCTTATCCGCTATGGTTCGCGCTACGGCGTCTCTCTCCAGATTGCTACGGCTCTTTTGGCGACGTTGGCAGATTGCACACACAATGGTCACGATTGGCGTGAGTAAGCGTGCGCACAGGCCGCGAGCACGGGCTGTCTGGGGCCGTTAACGTCACTAGCGCTTTGAGCCTCAGGGGTAACATCGAATCAGACGTGAACCACACGCGCCATACGGGATGGGCGTTTGGAAACCAAACAAAGACAGTCGTTCGCGATGAACCCTGTGTGCCTGAAAATGGCGTTTAGCGCAGCCGTTCAAAGGCGCAAGGCGTTGTGTTTCGCAGGTTGGTGCTCAGTCTGATGCAATGGAAGCTCGCACGAAAGTGAAGCCGTGTGGAAAATAGAGCTCAGGACAAGACGTGTGCTACGAACGTAAAACCGTCAAGCTGAAAGTGGACTGGAGGGGCGCTTCGGGAGCTTTTCAGGTCATGCAGGCCATCTAATTAGACCAATTTAAGGCGCGATAGTACTATCAGCACCCCTAGCATGCGGATAAGGGGGGACGCGCAGAGAATGTATCCATGTACCTCTAGGCTCGTCTCTTAGCTGTGCTTATCCTCCAGACAAACACACTCCTTCTGACGCTCTTTTGCAACCGCTGTCTTTACGTATTGTCGCTTTACACCGTCGCTCTTTAATCAACACGCTCTTTTACCAGACCACCCACTCCGATACGCGTTCTTTGGCCTACAGCTCCAAAGCGTGCTCCATCCATATACAACCCCCTCCAATAATACTCGCACATCGAGGAGCGCAACGCGTTTCTCGGTCCTAATATTCATCACGGCTTCCGCACTGGCTACCTCAATCCTTCCCCGGCCTCAGGCCATCGATTGCTTCCGTAGACCATCCATCTTGCAGGTTTTCGACCTGCCCGCCATCAAAACGCCTCCCGCAGCAGTCGAAGACAAACAGCTGCCGTCCATCGGCCACGATATATCACGGCCGTCCTCGAGCTCGACCGTGGCATCGTACACGCAGCAACGGCACGGCAGCCATGCGTCGATTCAACTACCCGCCTTGTCGACGCTCGCATCGGTAGCATCGAACAGCCCCGCAGCACACAACAACAACAGTAATGAAAGTAATGTTAATATGAGGAGGGACACACCGGAGCAAAAGATACCATCTCCACCGAGGTATGTAATCCAACACGTGTGCCGTGGCTGGTAAATTCATGCAGGTGTGGCTACCACGCTACTGCGGTCCTGGCAGTTGCACCTAGCCGTAGCCGTTCTTATCTCAGCCTTGGCGCCGTGCACCTCAACTTTTCATTCCGCCCACCCACTGACACGCATGGATAGCAAACCCTCCAATGGCCTCAGCATGACTTATGCGACTGCTGCGCCCGCGACTTCTGGTGGACAACCAGGCTCTCCGGTACGTTATTTCACTTTGCGATGTTGGTGGACTGGCCTCTCACGTCGAGGTCCGATTTTTGCTCTTATCTAATCGATAGCATCATTATCATTGTCCCTCGAGAGCCTCGCTGACGCGCATCTAGCCTGTGTGTCAAAACTGCACTACGAGCACCACTCCACTCTGGCGCCGCGATGAGTCGGGCTCTGTTCTCTGCAACGCCTGCGGCTTGTTCCTGAAGCTGCACGGCCGACCACGCCCCATCTCGCTGAAGACAGATGTCATTAAGAGCCGCAATCGCGTGAAGACCGGCGGGCCTGGCGCGCGCAAGAAGGTATGAGGATGCGATGTCGGACACACGTACACGATTAACACCGTTACAGGCTGGCGAAACCAACGGCCTTCCTGCTGCACACCCAGATGCCGACGGCTCTCTGGCCCTCGCTCAACACCGCCGCACGTCGGGCAAGATCTCGTCAGGCCTCTCTGATCGTTCACAATCGCCCATCTCGCGAACCGGCACGCCCAACTTCCTGCACCCCTCCAACATTGCGCCTCAGCACATGTTCGAGCAGGCTCTAAATGGCGATGTCTTCCACTCCTCCGCACTCAGCGCCTTTGGCCACCGTGCGCCCTCCCCCGCAAACTCTTCGATCAACGGCATGGAAGCTCCGTCTGTCATACGACAGTCTGGCGGCGCAGAACACTGCGCTCAAGACTCGAGTATCGGAAATGGAACTCATCAACGATCTCTTCCGAAATCGCGTTACCGAGCTTGAGACTAGCGAGAGCGCCGCGAAAGAGACCGAGGCCAAACTGCGTGCAGAGCTCGAGGAGGTCAGGCAGCGCGAGTCTAGTCTGAAGCGGCGACTCGATGAGCTGGACGAGAGCCCTCGGCATAAGAAGCCGCGCTTCAGCGACATCAGCGACCTCGTCGACGAGACACGCGCCGGCTCGCCCATCAATGCCATGACGGAGTAACCTCGCCCAATGTTCCGAGAATCTTCTCGCCACCTCACCTAACGACTTTCCAATGCTCGCTGTTTCTTTGCCGTCTAGTTTATGTGCCGCTGTGGTCGGCACGATCTCTTTGTCTATCCCACTCGCCCACGAGAGCTATGCGTCGACGCTTTAGCCCGAAACTACTGGTCATCGCGACCAACTTAATGTCTTATACCACTTCTCTGGAAGTCGCCTTCTGGGCGACTTTGTATTGTAATACCTTTTGCGCTCTGATACCATGTTCGATGAGGGGATGCGAACGGGAGGAAAAGGTATGGCTGGGTTATGGGTATGGTTATTCAAAAGTATGTTGTTTAGTCAGAGGGCTGCCTCAATGGATATGATGAACTTGTGTTATTTCTTGCGAATCCTGCCTCACAACGTGCTGCAAGATCACTGTATGCACTCATCGTCTCTCAAAGCAATTAGATTCATGACCTGGCCATCCACCATCCCGCCACTCCCACTCCGACACTCATCAGCACAAGCGCCCACCGCCCCAATCCTCTCAAGATCATCCGCCTCGCCAACTCTTCAATCGCCTTCCCATCATTAACCCTCGGAAACTCCTGCTCCGGCACCTCCTTCCCCAACGCCTTACACAACGGGCCCCACCCCTCCCTCACATCATACCACACCAACCTCTCCTCCGGAACCACTCTTTTCAAATACTCCACGTGCCTATCCCAATGCCATCTCGTTGCCGGTTCCGGCCGCCCATACAGCGTGACCCACTGCCTCCTCAACTGCACAATATACTGCGGGAACCACCTCATCGTCGGCACCCAAAACAGCACAACCCTCAAGAAAGATAACGTCGCTGCATTCGCCACCGTCGCCATACTCTCCACCCACGCATCTGGGTCGCGAATCGTACATATAACTACCGCATCAGGATACAAGTCTACCAACTCTTCGACCAACCCATTACAGGGGGAATCGGTCACAGCGGCGTAGCCTGTTAGTCTTTCCTTCAGGATGCGTGTGGTGAGGGTGCGGTTGGAGGGCCAGGCTGACAGAAGCGTTATCCAAGATCGGATCTCGATTTCTGGGCCGAGCGTGGCTTGCGTGCCGCCGTGGTAAACGGGGCCGTGAAGCAGGGTGCTGAGTGCGAGGGAGAGGGAGGATGTGCCTGTTCGGGGGAGGCCGGCGCCGATTACAAGGAGGGGAGTGTTGGGTTGGGGAAGAGAGGGGGTTTGGCCCATTGTGAGAGTGAGGAATTGGGGTACGATCTGGGGTTACTTCTGGTGTGGAGGAAAGGACTCAGATGTATGATACTGGATGAACAAGTGAGATTTTAGTTCAACGGGGCGTATCTTGGAGAGTATTTTAAGATGGGTTGCTGATGAAGCTGCCATTGTACCCTAGAAGGAAGAAGTGCTGCACACTGTTGAACTTTCGACATGCTGGAACAGGATGGGATTCTCGGTTAAGACGTCTGAACCGTTATCGGGCGATGGGAGCTACCGGTATGAGGCAGGGCCAATGCTACCACAATGGTCAGTTGACCATAAAACAACTATGTATACTATCGGAAGCTGGAAGAGATGTAAAGTACCACATCTCCCAAGTGACGATCTTCTCGTTGGCAAGGCGATTGAGGCGGTTCGGGAGTAATTGGAGGCTAACCGAAAGTATCGCGCCAAGCAGGAGGTCAAAGCTCGAAAGCTGTTAACCCTCAGAAAAACCTCTTCTCCTCCATCCTCCTCCAACCACTGTCATCCATTGCACCCCCAATTCATCCTCAACTCATCTCCACTCCGACCGCCAACACCGTCAGAATGGTTGCCATCGCCCGTTCCTTCGGCGCCGCCCGCGTGGCCGCCCGCGGCTTCTCCAACGCTGGTACGTTGTTGCGCGCTCGCAGCAGGTGCACACTCGAAAGCACCTGCTCCCATTGAGCTCCATCACCATTATCCATCCCGTGATCCAGCCATTGACTTTTACCTCGCAGCCCGCCAGCCCGCTTCCACCAACAGCCTCGTTGTCCGCTCCGCGTTCCGCAACAACGCCGCCCGCAACATGATCCAGAAGCGTGGTGTCGTCGTTGAGTCGACCGCCGCCGCCATGGTCGCTGCCGCCAAGATCCAGGGTGCCGGTCTCGCTACCATCGGTCTTGCCGGTGCCGGTGTTGGTATTGGAACGGTTTTCGGTGGCCTCATCCAGGGTGTCGCCCGCAACCCTTCCCTCAGGGGTCAGCTCTTCCAGTACGCCGTTTTGGGTTTCGCCTTCGCTGAGGCCACTGGTCTTTTCGCGCTCATGATGTCCTTCTTGCTCCTCTACGTCGCGTAGATGTGTGCATTGCATCGACTCGGATACTTCGGGGTCTTCGGCATGGGGCCGCAAGGTGGAAAATTTGCGGATGGTGTGCATATGGACGACTACCTCTTTTCCTACCTTAGTGGCCGGTCAGATTGTGTAAAACATGTACTTTAGACGAGCAATCTGAAGAGCAAGCTACCACTTCCTTCAATTCCCCAGGTACAGTGCGGGAGCTCCTTCGGGGGCTGTGACGTATGTGGATGAGTGACGACGAGCTCAATGGATACAATTGAGTTCTGCAAGCCACTTCCAAAGCTTCCCCGGATGATACGATTGCGCTACGTGATGCGAACTCGACGCACGAGCTCTACAAGGACAGCACTTGACAGCTTTCCGATGCCAAGCCTTTTGCTCAACCTCAGCCCAACGCGCTTGCGGGGACCGAAGGCTCTACCACGCGCCATAACACCTGGCAGCTTTCTTACCATTTCTCAATGATTCCAGTGGCGCATGTACTAATAAGCCGACCAGTTCTCCATGCTCAATGGCTTTGCAGAGAGCTTCGTGGTAGCTCCAACTGGTAGCTTTCTCTATCACCGCACATGGTCTTAGCTCACGATAGCCGTCACCACGGCTGCTAGCGAGGCTGACACCGAATTTATGTGGTCGAAGCTTGCTTACCTTGCATATAATAGGCTCATGATAGTAGATTGACCCTAATGGTCGGTTACCGTCGCTTCTCCAGCCTTATCGTGCACAATGGAGGGAAAGCCTAGGAGGACCAATGTTAGTCTTGACACTCATGTGTATTATCGACGCTGACATTCTATCAGGATGACATTCGAAATACACGTGAATGTGTAACGGATCATACCAATACAACCCCAATGCGCACCTTACGAGACGTTCCGCACACCAGCCGAGTGCAGCGCTTTCCCCTCGCGGACTCTGTCCGATGACGAGCACACGAATACATACCATACCATGATGAGAGGTTCATGCAAGGTGCATCGAGCATGTATATCGGGATCTATATACTTGCTGAGGTCATAGCTCAACATATGGCATAATCTTCACCTGCATACGGCATGGCTCAAGCTGAAGCCGACATGTGCAACAGCATCGCTACGAGCGTCGTCATCTGCAGCAAATGTCGCATCTGAGGCTTCACAGTAAGTGCATGCGCAGGAAGCACGCATCTGATCGCTGTGATCGCGATGTTTCAGACCTCGTTTCGGGGTATCGTGAAGCCATTCCGAAACCATCTCTCCCGGAACATCACCAAACCATGCATTGGAAACCAAACAAACTTCGATCATCCATGCTAGTAAAACAAGAAATACTATTGCGATTGCTCGAAGCATACGCTTCCTTCTTTCGGTCTGTGAAAGAGCCGTGAAACCGCAGCAGGCGTGAGTCAAGCTTTTACACTTCGTGCCGCGAAGCTTAGCCATCTTTCAAACAGTGGGAAATAATATATATAGCAATACTGCGTTCGAATTGAGCAAGTTTTTTTCATTCATCATTCATCAATACAATCTTGTAATATCTGTGCCGGTCACTCAATCCAACAACCCAACACCTAATCCACCCATCACCAACCGCCAAAATGCGCTTCACACCCCTCCTCTCCACCATCTTCTTCACCAGCGCGGTCTTCGCCGCAACAAGTCCGTCCCCCTATCCCCCTCTCATACATCCCAATTAACCCACCCCAGCCACCTCCAACCCCCAAGACGACGTTGCAAGCATCCTCGAAGCCCTCCGCGAGGTCAACCCCGAAGATGCCGAAGCCGCCGCATCCGCCATGAAAATCAAGCTGCGCCGTCGCGACCCCGTGCCGCAGGTCGCCGGTGGTGCTGATCTGAACTCCATTCTCGCTGAATTGGCGAAGAACAACCCCGAGGATGCGCAGGCTGCGCAGGCGGGTATGAAGAGACAGGTCGCAGCGGGAACTGACTTGAACGCCATTTTGGCCGAGTTGGCGAAGAACAACCCTGAAGACGCGCAGGTGGCCAAGGCGGGCATGAAGAGTAAGAGACAGCTTGCGGCGGGAACTGATTTGAACGCTGTTCTGGCCGAGCTGGCGAAGAATAACCCCGAGGATGCGCAGGCGGCTAAGCAGGCGATGAAGAGGCAGATTGCGGCGGGTGGGGATTTGGATAGTGTTCTTGCGGCGTTGGAGGCGAATAACCCGGAGGATGCGCAGGCGGCGAAGGCGGGGATGGGGTCGGCTTAGAAGGGTGGTGTTTTTTGGGGATGTTCTTGAGTCATTTGAGGGTTGGTGATAATGGTGGAAGGTTGTAAAGACTGTATATAGGGGAGTGTACATATGAGAAGGTGTTTTGGTCTTCAATTGTTTTCGGGGCTGGGTCTACTCCAAATCGCCGTCGATTGACATGTCTTCGTCATCAGGTTTGTCCTCATATGTTGTCTCTGCCGTGTGCACCATGTTGGAGTGATCCGCTTCGGAATTGATCTGTGGTGGTACCACTTCGCGTTTTGAGTTGCAGCAGCTGTTCGCATCGAAACTCGTATCTGCGATTGTTGTGTCCCATTGCGTAGACTTTCCAGGAGCGCCATGCTGAAGCAAAAGCTCAAACATTGCTAGGCGTCCGTATCTCTGGGCGCAATCGAGTGCGGTTCCATAAATATAGTGGGCAGACGTCAGATCGATTTCCGAGCGGGCCAAAAGTAGTTTAACTGCTCTCATACAGTTGTGCTGCACTGCGAAGTGCAAGGCACTCGCTCCATTCGTTTGCGAATTGACATCGATCTGCGGATGATCCAGGTAGAGTACGAACATGTCGTGAGAATGACCCTTGGGTGCAAGTTGTAGCGCGTTTCGCTCTCTCCAAAGACTATCAATGGGGGCGTTGACATCGATATCGAGACGGGTAAAGAGTAACCTCATGAGCTCCACTTGGTCCGCCATTACTGCCTTACTGATCAACTGCCTCCAACTCTGACCAGTTGTGGGAAATAATTCGCGATCTATCAAGTGTCCCATCAGCAAATCGAGTTGGTACAGCTTCGTGACAGGCCATTCGCCTTCCGTAAACTCGATATCCAGGCCTACCGCTATGTTTTGATGCTCCAGGATTACCCTCAATGCAGTCCATCTGCAAGCCGAGAATGCAACACAAAGTGCTGACAGGCCATTCATGTCCTTTTGCTGGATATCAACATCTTTGTGGCTCAAGATGCGCTGAATTACTTCAGCATTTCCTTTTTCTGCTGCAATGTGGAGCGGAGTACTACCTAAATAAGCTGTCTTATTCACATCAATGTTTTGAAGGCCCAGAATCGTGTCAACCAATCTCGTGTTCCCCTTCTCAACAGCATATCGCAATGCAGTAAATACGAGATCTCCGTATCTCTCATTTATATCAGTTGCGTTATGCTCAAGTAAGAACTCCACCATACTCTCATTGTCTCTTCGTATTGCCCTAAGCATTGAATACAAAGTGTTTCTTGCAAGTGCTCCATCGTGTTTATCGTCGGTGTAGTATCCCAAAAGTAATTGGAGTGTCTCCACTGACCCGCTAATGACAGCAAGATATATGGGTGATCGGTGGAGGATGTCAAGTCGTGGTAATGCCATTGGAAATCGCGCCAACAGCCATCTGAGGATAGAACTATTCCCTAACCTGGCATATGATGCAACGAGATGTAATGCCATGTCCAAAGCAGAGATTTGTCGTCCCTCCTCCAAGAACAAGGCCTGAGTAATTTCCATGCTTCCAGCTAGGCTGATATGATCCAGGACAGTCTTCTTCGTCAAATCTGGTTTCAGAAGATCTGCTCCAGCACGTAGGAGTACTAGCATGGCCCCAGAGTGATTCCCTGCTATTGCTTCGTGTATTGGCCGTCTCCCTTTCATAGTCGTGTTGCAAGGGTCAACGGCTGCTCCCTTAGCAAGAATATGTTGGAGCATGGCGACCTGCCCTGTCTTTGCTGCACAGTGCATCGTTGTATTGCCGTCCTCAGCGACCGCATTTAGATCAATCCCTCTCAAGAGCATGTTTTCCATGAGCGCAATATTGCCTGTACTTGCTGCCTCCATCAAGACTGTCGTCAAATCTTTCAGACCGTTTTCATCGTGACAAGGTTGGTCGAAGCTTTGCTGAAAATCAATTTTGTATTCGTCCTTCGAGATCATCGCTTGTTGAGATAGGTCGTTTTCTTGCAACCTGAGAGATCGGGTTGAATGACATTTGCCAACGTGTTGTAGAAGATTGTCTTTTCTCTTCGACTTGTATTGGCAGTTGCCCACTTGGCATCGGAATTGAATCTGGCCGAGACGATGCACATTATTAACGTGACGAATCAAGTCTGTGCGTGATGCGAAGCATTTTGAGCAAGAATCGCATTTCTGCGGTCGAACATGTGTCTTCTTGTGTTGACTATGGTCAGATTAGCACCAAGGTACAAGGACCCTCTTCAGACATGCCCATGCCTTGGAAATAATCACTCACGTGTGTCTTCGACGCTCGCTGAACGACTTTAAGCAGATTGTGCATGCGAACACTTCTTTCATGGTCATGATGTCTAGGCCAAGGCAATACATGAACAAAATAGCCAATGTGTCATGTACGTACTTGAGTAAGGTGATTCAGGTTGACTAAAATGGTCGGACTCTCGGAAGGGGCACTTTCTCACAGCTTGATTCGCTGGTATACCATGCAGGCCAAGAGGTGGGGCTCTATTTTTTACACCGTGCTCATAATACATATAGAGTCTATCTCCGCAGTCGACTCAGAAACGCCGTCATCCTGATTCGGACCTCTTGAATCCTTCATCACCAGAAGTTGCCATTGACCATTTGCAATCGCAATTCTACATTTTCCAGTCCAAACCATATTAGCCCTCACGAAATCCTCGCTCGAAAAATGGCCGATCGCGTCAATCGTACCACAGACGTGGTTCTGGAGGATCTATCGCCCTGTGTCGAATACACCATCGAGAACAGGTGGAACGGGTAAGAAAAAAAAAAATTTTAACATGATGCAGGCACGCCTACAATGGTCCGGGCCCTCGAAACCTTTTCGACACTTGGCATGCAGGTCACAACGAGGGGCGCAATCAAAATGGAGTCGAACATCATACCGCATACGAGCTGCATGAGCCCTTCTTCGCCCCTTCGCAGAGCGAACAATTGGCGCCGATCAATCACTGCAGTTACGCCAACATTTCATCTGTACGACCACACACCGACCATGCCGGTGGCTTTTTCGATGAAGAGAATGGCCTATGTACACCCTATACATGGCATTTTGACACCAGTCAAACCTTCATGGAAGATACTCGTTATGTCCTTGGTCATGGTGCCGGATTCGAAAACAACATCTCGGTCATGGCATATGGTCCTGACTCTGCCAACGACCACGATGCTAAGTTAGAAGCATTCCACGAGACGAATATTGTGGACCTCTCCAGCGAGTATCGAGTCCAAGACCTGACCTGGCCCCCACAGCAACCCATTGGCTCGACTTCTTCTGTCACACCAGCTTCTTCTCAGCCTTCCGGTGAGAGCCCTATGACGTGTCCTCGCGGCTGCATGGGCACATTCGGTCGCTCAGGAGATTATCGGCGCCATATGCGTAAGCATGAAGCTCGCAACATCTTCTGCACACAGCCCGGTTGTACAATGGCGTTCTACCGAAAGGATAAGCTAAGCGACCACCTCAGACAGGCTCACAGGATCATCCAAACTGGAAGGGCTCGCAGGGCTGCGGCGATTGGTCCGATGCGCGCCGCTTCTGCTAGCAGTAGCGCTTAGTGCTGCTGAGGATGCGGACGGAAAGGAGGAGCTTGGGGTTTCTTTACGGGCTTCGTGGTTTGTCTCCTTGTGACGGTCGTTACCTGTTTCTTCATCATCTGTTTTCAACGGTCTCTACAGTATGCTTATCTCCTAGCGCAGTACTTCACTCACTCATTTGGTCGTATCTAGTCACTTGTTTGTTGTAATTATGTAGGCACATAGCAATCACACTCATTATTCCCCTTGAAGCCATGATGTTGATCAGCTCAAACTCTCCTTCCCTAACCATAATAAGACTAGCTTCACCACCTTCATCATGCCACAACAACACGGACTTCGTGTCGCCTTCACACCGTTGTAGAGGCGTCAGAAAGAGCCTCATTGCGACTTCACTAACTTGACATATGCGCGTGTCACGCGCGTGGTAATAGCCGGTCATGCTGTACATCAGCTTCCTGCACCCACACATCCACACCTACAAGCCGTGCCAGCGCAGCGCTGCATGGAGCGATGCACATCGAATGCGCGTCAGCACGTCTCGCGCCTCATTTTAAAGGTTTTTTGAGCAGTCGTGATTGGTTTTGCGCGCCCTCTGTGCAAGGGCAACTCAGCTGAACGCGGCTGCCATGCACGCGTCCTCCAAATCCTGCTCGCTGATTGGATAATTGTGCCCCTTCGGTGTCAGTCCTGACGGCTCATCGAAACGAGGGGCGCGATTGGACACAGGCATGTGCGCGCCTTCAGTTTCATTGGTCGGATTACTTTGGGAAGCTGGAAGTGTCTGTTGACTCATCAGGTAGCCATACACGTGAGCAGAGCCTCAACCCACATTCACTCACGTGCATCGCACATTCTACGAAGTCAAGATATGAAGCCCACGCGGAAAGTAAATAACGGCGCATAAATGTGCTACTATTAGAGAGTTATGATATGAGACAGTTGGTATATGGTGACAGAATAGATCAATGAACGAAGATAATTTCAATCGACCCGCCTGATTCTCTTGAAGATAAAGTGTCCTTATCCTTTCCGGTCACATGGCCGCATCATTTCCAAGGCTCGCTCCATGCGAATGATGTTGTGCTTCCGCAAATTTTTTCACACTCATTCTCCGCACACCCCTCCAGGACAGATCAAGTCTTTAGTAATTCTGGAGCTGTATCTTTGGCGCCGTGTGCGAGAAGAAGCTCAACAATATCGCCGTGCCCCTTTGCTCTGGCTACGCTCAGTGCAGTCTTCTGACGATAATCTCCCCTGTAAATTCCCCCGTAAAGTACCTCCGTGCGTGCATTGATGTCGATGTCTTTGTGCCGGAGGAGCAACTCCACAATGTCTTTTTGTCCAAGCTCGACAGCGAGAATAAGTGGAGTGTAGAGACCACTGGACCAGGTCCCGCCTTCCAGATTGACATTGATCCTTCCGTGGCTCAACAAAAGCCGAACGCAGTCGTACTGCTTCTTGCTTATCATCGCATTTAAAAGTCCATTCCGATCGGCATCGAATCTGCTGTGATGAGTGAAGTTGATGTCTTCAAAGTCGGGATGTTTGAGAAGTCGCTCCAAGACTCGGATCGGCTCGAACTGGCCCTGTTGAGGCACTTCTGATGTTGAAAACGGAGCTGTATCGAAACCCAAGTGATCGAGCAATGGCTGAACAACTTCCAGATGACCTCCGACAGCCGCAAGTTGAAGTGGGGTAAGTACAGCTGTACTGTCATCGGTATTGTTGCTATTACTCCTCTTGAGAAGTAGCATGACCGCTTTCAAGCGGCCCGAACTTGCTGCGGCATGTAAAGGTGTCCGACCAAAGCGATCAGAAACGTGAATGTCGAACAAGTTGCGATCCAAGAGGAATTCGATCATCTCACATCTCCCATCATGAGCTACTTGATGCAGCGGTGTCCAGATTCTATAGTGTGATGTGAGATCCGCGTGATCTTTACTAAGATTTGCCTGATCGAAAAGGTATTCCGCAACATGAACATGCCCTCTGAGAACCGTCAAGCAGAAAGGCGTCATTCCATGGTAGGCTTGATTGATATCAGATCCATGGTTTACGAGAAGCTGTACAATCTCAAGATGCCCGTTGACTGCCGCGATTTGAAGTGGTGTGTAAGCTTGCACTCTATTTTCGAGATGCTTTGCAGCCAAGTCCGGTCTCATCGAGCGTGTTTGCCACGCTGCAAGTCGATTTTGTGAGATTGTTCCATTCAATGCGCTGACATTGTTGAGAAACAGCGATAAGACCGCTTGGACTGTACGAATGTGGCCACTCTTCGATGCGGCTTTAAGAATCCTGTATAGGGTGGTTGATTTGACGTTATCAGCGAGATCATCCAAGCACACTTTAAGCATTTCCTCGCTCTCCGACCGGCCCAAACTGTCAATAGTGATGGAAGAGACGTCTAATAGGGCTCCCTCATGAATGAGCAATTGTACAGTTTTCAGGTCGTGTCCAATCAATGCCTCGTGTAGTGGTGATCTCAACTTGAAATTTGTGGCTTCTAAATATGCACCGTTTTGAAGTAGCCACTTGGCGACAGAAGAGTGTCCTGCTCTTGTTGCACAGTGCAATGCAGATGATCCATCAGCTGCTCGGACATTTATGTCGATCCCAGAATTTAGTTGGGCCTGCAGAACAGCGGAATCGCCTGCCGATGCTGCCTGAAAGAATAAGTTGGAGGCCCAGGGCAGTGACTGTTCAGCAACTTCCGGCTTGCTTTGCTGAGCTGAAGCGGGTGCACTATCTGTGCTTTGCCTATCCTCGAGACTATAATGGCTTTTGGGATTGTCCCGCGCGATGAGTTTCTGTAAGAATGGTATGGACGGATGAAGTCTTTGATGGTGTTGACGAAGGTTGTCTTTGCGGGTCGCCCGGAAAGTACAGCCATTGACGGAGCACGCGTGTCTTTCAACGGCCATGCTATGGCGAGCTCTCACGTGTCGGTCTAGATCCAAGCGTAAAGCAAAAGCCCGCACGCATTTATTGCACTGATACGGTTTGGAGTGTTTCTTGACGTGCCGGCTTTTCATCGTGCATCAGCGGGTCGAAGAAATGTTCGATCATGCATGTGATACTCACTTGAGTTTACCTATGGCGTCGAAAGTTTTTGCGCATTCATCGCATCGGAAGTTATGAGTATTCATGGAGATTCGAAGTTCACAGCGGAGTGACTGTGTATCGTCGACGTGCCGTGAACGATGCATCATTAGGCTTAATCAGTTGAAACTAGAATAATTTTGCGCTCTACAGCCGCTGTGGGGCTTACAGGGGAGAATATAGGTGCCAGGGCTTCTGGAGGCCCCTCACTTACGTCTCTCGTACATAGGTAGTGTCTCCGCACTCTTGCGCGGTCAGCCGCCAACAGTCTTCCACTATCAATACTTCTATACTAGGAGCCTCTGAATTGAGCGCTCAAAGCTTTTTCAACAACTCCTTGAATTTCTCCACTTGCCCGCAAGTCTCGCGCCACTAGCTATCGTTGAGCCATAGCATTTGTCCTTCAGCAACCAAGACGGCAGCCAACATATCTGCCAAGAATCTTCTCAAACTTCGCGATGCCTTCAAACTCGGGCCTTTTCGACGAAACCTTGGACGAAAGGTGATTTTTTTTTAACATCATGCAGGTATGCCTTTTTCAGTTCGGGGCAAGATGGTGCCCTTTCCGAACCTGCTGGGACCGATGGCGTCACACATGCTTGCGCTTACGAGGGACCCTATCAATTATCGACCAACGACCAGCGACCACGGCAGGTATGGTATGAAGGACCATCTATCTGGAATGCAACCTCTGTGAACGAACCCTCGGCGTCCTTAGCGACACCTGCATGTTTTCAGACACGTCCTGACAGCCTGGGGACCTCTCCATCTGCTTCCGAGGCCTGGAACTTCGACCGCTCCGCATTCAATGTCAACAGCTACCCACTCTGGGATCAGCATCTTGGAGATGAATCTTGGATGAAAATTCCGGATGGACAGGGCAGCGTGCCTCTGCTGACCAGCGGCACCTTCTTCCCACCAGCTCTGCCTGAGTTGCACTTCGACTTCAGCCTCGCCAGTGCACAGCCGCAACTGGACCCTACACCGCCAACAATCCCCGGTGTTGGTACTACATCTACCCCTGCACAGCGCATCACCTGCTCCTTCGCCGGATGTGGAAGGTCCTTCGTCCGCGCCGGAGACTGTCGCCGCCACATGCTCAAGCATGGCCCGCCCAAGTTCAAATGCGCTGTCATCGAATGCGACATGACATTCCACCGCGCCGACAAGCTACGCGCTCACATGAAGCAGGGCCACAAGATCAGGTTGTAGGTCAGACATGGGTCTGCATACACCTATGTGGCAGGCGAAGGGCGTAAGCGACGAGGCTGAAAGTACACAAGACGCAGTTGGGCGTTTTCTCTTCTCCAAATCTTTTCATTTCGTCTTTGATTGGCTTCCTTGGCATGCTTTGCCGCACATTCACTAAGCATCTGCTCTTCACTGGCGTTTGCGTGCTTTTGGTATATAGTACAAACCCCCCAAAAATATGAACACAGTCTTTACCGAAAGCCGATTTGTCCCGCTATTCTTGCATTTCATGAGACCAGTAGTTAAGCGAGCTTTTTTTCGGCACTGTCAACGCTGTGCAGGAAGCTCTAGCCCGGCCGCTGAACCCGGCAGTCTAATCTCTACAACCGCGTCTACTAGTTCATCAGTCGTGTAACCGAAACCATAAAGGGCGACTACATACCCCCTGATAGGATGAGTTCGCCCCTCCAACATGTCGTTCCATTGGTCGAATTCGCCCTTCATGCAGAGTCTCAACCTCCATGCAATATTCAGCACACTTAACGTCGTACAACCAGGCAAGCCCGACTCGCAGCTAGAGTGGCCAGCAATGCAGCATTGCCAGAAAGAAAGGGCGAAGCTTGCACATATGATAGGACGACTACGCCCTCTGTATTATTGATACTGATTGGTCGAGAGCGCCCTCTACAAACCTAAAAAGATCCTGTCTGTTATGAAGACAGGAGGGTCAATTCATGTGGTAGGCGTAAAATTAAAATTTACCTTGAGTGTGAAGACTATGGGGGTGTTGGCGACACCGCACAATTCCGCTCTTTTACAAGTCTTGGCAGGTGAAACGGTGAAACCAGCAGAAAATACAACCACGGCGATCTGATTATTCAGAAGACCATCAAATCTTCGCCCACCGAATATATTGTAATCAACCTGCACAAGATTTGTGGCCCGAAAGGTAAAGTCCGGCGCCCACCTGATCGCGCCAACGTTTGTTGGATTGATTGATGAGAGAGAGCTAGGGGGAGTTAGATACATAGTGTGAGAGAGACTTTGGTAGAGGTGTGGAACGTAATTGAGAATCTCGATGATGTTGATGCGGCTTGGGGCTTGCAGGTAGTGAGGGAGATATGCTGTAGGAACTTGGGAAGGAAAAAGATCATGATCGTTCGTAGACTGCCACCAAATGCACCTCAACTATGTCTTAAACATGCTTCACACACCAACCCACCAAATACCTTCAAACAAGAACAATCTTTGCAAAACCAACAACCCTACACACTCTCAAAATGCTCAAAGCACAGGCATGAACACCTCTGCCAACCACCCCCTAACCTTCCCCATAGCATCCATCTCATCCTCCCACACCTCCGCCACAAACTCCGTAAAAATCCTGCCTACATTCGCCTCCGTACCCTCTCCCACCAACGCCTCCAAATCACCGTCAACGTCCATCCACCTCCCCACCAAATCGCCATCGATAGCCTTGAACCGCGGTCCCGCCATGCCGCGCTCTTTCACCCTCGGATCAACGTCCAGCGCGCGGATCTTATCTTCTTGATTCCCATCTGCGCCGTGCATGAGTACGTCTGAGAGACTGCCGGTGACGTGGTTCATTGGGTCGCGCTTGTCTTTCTCCTCGATGAGGTTTTGCAGGAAGCGCAGCAAGTGGCGAGCGGGTTGCGAGAGGATGGAGAAGGTGTAGATTGTGCCGTCGGAACAGGCACCGATGATGTCGTTGTTGAGCACGCCGATGGTTGGTGCTGCGGGACGGCGCCAGGGCGGGCGGATGTCGCCTTGTTGTATGCGGACAACGGTGCGCGGAAGGCATGCTTCGAAGAGGGTTGGGGTGGCGAACTTGTGGGTTTTGGTGGTAGTACGGTGCAGGCCGGTGACGGAGGAACTTTTCTTGTCATTGACGAGGACGATGGTGTCTTGGCCCGAGAGGTTGGGTATGTCGACGACGAGATGGGTTGAGCAGTTGCGCTCGCGGCTGTCGCTGAAGAGTCGCTTAAATTCGGGTTTGCCGTTGCTTTCGTCTATTATGTAGCATAGGTGCGAATGCTGTAGCGTCGAGACGTGAACGTACTTGTCGCGGATGGTGATGTGGATGGCTGCTGATGGCAGATCTATTGCTGTACACTTTTCTGAATCTGCGGAGAGTCAGCGAACTACATATGAAAAGCACAAGTACAATGGCTTACACTCCAGTATCGCAATCGAATGAGTCTAGGGTTAAATTTTTGCCAATCGCGCTGACGATCTGGGTGTTGCTATACGCGGCTGTGCAATACACGGGATAGCCGAAGCTGGAGTATTTCTTCAACTCTAATTTCGCGGCTGGTTCATTCTTGCCAACGTTGAAGACTAGGCGCCTTCCGGTCTCTTTACCAGCGCTACCCGGAATTCCAGTCCCGACAATGATGAAATTAAACTTTCTGTTGCCGGGGTCGACGAAGAGCCATTCAGCGATTGAGTAGACTCGTTCGCCGTGCTTTAGTTTATACTGAGCTGCGACCAATTTGTTCGCATATTCATGCTGGTCTTCTTGCTTGATCTCTGCCTCCTCCACTGCCTTGTGGTCGTGTACGTCGAGCAGCTTGATGGCTGAATGCAGGACTCTGTATCCGTTCGGGGGAGCTTCGCCCTCCTTAGCCTCCATAGTGGTTACTACCATTTTGCGCGTCGGCTTCAAGTAGGTGACATTTGTAGGTCTAGCGCCGGTAAGGAGCTTCCGTGGCACGGGTCCACTATCGTCTCGCGATAAAGGCGAGGCATCTTGAGCTGTCCATCGAATGTCTGTGTCGAGCTGTGAGCAGTGGAACTCATCACCTGCTACGACAAACATAAAGCCACCCAGGTTTCGACCTGTGGTCTTGTTGTCATTGGAGAAAGGTAGCTGATACAATGCTGTCACAGCAGACTGCTGGTATCCTGGCCTAAAACGGCTTGTAAACCATAAGGAGTCGACGTCCAGCATGGAAGGGTTGCTGGCTGAGCAGCGTACGCGACATAAGTCCGGACCGCATGACACAAAGGCTGTAGAGGTATCCGTGGCGCTCGCGGTAATCTTGGCGGAAGTGGTGCCCATCTTCACTACATGCCAACTGAGATGCGTTGCATCTGTAGGCGTCAGTCTTGGCATCGCAACCAACTCGTAGGACTTACTGCTCTTGGTTTTTGGCAGGCGCGAGCTAAGGAGATATCCATTGCGTGTTGCGCAAACCAATGTCTGCTGCTCTTTTGTGGAAAGCAAGGATGCGCTTTCCAGTATCATGCGAATTTCGTCGTTCTCAGCGCTCTTGAGGGAGTCATTGAGCATCGCATGAAGGTCACCGTTCTCGTCTACCTTCAAGAAGTATATGGTCGACCCAAACGTCCCAACAAGGACGCACATAGTGCCATCAACCTCAAAAAGTTCTATGCATGTTGGGTCATGGTCCAACAAAAATCTGCTGTGCTGCGATGCAGTCTTCACAAAAATCCCATCTGATGATATACACAGCACCTCCAAGTATGTTCTTCCGGATTCACGGAAGGTGATTGCGACGAAAGGAAATCCAGGCCTGCAAGCAGCAAGTAAGATCGAGCTGGTGCAGGAGAATAAATCGCTCTTCTGTAGACTGGGCCGATGCAGCACCCGTACTTCGTCTCGGGTAATCTGTATTGCGAGTTTCTCTGTCCAAGGACAAGCTGTAATGGTTTCCATATCTCTCATGACTCCATCCTCAGTAGGCTCGTCATCGTTGGGTATCTGATCCACTTTCCATGCGCCGTCCTCCCATGCTCCGGAGAAATCTCCGCGGATCTCGCTCTGTGTTCGAACAATGCGGATCAAGAGGGTTTCCGGAGGCATTGTGATGATCAATAATGCATAGTGCTGCCTGGCCACTCTTCCATCGATATCCAATGTCTGGCTGCCGTGATCGACGACCCAGATACCGGTACAGCCAGTCATACCACTGAACGAGTGGTCAATGAGTGAACGAACACCCCGTCGCAGCTCAGATATCTCACCATGTGGGCTGGACCCATTGGCTACAAAGATAGAGTAGCGATCACGCCCTTGAGGCATTGGGCCTCCAGAGGGACTCGCCACCGAAAGGTCCGTCAACGGCGTCCAGTTCGATATCGAATCAACATAAGAGAGCTCGTTGGATACGGGATATGAGGCATACGAGTATTCAGCTGGCCAAGATCCTAGTTTGCAGAGGCGTCCATCGTTGCCAGCGCCTCCTGCTATCAGGACATCAGGATATAGCTGAGAGTATTCCGAATTGTCGACACTCAAACAGGCAAAGGCAGTGTCGATACGATGAGGCCAGTCACCAGCTTCCACGGTGTCCACGCCGGTCGGACCTCTTTCAAGGTACATGATTCTTCCATCTTCGCGCGCTACGTAGAAAGCTTCTTTCGGGAAGTCTGGATTGCGAGGCGTCTTGTCCCACTCCACCCAGCGCGGCCGGCGTTTGCTATCGCCTGGAAGTAGAGAAGGAATTATTTCTGGGGCAATGGGAATTTCGAGACGTCGAGGGACACCGGATAGTACATCTTTGTATAATGTTACATGCGTATCAAATACTAGAATGAAGTCTGATGTACGACTGAGGGGTATCAGTAGTGACGGGTTATGATCATCTACTAAGATCAGCTTGAGCAAAGTCGAGAATGGAGCATGCCCACCTACGATAGTCCACAGCAACCCGCTCAGTCCGAACTGCAGCAGTACTAAGATCTTGTCTACAGTCCCAGTCAAAGCATGTCATCTTCGTCTTGCCCTGTAATGCGATAACGAACAAGAGCACAACGTGGAACTCATCCTGTGCGAGTCCCGACGACAAGAATTCCATATGCATAACCCGACCTTCGATCGGCATGATACGCTCGTCTTCGATGGGCGTAGTATCCATGCCGTTGCGCAGTTCCTTGCGCCACTTTTGCATAGACTTCGTCTTGTATAGTATGAAGCGCCCCTCCTGCGCAGCTACTGCCGTGGCTCGCTGCTTGGGATCTATCGCTAGAAAAGTGCCAAAACGATCGAATTGTGAAGCTCCCGCGGGAAGCCTGACAGCCCTTTGGCTAAAAGTGACTGCACCCTTTCGAGTATGGCGAGCCCACAGGAACATAAGAGTCCTATTTGTAAGGGCAAGTACGAGGACCTCAGGTGGAAGAACACATTCTTCCTCTCCTGTTGTAGATCTTCTCCCTTGGTGCCACGGGCGCTGCTTGGGCAGAGGACTGGCCACGCTGACTGGGATCTCACGAGGGTCACCAAACACTCTGGCTGCGAGGATGCGGCCCTTGAAGTCAGACTTGGTTGCGACATGGCGTAAACGTCCGTAGTCATGAATCTCTTTCAGCTGAAGAGCATCTTCTCCAATCAACACGATGTCGTTGAGGTCTTTGCTTCGAACGTTGGCGGGTCGGACAGATTTGAAAAGCGGGCTTGCGAACACAGTCCTCGAGAGGATACCGAGCTCTGGTACCTGATTCCTGGGCTTAGCGGTTGACTTTGGCATGTCGCCGTCAGACTCTCGGGCTTGTGCCATGAATTGATATGCATCGACTGGCCTTGACACCCATTCGTTATTGACCAGGACAGAGGTTTGAACTTGGTGATTCATCTTGAGGCAAGAGCTCAGAAGCGGTGGCGCTCACAAGCGAACGCGAGACGAAGTGAGATGACGCTAGGCCAACAGTAGGTTGCCAAAGTGTGCAGAGGCACACTGCCACTGGCTTAGACCAGCTTCGGGAGAAACGGGCATGTACTGTAAGAGAAGAGATGTAACATGTTGGTGCCTGGTCGAGCAGGCGTAGCTTGTCAGACGGAAGCGGAACTTGGCGGGGCGAAAAAAACCAGGCACGCTGTGAGGGGCAGTTGACGCGACTAGATAGTGTGCACAACAGCCGGCACAAGGGATGGATTGGATAATGTTTTGATGCCTAGGAGAGTGTGAACGAATGAAGGGTACAGCTGCCAGGGTGCCCTGACAAAAAGATGCAAGAGACGGCTGTAGTGGGTCACAGCAATACAGCGAGCAATTTAGAGGCCTCAGGCTATGAGAAAATGTGGTGACAGATGAGTGAATGATGCCTGATTCGACGGCGAAGACGATCTGAAGTGGAGGCTCAGATCTTGCAGCGCCGATGGCACGATCTCAGATTGTAGCGCGTCCGTTGGCCCCGCTGGCTGGGTCTGTGGCCGGGGCAAGATCTGGTGGGGTCCTCACGAGCAGACTGCTCTCGTTGGTTGTCGATATGCTTGGTGTTGTGCATGTAATGAAGGCGAGCGAGAAAGCGGTTTAGCTTTGCGCCTCGGAACGGCCCAAATTGCAACGTTACGAACCCGCAGGCCGATTGACTCGATCTGGCAGCGATGCAGATTCGAGGATCGCACTAAGAAGCTGTCCCATGTATTGCTGTCCGGGGATGGCTCAGATGCGGATGCGGATGTGGATGAGCAAGATTGGGGAGGGGCAGACAGCGGGACCTTCACTGTCGAGACGTGCCAAGCCTCCTCGGGTGCGACGGGGAAGAAGTCGCGAGTCCCTTGCGTGAATCCTGGCGCGCGCCCGGGCACACGCGCGCACGTCATGTCTCAGCAAACACGTATTTTTCCGTCTGTTTCGCGACGACACAACGTGAGGCACGAGCGCCCAAGAACCTGACTTGATCTGTGAAGCAGCTCTTTACTAGCACGCGGACTCGAGATGCGGGTATTATTATGGCCTCAAGCAACACCTCCCGCTCCGCGTCTCGCTCAGTATCTCGTTCAGTGAGCTCCAACAGCCTGCCACCACGGCGCACATCACCCGTTGTCGAGCTCTCGCCGGCCGAGAAGGAGAAAGAGGCGCTGATCGCGGGTGCATGTCGGGACCGCGATCTGTCCACCCTGGTCCATCTGGCCACGACCAGCTCTGGTCTCATCAGCGATAGTCTACGTCGCACAGCCTGTATGCCGATCCCACAGCACAACGACGACGCCGCCGCTGACCATTTCAGGGCCTCTGCTACTTGGGTGCTCTGAGCAGGACTCGAACAGGACGCCATGGGAAAAGCTGCCACCCCACAAAGACGAGCATCAGGTTAGCCTGGATGTCAACCGTGCCTTTGTGTACTACCCAAAAAATGGTACTTTGATGGACTTCCGCACACGGCCAAGCCGCTGACAGATTCCAGAGTCAGAAAAGCAGCTGGAACGTAGGAAGGAAGAGCTTTCCGATGTAATAATCCATGTGCTCCGCCGCCACCCTACGCTGTGCTACTTCCAGGGCTATCACGACATCGTCCAGGTCTTCCTGCTCGTCCTCGGTGTGCAGGATGCACCCGCTGCAGTAGCCCGTCTGAGTCTGCTCCGTATCCGCGACTTCATGCTATCCACGCTCGACCCCGCCATATCCCAGCTCGAACTGCTCCGACCCATCTTTCGCGCCGCCGATCCTGAGCTGTTCAATCATCTGCCTAAGAGTCAGCCATCGTTCGCCCTGGCCGGCACCATCACCAACTGTTTGCCCACAACATACAGGACTACAAGGACATTACGAGGCTGTTCGACTTCTTCTTGGCGCACGATGCTGTTATGCCCATATACCTCTTCGCGGCTGTGGTGCTCTCGAGACGAGAAGAGCTGCTTGAGATTGATCAGGAAGACGAGGATATCCTCTATGTCATGCTCGGGAAGCTGCCTCAGCCGTTTGACGTCGAGTTCCACCTCGCACGAACGCTAGAGCTATACGAGAGACTTCCGCCCGCGTCGCTAGGAAGTTGGGAGTGGTGGCGGATATCATCGTCGAGCGCTCTCAAGACCTCCGCCGATGTCTCCGACTTGCATCGTCTCACCCTGGAAGATGGCGAGCGACTATTCCTGCAACAGGAAAAGGACGTCAGGAGACAGCAAGCCCTCAGGCGGGTCGGCCAAAATGCACTATACATCAGACGACGCCTCTGGTTCTACCGCAGGTACGGATATGTTGGACTAGCCGTCATCGTCGGAGCATACGCCTTGTGGCTGGGTCGAAGAGCCGGCTCCGGCGCTGCACGGTACCCTCTGTTTGGACCACTAGGTAATCTCGTAAAACGACTCATGGGTCTGCCCGCTTAGACGATAACGAATCAGACGATTAAAAGTACTTCATTTACTAGAAATATAGGGTGGCGTCAGGAGTTGGACTGACGTTGACATTCATCCCTCGACAAAAACGGTGCATCCATGATTTTGAGAACTGTACAGCTTCCTATGTATTGCAGAGCAATTTGCGCGTGATAGATTCCCTGTCACAATTCGCTGCTTTTCGGTTTGTAATTTACGCCAGACATCCAACGGATTGGGCCATGTGCTTCGTCGTGCCTTCCTCGCTGAGTGCTGTCTCACACCTCCAGTCATGATGGCTGAGCCATCATGCAACAACGCACCTCATACTTCGCTTGACCAGCATTGAGCGCAGCGCTGCAATCTCATGCCACATTTATCTACCGCCTCTGCGCATGCTCAAAAAAGTCGGAGAGTGTTTAGTTTGGCCACAACACCAGTCGCGTCGGAAATGTTGCGGCGCCGGATGGGCTGTGAAGCCTCTCGGATTCGTTTTGCGAGGCTGCATGCACTGTCTGCTAGTCTCGCTAAAGTATGAACCAAGACGCGACTGCTATTTTCGCGTGATGGCTGCCTAACCATCTTGTCATTACAATACCTTCGCACCTTCGGACCTCTGGATCGAACTTCGCGACCCTGGCAAGATGGAGGCCCAGCAATCGACATACACCTATACCCCACTTGACGATACTCGGCGTGAAATTCGCGTACTTCACATACGTCCAAAGTCCTCTTCTCCTTCGCAAACCGCGAAGCTGACGAGTGGGGAAGACACCGACACTATTGACTGCTTCTTCAGCCGTACTACACTCGAAGACCCTTCAGATTTCGAGGCTCTATCTTACGTCTGGGGGGATGCCAGCAAAAAGAAAACCCATCCGCCTACAAGGTCACGATTTTCCAGTGACAGAGAACCTGCATCAAGCGCTAGTCCATCTACGCAAGGACTACGATGAGCGTATCTGCTGGATTGATGCTCTGTGTATCAATCAAGGGGATCTTGAGGAACGTGCATCCCAGGTTTCTCAAATGGAATATATTTATCGCCTAGCAAAAGAAGTCATCGTATTCCTTGGCCCTTATTGGAAGGGGCAAGAAATCGCACTCCGATTCATGTTTGCGATAGCGAGCGATAAAGATTTGCATTACAGTCCACTACAAGAACCACACTTTACCTCCAATGGAGGTCTCGATGCCAGCTCTGAGCTTCTGTGCTCCTATCTTGCACGCTTCTTCGCGTTGCCGTGGTGGACGAGGGCATGGTAAGTGATGTCAAGTGTGCGAACTGCACGTGAGAAATGTTCTGATTTCATCTACCGACATTTAGGACCGTGCAAGAGGGTTTGCTCGCTCAGCAAGTCACCTTCATGTCTGGAATCCAGGAAATACCAGCTCCCCTTATCGGGGACTACCTCAAGAATATCAATCCGCACTTTAGATGCTGCCTGAAGGGTGCGAAGCTCCACTGGCGTGACGAAGCAACGCAACTCACTGTATGGGAGAGCCAAACAAGCGCCAGTGCGCTCTTCTTCTCTGCTGGGGCCGAGCTCGAGGATGATCTCCTCTACAGAGTCACCAGGTTCAGGTTTCGCGGCTGCTGGGATGTTCGAGACAATATATACAGCGTGCTTGGTCTTGCCAGCCCAGCATATCGAGAACGCATTAAGGTGTCGTATACTACACCAACAGCAGAAGTTTTCCAAAACATGGCTATAGCTTCGATTGAGGTCACAGAGTCTCTTGACGTACTCAGCCATGTATGCGGCCCAGGGCATCCATTGCTGTCAACCAGGTTGCCGTCTTGTGTGCCCGACTGGACGTCAAATGTGGGCATTATGCAGCGTGAGCCACTTATACAACGTCTGAAGATGCTGCACTACAAACCCTTCAAAGCAAGTAGGAAAAGCAAAGCACACATAACGATCACGAATGGCACGGCTATAACTGTCGCCATGGGCATTGACAAGGTAGCAAAAGTCGCTGATCAGTCAGATCAAGCGGCAACGTGGCCAGATACAGTCCCCAAACTCCGAAAACTCGGCAAGATCGACGGAGACGTTGCAACGCCATATGCATCCCGCGACAATGCGTTCTGGAAGACTCTTGGTGGCGGAATTCATCCGGGCGGACTCGGAAACCGAAAAACTGAACCGTTCTATCGCTTTGAAGACAAGGACGAGCATATGTACCGTGAGTGGTTTCCATGGGATCCTTTGAACATGACAGAAGGTTCTGAGATCTTCGGCCATGCTGTCATGTGTGCGTCAGCGTGCCGGCGTTTTATCCTGACTGAAAAAGGGTACATCGGGTGGGGCCCTGAAGACTGTAAAGCAGGTGACGAAGTGGTACTTATGCCTGGCGGAAGGGTGCCCTACATCGTACGAACATTCAGGAGCAATTTGACCGACCCGAATGCACGTTTGTGCAAGTTTTTGGGCGATGCCTATGTTCATGGTGTGATGGATGGTGAAGCTTGGCTCGATCCTGACGCGCTTCACCCTATTGTCTTCATGCCGCGCAAAGTTGGCGCAGAGGATGAGGATAGTGAGGATGAATAGGACAAAGGGTATGAGGAAGAAGACGAGGCGAGTGGCGAAGAAGAACAAGCGGAGAAGTATGAGTGTGAGTGAAACGGAAGCCGTGTTTATTCAAGGCTACGGAACGGTGAGATCTAAACCCTTGCTATGCCAGCACGCTATCAAATCTTATAGTAACCTGTCCTGATTATCTTCCGATGACCGTTTCCACATAGACGGATTCGAATCGTTCACTAAATTCAAGAAAATCCCTGGAATCGAACATCTTGAACACCGTGCGTCTACTTCGACCCACGAACCAAAGTGCTCAAGTCCACCTGAGGCTTGACACCATAGGGCAACCTAAAGTTGCAGCGATCGCACGTACTGCACTAGCACATTCATTAGCCATCATTCCACCTGCGACACAGGTGTACACTTACTTCTTTCTCCGTACACATATTCCGCCGACACTCCTCGACCTTTTCAGGCTTCTTCCAGTTATCCTACTCAAATATTAGTGACTACAATCTTATCAACCAAACACACTTCGGGAACTTACACCAATACAGTACAGATAATATAGACCCTCGCAAGCAGACTTGCACGCGCCGTCATTGTCGTCAAACAACGGCCAGCCTGCACAAGTCAATGGCGAAGTGGCGTCAGGCCGACAGTACCCCTCGCGGAAGCACTGGAAAGCTTCGTCCCAGTTACCGCTGTCGTTGCACGTGAATAGGAACCGACGGTCTTTGTCGCAAGCCCGGTCGCCCGAATTGCATTCAGAGCGCTTGGCCTTGGGTGGATCCATCTCGCCGCTTTCGCAGTGAGCTTGACCTGGGCCGTCGACCATGCAGTCTCCTGGTGTAAGGCACTTCTTGCTGAAATGCCACTTCTTGTCCGCGCGGCAGAGAAGCAGGCTGTAGCGGTCGGAGTCGCAGTTGAAATGGCCAGGACGACAAGGCTCGGTGGGCCAGTCGCTACGAGCCGAGAGTGAAGCAGAGCGCACGTACGGTGGGAGGCCGGGCTTCTTGTAGGCATTCAGCAGCTTCGGTGCCGTCGTTGTCAGCCCAGCAGACGGTCATCTCGGGGCAGATCTCCTTGTCGGTCCAGGTGCCATTGGTACATGACTGGGTGCGGACGGGAGTGTCGTACATGCAACGCTCGAGACCGAGACGATCACACGACTCGGTCTTGGGGCGCGCATTCATGGCTTGCGGTGGGAGGCCGGGACTCGGGACGCATTCGGCGGTCTCATCACCATCGTTATCAGCCCAGCAGATGGTGTTAGCAGGGCAGATCTTCTTATCGGTCCACGTGCCGTTCGTGCATGACTGGGTTCTAATGGGAGTGTCGTACATGCAGCGCTCGAGGCCAGGACGATCACAGGACTCGGAGCGCGTCTTGTTGACCTGCGGTGGAATTTCAGGCATCGGTGCGCATTCAGCAGTCTCGTCTCCATCGTTGTCAGCCCAGCAGATTGTATCCTCAGGGCAAACCTCTTTGTCGACCCAAGTGCCATTAGTACACGACTGCGTACGAACAGGCGCATCGTACATGCAACGCTCAAGCCCAGGCCGATCGCAGGCCTCGAGCTCGGAGCGCTCGACCACAGGCGCAGCATCGGTAGTCGAAGAGTTGTTGCTGTCGCCGACCACAGTGTAGTACTCTTCCCTGTTCATGCAGTAAGGCCTGCACATCTTGCGGCCACAGTTCTCAATACAGACGTTATCCTTGCCACAGCTCGAACCCGCGCTCCAAAACTCCCCATCACAAGTTTGAATCATGTTCTCGTTGCAGCGGGCCTGTGTGTTTTGGCATCGCTCGTCGTCCATGGGAGGGGCAGGCGAGGATTCCTTGGGGGGAGTAGGCGTAGGAAGAGTAGGCGTGGAAGTAGTAGACGAGGACTCCTTGGGAGGGCCAGGAGCTGGGTCCGCGGGAGGAGTTGGGTAGGGATTGCTGGGAACGTACGATGGCAAGCACCCAAAAAACTGTTCTTTGACTATGCACATCTCGCTCTCCAGGCATGACTTCACTTTCTTCCAGTATCCGGTGGGCCAGTGGCCGGTGTTGTCGCACTTCTCGAGGATGTTGTTGTTGCAGCGGTACGCGTTGATCTTAGGACACTTCTCGCCATTGGTATCCTTGGGGGGAGTGGGAGAGGGCTCTACGGGAAGAGTAGGCGAGGATTCCTTGGGAGGGGCGGGCGAAGGCTCCGCGGGAGGTGCAGGATATGGGTTGCTGGGAACGTATGAAGGCACGCACGTGCCTTTTATGTACTGGTTGCTGACCATGCACGTCTCGCTTTTCAGGCATGACTTGACTTCCTTCCACTGATGGATGGGCCAGTGGCCAGTGTTGCCGCAGTTCTCTAGCACATTGTTGTTGCAGCGGTACGCGTTGAGCTCGGAACACTTCTCGCCATCAGTGTCCTTTGGAGGGCCGGGAGAGGGCTCGCTAGGAGAAACAGGCGATGGCGGAAGGCACTGGCCGCCGTCGAAGAACTTGCTGTTGATCTTGCAGGTCTCGCCCTCCTTACATTGCTTGACTGTCTTCCAGTTCCCATCGTCGCCACAGGTCTCGAGACTGTTCTTGCCGTTGGAGCACCGATGAATACCAACCTCGAAGCACTCAGTATGGACGAGCTTGTGGTCGTCTTCAATGGGATAACAACCTCCATGGTCCGTGGCAGTCTTCTCCGCAGAGCACAGAGCAGTCTTGGTGCAGTTCTTGATCGTGCCCCACTGTCCATTATCGGCACACTCCTGCAGGTTGTTGTTGGTGTCGCAGCGGCGCTCGTCGATGACTGAGCAATGCTTCGCGCTGTTGCTGACGTTGGCGTCGGGCAAGCAGCCACCACGGCCCGCGGTGACAGAGTATTGTGCAGAGCAGCGTGCTACCATGCTGCACTTCGCAATGTCCTGCCAAATTCCGTCGGCGGCGCACTTCTGGAAAGTGTTACCGGAGCATTGGTAGGCGTCTACGGAGCAGGTGGAATTGGTAGGCGGCGGAGGTGTGCTGTACTGAGCGAGCGCGAGCGGCAAGATGGCCTCGAGGAACGGCACATACTTGGAGATGCGCATGATTGCGGTTTACTTGATATTGAGTGGCCTGGCAGTCCAAGAAGAGAGGAGGTGGGAGTAAGAGTTTAGGGTTGGGGGAAAGGATATTGAAGTAGGTGGGAGGAAACAAACAGAATACATAAGCTCGGGGCGCGCTCCACAGCAAACGGACTACGCGATTGTTAAGTTTGGGGAAGATGAGATGGAACCTGTTGGCACGTCCGCTTGTCGGTCACGCACAATGGTGATTTTTACGAAAAGACACAACCAGTTGCCAAGGACTGGACAGTGTTCGAGCCAGTTGAATCAGTCGGACTGGAACTGCGACCACGCCGCGGACTCGAGCATGCCCATAGGGTGAGAGCAGACCCAGCTGGATCATTGTTTTAATCCACTTCCAGTATGCACTTCCCGGGGCTCTTGTTGTACTAAGAAAAAAGACTCGACCGCTCGACAAACCTGAGGCCTCGCTCGTAGAACTACCGCGACTCTTATCCAATCTGATTCAACTCCAAGATCCCACTTGCGCCACAACGAGACTTAACCCACTGTTCACGATGCGCCTCCTCGGCTTTTTTTCACTCTTGCTACCAGTGGCATGCGCATATTCGACCTTTCCTGTCATCTCCGAAGTCCACTTGACTACGCTCATATGGATATACGAAGACCACAACCTTTGCGAGGACGGATGCAACATCGCGTACAAGTACTTCAAAGGCGTAGGTATGTCAAAATTGGGTATAGTGCTAATGCTAATTCGCCTAGCAAATGGGAGAGGTAGCTTGGTTCTACAAGGAGGTTCCGGGAGGCTCGATGCTGGAAGCGCTCTGTAAGGAGAGCAAATGTTCTGGGTGCGGGTACTGTCGACAAAAGGATATCAAGCGGGAAATCCGTCAGGAATAGGCATTGCGGAGACGTGGAAGAAGTGTCCACAAGCAAATCCTGACGATGACGACAGACCCGTGCATCTTGGAAATGCTCGTGCCACACATCCGTACAGAACACCGGTTCAAGCATAAGAGATTCGCCGCCCGTTCAAGATGTCACTACACCGATCTTGATATACCTCCTAGATTAATACCATCGAATCTGGGGCAAATACAACGATGATTTAGATTCGAGCTTATTGTCGCCCCTGTGGCAAACGATCATATACAACTAGCCGCACCAACATTTCTCCATCGCCCTCACACCGATTGTCATCAATCCCTGTCGCGTCCTCGGATCGGAAGCATCGACGATGGATCAGCTGTTGCAAATAATAAAAGCGGTATGGCGCCCCCGCACAATTGGACCCTGATGCATTGCGACGTCACTGCCAAGGATGCCATCATACCTTTAGCGAGATAGTATAGAAGGGGAGGAACAATGTCACGCTTAACCACACCTGCATTATTCGGTCCTTTGAGTTTCGGATCTGACCCTGTATCTTTCCTGGTAAGTCTTAATGGGTGGGTGTGGTCCAGTACGGCAGGGAGTAGCGCCGTGGTGTATTACTTGTCGCTACCTTACAAGGAAATGGTCGCTGGGACTAATGATGTGATAGGAAAGTGTTACTCGTAAAGAGACAATAAAACAAGAAATCGGACCTAGTTCCAATTCTCCGATCGTGTGTTCACCACACCTCAGTGCCTAATCTTCACGATCACCAAACGTATGTTGCCAAGCTTTCCCTACACTACTTCTACGACTTAGATATCATCAGCTAACCTCAGCTAAGACAAAATAACAACAATGGCCGATAAATCAAGCCTCCTTCCGCCCAGCGAGGGCGACTTCGGCATCGCTACTCCATCTGGTCTCACCCCAGGAACGCGCTCAGAAGCCGAAGAAGCATTCGCCCTCAACGCCACCGCGCAAACCGACTCTGCCGCGCCCGACCCTTCCCTCACCGAAGCCCAAATCGCATACCGCCGCCCCGGAATCCCACGCGCCAGCTCATACAACTACGAGAATGCCCTGCGCCGCACCCAACAGTCCTCCGTATCCTCGGATATGTCGGCTGATACCATCACCGACGGCTCAAACGAGGGCATCCAGTTCCCTCAGCCGGGTCAGGGTGTTGTGCCGTTGAACTACGGAAGTCCGGTTGGTGTGTCGTCCAAGGACGATTCAGTCAAGAAGACGAGGTCAAGGGGTCTGAGTCTGGGGGCGTTGGCGAGGCAGCAGAGTTGGAACGAGGAGGACTACAAGCATGTGTATAGTGCGAAGCTGGCAGAGGAGACGAAGATCGATGGTGGGTACGGAAGCGGCACGGATAATAAGGCCCAGGGTCCTTAGGCATGGGTGGTGTGCTAAATGAAAGTTTGATGGCGTTTTGGCGTATGGATGGCTGCCCACGCGGAGATGGCCTGGGCACTCACGGCCATGCGAATGAGTTCGAAAAATAAATATAGTCGTCAGACTTACGAAAGAAAACAGCTTGAATACAGTCGGATTGTATTTGTGTCCCTCATCCTAATCATTCCTCCCCCTTAACCAGCGCCAGAAACCCCTCCTTCGCACTCCCTCTAGGCGCCCTCAACCTCACCACCTCCTCACTCGTCGGCACCACATCCGTCCTACACAACCCCGCCCACGCCGGCTCACACGTGCACATAATACTCTCAATGACATTCTCCGGATACCCCTTCTCCCCCAACCCCTTGATCATACTCGTATCCCTCCACACCACCTCTTCAACCTTCGTCCCCGCCGCCTCCTCCACCCACTCCAACACGTCCTTCCCCGAGACATTCTCCGGCCCGCGGATCACGTATCTCTTCCCATTATAGCTCTTCAACATCTCGAAGTGCGAGTAAATTCCCAGCGTTAGCGCCAACATCCCCCGCATCCAAAATCGCAACACTATCATCCTCACCCAGAATAATCCCCAATTTTCCCTGCACCCCCGTGTTCTTGTATTCGCGCACCCACGCCGCCGGCCCGCCCAAATACGGCCCGACAAACACGTTCGGCTGCAGCGACGTCCACGCCATGTTTTTAAAGTCTGCATCCGCGAGCATCGTCTCGAGCGCCCAGTGCGCGCGCGCGTAGTACACTTTGCTCGCGGCGCTGACGACTTCCGGGCGTCGTGCTGATGCGCACGAACGTACTGCACCGAGGCGTGCAGCAGCGCCACGAGCAGGCCTGGATTCGTCGCTGAAGTGGCTGGGCAGGTTGTGCGAGGCGATGAAGGCGCGGGTGACGTGTTGGGATGTAAGCCAGGAGGTGGTTATGGTGGTCCAGTCTTTTTCTATGACTTCGACCGAAGGCAGGTTGGAGAGGGCGGTGGAGGTGGGGGTTTTGGTGGAGCGGGTGAGGGCGAGGATGCGGTGGTTTGAAAGGGGATGCGCGGGGGAGTTGAGGAGGGTGGAGAGGGTGTGGACGGTGTTGACGCCTGTGTTGCCAGTTGCGCCGACGATGAGAATTGTGGGTGTCATTTCAGTGAGTCAATGGTTGTTTGACGTGTTGGTGACTTGCTTGGTGTGGTGGAAAGCTGGTGTTGTGGGTGATTATGCATGGGCGTCAAATGTCTTTTATATCTCTCCACAGACACGACGAATTCCATCTCTTGCTCCAACATCTTGAATTTGTTGACTTCTTAGCTTTGCTCTTTTCACTCCGCAGCCTAACGACCTCCGTGGTGTTTCTATGGAGGCCATGACGTTGTGCCTGGGCGAGAACGGTGACCGTCCTGCGTTAGCCTCATAATGCTCCAGCGGAGTGAACTTTGGCTCCAGAACTTTTAGCCGACTAGTGACGACAAGCTCCTATGCGGGTTTGTTTGGTGCGCGGAGTGAGACTGTTAGCGTACGCTTCCATTGTTCCGTTAGTGCAGTTCCTCAATTCAGCTAGACTCGCACGAAATGCGGATGAACAGGTATGTTGTGCAGCGGTGCGATCCGCCCCTAGTCTCATCCTACATATAATGCAATTTATATCTTGTCTTCTAAATATTTACCTAAGCATCGTTGTCCACGGCCAAAGCGCCGAAGCTGTCAGCCAAGTCGTCTTCGATGACAATCTCTTCTCCTCCCTTGCTCTTGAGTGTCGACAACTTCCAGACCAGGCTCCCAATTTCATGTGTCCATTCTAAATTTTCCAGTGTCCATTTCATAACCTCATCTCTCTTTTTCTCAACCAACGATGACAGCTCGTCATGCTGATCTACATCCATCAGAACCTTCTCGTAGTACGTCAACAAGAGCAGCATTACATCCCGGATTTCGCGCGACTCAGCTTGCAGATCAGCAATTTCTGCTTTGGAGACGTCGCAGTCCTGATCGATCATTGCGCGTACTTTCTTGAAGAACAGCTCTGACGAATTGTTTTTGAACTTGCACTTGCGCTCATAAGCAGGTTTGAATACTTCGAAGTCGTGCACGCGAGGCATTTCTGGTAGCCACATTCGATGTTGAAAGTTGAACACATGATCACCACTAACGACATTCATCTTGGCCTTCTCATGGAAGAACTGTCCGTCATACGGCATGACTTGCGTGACTCGAGGCAGAGAAATCGAGCCACATGCAAGCCATTCGTCATCCTGGCCCTGGTGGAAAATGCCAAAATGGCAGCGAATCTCTGCCATCGACAACCAGACATCAGGCAGGTGTTTCTCGAAGTCGGCTTTTTTGATGGTCGTCATGTCGGCCGAGAATTTGGTGAGGTCGATCCAGATTGGGACGTCGCCGCACCGAGGCCTGGAGTGGCTTCGCGGCATATTGGGTGAAGCACGATAGGTCGCGGGAGATAGATCGGCTGTGCTTATTTTGGCAATCGCAACGCGTTCCTGTTTAAAGCGCCCTTGCTTGTAGAATTGTCCCTGCGCACGATATTCTGCAGAACCTGAACGTAATGTAAGTTAGGGAGCTTTCGTCGAGGGAGGAGTTTGGCATTACCCCGGAAGTCGAAAGCAGAGACGAAGCTTGAATGGATGCAACATCTCCACACCAAATGCTCTGATACCCGCTTCTCAGTAAGGTCTTTCTCGAAGCCGAACTTTTCGCGTGCCTGGAAAGCATTTTCCTTGCTGACCTGACCCTTGACATGTTTGAAGTAGCGAGACGGTGCCTCGATATGTTCATTGGCATTAGATACGACGTAGCAACTAGGGGTGTATGAGCCTTCGTAGAACGTGCGCCATAAGAAGGGTGGCAGCTCGCGCCTGTCCCCGTGTTGGTAGGTTTCGTGATTTGGCAGGATGCTGTTACGATTAGCAATGGAACAACACTCATTTGTTGCTACCATACATTGACATGTTGTGAAACTACGAGAAATGAGATCTCATGATAAGGTGAGTGTAAGTGTCGTGGTCTTGCAAGGCTGAGTCCAAGCTGCTGCCTGTTATATGTCATTTAACGCCGCAATCTTAGTAAGTAGTTTGCTGACTAGCCGTTTGGCACATGCTCCTTGACAGAGACACAACCTCAACTTCAGATGCATGTGAATCACATTTTTTGAGACTGGGCCAGAATTTACACGCGAAAATGATATTGAAGTGGTGATATACACGGTAAGAACGCAGGATAGAACCGTCCAGGGGGTGAAATGCTTTGTTAAGGTTGTCGCAAACCTCGAAAGTGACTAAAAAGTTCTCAGATCATCCACCAAGAATGCGGTGGAAGGAAAAGCAGACTCGTAGACTTCCAGCTGGAGAGAAAAGTCAAAGAGCATGCAATGGACTACGCAAAGAAGACAAAATGTGCAAACCAAGGCGCAAGGAAAATCGTAATGCAGAGATTACCTCATCGGAAAGAGAAAGCCTTGTCGATGTGCCATGTGTGTCTTAAGGAAGCATGAGCTTTTGACGCATGTCGCAGAGCGATATTGTATTCCGAGAATGTTCTCCTTGAGATGCACTAAAGATGTAGGCAGAGATGAATCCGGTAGATGAGAAGATATTGGAAGGTACCTTTGGCCGAACAATCTGATTGTTGGAAGATGGCGTAGATAAAAGATGCCGTGTTCGAAAATAGCCGCCTGACCTTGAACCGTAGAGCGGAGGAAACAAAGCACCATGTAAGTCCTCGGTGACCGTTCTTCGTGCTAAAAATCATGACTACAGCACACGAGTGAAGTAGGTTCCAATGCCTAGGATGCGGCGGCTGTCATGAAGCCGATGGGCTCAGGTGTGATGTCGGCGATGGTGACAATCTTGCTGAACTCGAGTACGGGCTCGCGCTGCAGGCGGATGTGCTGGGCTCGCTTCGAGCGCGGTTGCGAAGCATCTCGGATGCCTACATGCTCCAATTCTTGGCCAGCAACTTCATCTTCGTCATCGTTGTTAACGGAATGCCTACGCTTGTCTCCAACGATCTCCAATCGGAAAGGACGCCAGTCCGTGATGTCTGGGTTGTGACGCCACCTGGACATGTCCCAATCGAAGAGGTACTTTTCGATGCTCATGAGGCTCTCGACCATGTCACAAGACTTTTCGAGATGTAATGTCTCGCCGTCGAATGGAAAGACGCCATCAATGCATGACTTCGGGACAGGACCACAGCAAAGCCACTCATCGTCATGCTCTGCGCCTACGCCATTTTGCATGTCGAAAGGGCCTTTCATGGCCATCTCAGATCCTCGAACCCACATATCCGTACCTGAGTCTTCGAGTTGCTGAAACGAAATGGGTGAACCATCAGCGGGTCTCGCTTCTGGTCGAACCCAGACTGGGAGCCGTACACGGCGAGTCTTGATGGACCGATCAGTCGCGAGCAGATTGTTTCCCACGTAGTCTATACCCCGAGTTCTCAACTGGCCTCGGACAGTGGCTGGAATGAGATTGGAAATACTGGCTTTTCCGACAGCAACGCGACGAATACCCTTTCGACTCTTGGTGTAACTCTTCTTAGCTTCGCCCTCTGCGGCCTCTGGATGCAGTCAGTCACAATTCCAGAATAGATACACATAATGTTACTCACCTATGGTTTCCCAAAAGGAAACGAAGGGTGAGGGGTCGAGCGCTTTGTTGCCTTTGTACTGTCGCCGTATGCGTTCCGGAGTCAGGTCCTGCAGCGGATCGTAATCTCCGTGATTCTTGAACGCCATATCATCCTCGAGTTTGAGGTGTGGGACGTCAGCATGTAAAAGGTGACAGTCCTCGCTGACGAAGGCACTGAGAGTAGCGGACTTCTCATGGAAAGAGCGAAAAACATGCTGTGGCGGTCGCTTGCTCTGATCCTGCGCACGCATGCGCTCCTCAGGTCGGAGGAAGGTGCTAATGCTACGTTAACATGTGGACTCGGTGAGTGAATTGCCGGAAAATCATACATCTCTAGATGTCCAAAGAGCTCCGATTTGGTTAATGGCTTTTTTCCTTTGTGCTTGACCTCTTGTTGAGAACGACCTGCAGGGCCAGACTCGGCTTGAAGCTCGGTCACTGGGTCATTCTCTGGAGTTGGAGCACGACTAGAACCGCCGGAACTGGGGGTTGGATGATGCGGTCTGGGGTCGGTCACGTCAGACGCGGGTGTTGCTGTGTCCCTGGACCTGACTGTCTCAGGTGAGATGCCATCGCGCATTGGTGTATCCATTGAGGCTAGGCTGGCTGAGTGCTGTCTTTACTGGGATAGATGAAGACTAGATGCAGAAGAAATGATCAAAATGAGGTCTTGAAGTGAAGAGGAGAAGTATGAGGAGGAGGTGGTGGTGGTGTAAGAAAGATGGAGACCCAGGTCAGGGCAGACTTTATATAGACACTGGTTCTAGGATCAGCAGTAGCAATGGCGCCTTTACCTGCGGTAATGAAGGGTGAGAGCGTCGGACCTGACGGAATGTGAGAAGACGCTAGCCTGCGTCCACGGAAGGTAAAGGTACAGGCCACCAGGCAGCGGCATAATTAATGTCCGCTCTGCATATACGCGGGTCTAATAGTCTCTAGGAGCGCACTGTTAAGCAAGTTTTTGAAGAAAGCTGAATATATTCAGTGCAGTAAGATATTTTGTCTAGTTATGTAAAAGATGTTCAATCCATCCTAGCTACCGCTTCACCGTTCTCGTTCGAAGAAGGCGGAGAGAAATTTTGCCGGGGGCTGGTGAGCTTGAAGATCCGATGATCAAGCCGAAAGAATAAGATAGCCATCTTAGAAATGAAAAGAAGAGTGCCCATGAGAAAGAAAGAATGAAAAGGCTGTCAGAAAGGAGAGAAGAAAAGAAAATGTACCTCCAGAAATCCTGTGCCAGTCGGAATGTTCTGCTGATGGCGAGTGCATCTCATGTCGATGCTGTTAACTCAATGAGCCATGATCACACTCTGTCGACGGGTTGAGAAGTTCATGTAGGGGCGGACAAGTGTGAGCTCAATCAGCTTCATGCGCTTCACTGGCTGTTCTTCACCTTCATGGGAAAGTCCGTCTGCTTTGCGCTTGAGTGCCTCGCGCGCTTGATGGGCTTCCATATCACGGAATTCGGCGATGGCGGTCAGAGCGGCGTCCAGAACCCATCTCTTCTCGTTCCAGCTCCAGATCCAGGGCTCAGTGCTATCGAGGCTTCGGATGATCTTGGTGGTTTGCCGCTTATGGAGAACCTTGCCGTCGAAAGGCACGATGTCCATGATCAGAGACTTGGCGATGGGACCGCAGGACAGCCATTCATAGTCATGGCCCTTCGCGCAAATATAGTCACGGGTGGTACAGATCCTGCTCTTCGGACCATTTGAAAGGTTGGATCGTCGAAGCTCAGTGATCGAGATCCACATGTCAACTCCCAACTCCTCGAATTGTTCGACTGTGAGGTCCGAGCGATCTGCGGGCTTTCTGGAGTCACGAATCCAGACTGGGATGTCGACGTCGAAGTAGTGGTCTGAACTCTTCACCACATCTGGTATGGATCTTCCCATCTTGGTGGTGATTGTCACGATAGTCTTGCACCTCGCTGACACAGTCGCTGCCACTAGACCAACGTTGTTGATCGTGCTAATGAAGACACGCTGCCCGATACGCTTGCTCTCGTCATAATGAAATCTCGCGCGACGGAGCGCAGCATCTAGTAATGTTAGACACTACTTCTCAAACGTGGTGGAGTTTAGGCACATACCAAGACTGTCGAAGGTAGAGATGTAAGAACTTGGATCCTCTTTCTTGTTCCAGATGAGTTGACGCTCTATGCGCTCTCGGTTGAGGTCCTTCATCAAATCCCACACGCAGATTGCCTGAAAAGCATTATGAGCCTCGAGTCTGAGATCCTTCCTGTCGCGGTGTTTCGCGTGTGTAGCCTTCGATGTGTTGGAACTCAGAGTGATCGAAGTCTCGTAAGAGGTGCGTCGGAAGTCCGGAGGAACTATCTCGGACTTCCTGGTCTGTCGGTCTTGCTCTGGGGCGTTGTTGAAGGTACTGTATCAGTTTAGTCTTGCTTTGATGAATACGACACAATACACACATCTTGACAATCCCAATCAAGTTAGACGTCATGACTTCTTCTTGGTTTTCTTTAAGCCACAAGCGTTCTCCGACAATACCCTTGATGGTGTATTGCGTCTCCGAAGCTGGCTTCTTAGGGGTCTTTGGTTTTGTCCGCTTCCTGGACCTTCGCTTACTGACAGACTGAGCTGGAGATGGAGAGCCTAGCGATGGCGTGGGATCTGGGATCTGAGGATCTGACGAAGGACCGCTCTCTGTGTGTGGAGAATCCAGAGACGCTGGAGATGGAGGTGCTTCGCCTGGAGAACCTGGCGACAAAGGTACACCTGACGAAGACGAGTCCATGATGTCGTCTAGACTGAAAGCCGAGAAGAGGTTGTCGGAGTCAAGGCGCTGTGCTAAGTAGCTGACTGAAGAGTCGAAGGGAGTAAGTTATGTAGAAGAAGAGTGTGGTGTAGGAAGAAGAATCGACGTTATCGAGTAGGGTGCTATATACTAACACACCCAAGGGCGAGCGGCAGGACAGGTGAGAGAGATTTCTCATCTTTCGCGAGTAAATCTGAATACCTGTTGAGCTTCAAATATCGTAAGACGGCAATGTGCTTTGCAAGGTGAAGGCAGTTGAGCATTGAGACATGTGCCATGGTAAGATGAGTGATAAAGCGGACATATCTAAAGCTGATAGAATGGAACGAAGAGACATCCTATGGTCATACATAGCAAGATGAACGATGTTGCGCGTGAACGGGAAAGTGAGCAAGAGCTGATGTGGTTTGACGTGCGTATCGACATGGTTTCGTTAGTGACTGTGAGTATCAGGGATTAGAAAGTTATTGAGGTTCGAGGAGGTGATCCATATATTGTTGCATGGCAGTGGTTGAAACGAAGACGGAAGTTCGTGACTAAAGTTGAGCGAGAGCCATGCCAAGCGATGCGCGGCTGTGATTGGCGGTCGCATTCCACGTATCGGCTCACCACCACTCGGCGACGAGCAGCACCAAGCTTGAACAACATACTCGATTGCTCCAGCTGCAATGGACCCAGGCTTGGAGCAAGCAATACTGAACAAGTACAACCTCTCGACACTATGGCCAACACGATGGCCCGACGAGAAGAACGACGATTCCGACTCAGACGCGGAAGCTCCCCCCGCCGCAGCAGCGCAACCGGTCCGCCGCTCACGGTCACGTTATTCGATACTGGAAGATAGATCTCGCTTCTCGCGGCAGGTCCCGGGCGCGGAGATATCCAAGGATGGCAAGGAGAATCTGGTGCAGAAAGATGAGCAGGACCCGCTGGGCATGTACCCGAGTGTCGTCCAGGTGCTGCGGTCAAGGAGCGTGCAGGTAGAGGATGATATCAAGCTGCGTATGTGCATATGCAACCTCAAGATATATGAATGGTCTAACACGTGACATAGGCAATCGCTTCCTGCTCAGCTCCACGACCTTCTCCCCGCAGCTCTTCCTCTCACAGGTCCACAGCGATGCCTCGACCGACATGCTGCTGGCCGGCCTCGAGTACCTCTCCAACTCGATCGAAAAGAAGTCTGCATCGCTCAAGGTGCTTGTAGAATCCAACTTTGAGCGCTTCGTCGGTGCGAAAGCTACAATTGATCGCGTGTACACCGAAATGCGTGAGCAGGGCAAGGAGGCCGAGTCACCCTCACGTTCGCAGCATTCACGGGTTGGCAGTCGCTCGAGCTTCTCTGGGAGGAAGGTGAGCGACACGCTTACGCCCGGCATCAAGACGCCGGCCGAGAAGAGGAAGAATGCGTTGATTAAGGAGAGCGAATATGGTGTCCATGGCATCAAGGTCCCGCTCACCGAGGTTGCGGCCAAGGCAGAGGAGGTCTGGGGCCCCGCGCTGAATGGCCGCGAGAAGGAGGAGACTCTCAAGGCTATACAAGAGGCCGTGGACCAGCATCGCGGTCTGTTTGAAGTGGCGTCCGCGTTGCAGGAGGCAATACGCCGCAAGGACCACGAGTCAATTGTGGAAGAGTACAAGCGTGCGCGCAAGTATGCCGAAGATGCAAGAGCCATAGCAGAGCAGGCAGCTGCCTCGAGATCTCCACTGCCAGACGCGAAACTCCATCAGGTCATCGTGACGGCGAGGATGTGGGCTGAAGTTGAACGTCTTATCGAAGACTTCAAGAGAGACTCGTGGAAGCGACTGGCCAACACACACTTCACCAAACTTCAGACTGGGACGGACGAGACCAGGTCTGATCAGTACATGAGCATCATCTCTATCATGCTCGAACTTGGCGTGGAGGACAACCCCATCTGGATCTGGCTCCTGTCGCGCTACGACCATCTCAAGTCACGATTAAATTCGAGCTGCGAGCGCTCTAGAGTCGAGCTTGAGGTGCTTCGTCGACATTTGGCAAACGGCGAGAAGCCAAGCCTGCGTCAGCAGCAGAAGCACCTGCGCGCGGTTCCCATGAGCAGCACCATGAGCGTGGAGCCGTCGAAGCTCGACTCACCCAAGGTCGTTGAGTTCTGGGAACATTGCTATGCTTCCATGAACACGATTCTGTCCAACCGAGGTGGCCTCGTAGGTGAATTGATCGAGTACTGGGAGATCACCCAATCCTTCATATCTGGTCGCGCGCAGAGAAACCTACCGACAGGCTACCAGAACCAGTCGTCAGTCCATCACAAACTCACTGATGAGAACAAGATCGAGCTCGAGAAGGGAACTACCGAACTGATCGGTATTGTTCGCGAACACCTGATCTCATTCTTCTCTGACCCGCCACTTGAGGATGTGTCCTTGCTCTTCTCGCCCTTGCCAACCTCACCCACACCCACAACGCCAAGAACACCACTCAGTGCGGCTTTGAGCCCTACATCGGGTTCGAGATTCCGCTTCGATCCAAATAATATGCCGCCCCCGTCACCTAACCGTGGCGAAAGCTGGGAGAAGTATGCTTTCTGGCCACCACATGCGAATGCACTCTCAGGTTCACACTATCTGTCAAAAACGCTTGTACTAGTCGGAACAGCGGCAAACGAACTGGCGTCGCTTCGGCTCACTGAGACCGGAGCAGCTCCTCGTCTCCATGAAGAACTACGATCATTGCTGGGTAGCGTACGCGAGCGTTGTGCGCAAGCTGTATGCGCTGCTTGGAACACCGATGCTGAAAAGCTCAAGGTGCTTGAAGATTGGACTCGCAATCCTGACCGCAAAGATACTACCAATTTGCCGCAACGTTTCATGGCGGTGCAAACATTCCTACTGAACAATCTGCAAAAGACACTGTATGTCGAACCTTCGACCAAGACATCTGTGGACGTCGTCGTGCCGCCGAGCAGCAAACTCTTACAAATGGTCCGAAGCCAGTTCGTTACTAGTCTGTACCGCACGTTGAGCGGCATGGTCGAGTGTGCAGAGAAAGGAAGGAAAGCCATCGGCGAGGACTTTGAAGTACGAGGCGACGACATCACCGTGGACCCACGCGAGATGGAGGAAGACGGCTGGGGAAAAGTCGATTCGAACAACAAGGTGCGTTTGCATACCCAGCACAACGACTCACGATATACTAACAAGTCCAGTCCATCCGCCTCCTCCTCACCCTCTCCAACATGTCCGCCTTCCAATCCTCAATCTCCCCCTCCCTTCTCTCCCTCTTTGAAACCCTCTTCAGCGTGCAACTCACCGACGAATCCAACCGCATACGGGACGTCCTATCTCAACTCGACGCCCAACTCTTCCTCTCCTACACAAAACCCCACGCCACGAAAATCGCACAAACAATCGAATCCGGCGTGTTCAGCCCTACATGGGCACCTCCTCCCCCGCCCGGCAAAGGCGTCGCAGACCGCGACCCCAGCCCCTTCGTCTTCTCCGTGCTTCTCGACCTCGTCATCGTGCACACCGAGTCGTCAACAACATCCTATCCCCTCACCCCGCGCATTCTCCGGTCCTTGTTCGAATCAACAACGCAGTCTCTCATCGCAACATTCCGCTCCCCCAATCTCGCCGCCATATCCCTGCCGCAGCTCATGCAAGCCACGCTGGATGTGGAGTTCATGGCCGCAGACCGCTCGCGAGCTACACGACTGAGGTGGCGTCCCAGGTGCAGACGGATATCTACCAGGTGCTCGATGCGAAGACGGATAATGCGGCGCGTGTGAGGTTGCAGGATGAGCTGGGCGGGTTGAGGAGCACGTTGAAGAGGTTGAGGGAGGGGACGAAGGTGCAGTTTGCGTGCTTTAGGAGAGTTAAGAGGGAGGGGCGATGAAGGGAGAAAGGAAGTGGAAGTCGGCGTGGTAGAGTAAAATTTATAGCGTTTTGCATATGCATACCCTTTTAAGAGTCCGTGTCTCACTCAATTGTAATTCGTTCCTGCATACAGCTTGCGAAAGTGAAAATTCCTACATCGAAAAGAAATGCACTGATATTCATTCGGATTATATACGTATACGAGGGGAGGGGGTATCTCAAGCAACTTCCAAACCAAACGAAAAACAAGACTCAAATGCACACTCAGGTGAGATCAAGTCGTCGCGGTACCGCCCCTAGCCGACGAAAGAAGATTCGGCGCGAGTGCGATTTTGTACGTCGGGATCGAGTGCGGACTAGAAATTCTCTTACTCGTCTTACTCTGAGGCGTCTCGCTTGCCGCAGGTGTTTTGGTGGGTGTGTCTGCAGCATGTACGCCGTTACTCGTCGGCGACTGTTCCTTCCTGCGCTGCTGAGGCGTCGGCGTATCTGGCGTCGAAATTGCGCTGTCTTTTGATGGCGTGCACGCCTCCCCAGCCCCATCTACATTCTGCTGCCACGCCGGACTGCCCGTACTCGAGGCAGTTGCAATCAAGTCGTCGGAAGATTGTTTGGTTTGCGCGAAGGAAGGGGATGTGACATTGTCGGGCTCCGTCGCGGTGCTTGAAGGAACGCTGAAGTCGTCCTGCGTCTCAACGGTGTCCCGGTTGCGTATGAAGACCGGGCCTCGCCATTCAGGACGCGGTATGCGCCCGATGAGATCAAGTCTCGCCGAGCCATTTCTCGCCCACTCCCAAAGTCCTCTTCTCGACGGCGTCTGCTGCTCTTCGCCCTCTTCTTCCTCAATCGTCTCCCTCCTCTCACTGGCTAGTTTCGGCCTGTTTTCTAAGCTTCGGCGGGGCTCGCCTGGGACTAGGTGTGACTGCGTCTCCGTCGAATCGAGTATCTTCCTGTGCTCCAGCGACGGCATCTTCCGCCACTTCTCCCTGTCCTTCGCGGCGTCCAGATTGGGCGGCAGACTTGCCATCGCCGTTTCCGGTGAAGTACCAACTGTTGAGATCGCCGGACTGGTCAGGCGACGGCGCAGCGGACCCACGCTTGCCCGGTCTTGAAGGCGAGCTTGGCGAGGAGGAAGCTGGCGAGGCGTTTTTGGAGGCGGGGGGAGAGGGTGGGGAGGCAGGGCGGAGTTTGTGGAGTGGGTTGATTTGGTTGATGATGGGGCGGTAAGGGGCGCTGGAGTCTTGCGGGCTGGTTAATGGGTGTTATTAGGCGTCTGGGTGGACGGCAAAGAGATGGTGAGGAGTGTGGGTACTAGCATTCGTTTGTGGTTTTGGAGAGGGTTGTAAACTTACTATGCTTGACTCTGCCCTTGCCCTTGACATGACAATTAGGGCCGTCCTCATGATCATGGTAATCGCATGGGTTCTTCAGTTCAGTAGGATCGTCGAATAACATGCCGCCACTTTCACTCCGTATTGCTTTGACGAGTTCGATTGCGAAGTCCGGGCTCTTGTCGAAGCATTGGCGGTACGTCTCAACGTCGCGCTCATTACCAGGGTCCATGATCTGCCGTGCGGCAATCCGTGTCATCAGCTTGCGAAAGGGCGACCCTACTGGACTCTTGCGATAGATTTCATCAATCTCGTCGGCATCGGGCACAAGCTCAGCCTGATTAAGCCCCTTCCTGTACTGGTCCATGGCAACGTTCTTCAACTGAGGCATGTCCAAGCGATCGCACAGAAGATACAGCTTGTGGCAGCTTACGGCGTATTCATACTTCTGATTCGCGTCGACCATATCTGACACGTCGTCAAGCTTGCCCTGGTAGAGCCACTTGACCAGTAGCTCAAAACCGGCTGGATCGTATTCGTAGAGTTCGAGTTTATCTTTCCTCCTGCTGCCATTTCCATCCCCCTCCAGTTCCGTCTCGAGTATCTCGGAATGGTGGCATAGCAGGTTGCGGTGTAGGGACCAGTGGCGCTTGGCCTCGCCAACATAGATGTCGATCATCGGGCCGGATAGCAACCTGTCGCGTTGCAGCTTAGCTTTTGCGCGCACATGCAGATGGTGTGAATAGAGCCGATGCGCCAACCCAGGCCGCAGCGCGAGACATCGTGCAGGAGACTCTGCCTTTTGCGCCAGCCCCAATTGACTCGGCGCGGTAGGCGGCGCATCGCGCAAATCCTCTTCCTGTTCAATCGTGGACGACTCTGAAGCGTCTGCACTGTCTGGAGTCTCTAGGAAAGGGTCATCTACATACTCAGCAAATGTCGCGGCGGGTACATCGCCGATGCTGCCGTTCGCCATGCGCGCTCGTTGGCGGTTGTACGCAAAATCACGATAATAAACGATGCGATCGTGCCACATGCGGCGCGGTGGTGGCGTTCATAGAGGCTGACTGGAGCGATGAGGTTGAAATGGATCGTGAGATTATGCGATGGCACTTGCTCAACTTGATTCAGCAGGGAAGGCACAGCAGTTAAGGCTGGGGAATGTGGCTTTTGAGTGACGTCGTTCAGACTGGGGTAGTGTGCCCTGTGCGCCACCATCAATAGCTTCGACATTGCGAAGACGCTGAATGAAAATGCATATCATTGCTGGCTAAATAGCTGGGGGTCATGATGCGGCTTTATATATCGGCGCCTTTTCGGACTTCCGTCTACTATATCTTGTTGATAGTGCACATCTTGTATGTGCAAGCGCTGGTCACGGAAATGCTGCAGCAAAGGTGTGCGACTCGAGGATAATATTCTGGTCTTCGCTACTTCAATAGGACATTTCCGCTGTGACAATTCGCTCTCGGTGATAAAGCCGTCTAGTTTTGCTCACGGAACAGTACTGTTTGTGTCGCATTTGACTTTCTTACAGCACGGTTCCAAGTCGCCCAGGTCGCAATTCTTAACCCTCTTACATCTACACATTCTTTTCCTCTCGGGGAGCTGCCTGTATATATCCCTTCCAAAGCCAAGCGCGGATAAGCGGCACTCAAGGACGCCCGCCCAGGCATGCAATACCAAATCGGGCTCTAGATCTCACCACAACACCTCGTTATACGAACTTCGGGTCATGAGACTCAAAAGCACGCAGTAGACGCAGTCCATGAAGGGAAATATGTATCACATCACCCAGGCCCACATTTCCCAGCCCTACACCATGCAACACATGCCATGTCTCCGAAACCCTCGGACAACAACATGCCACAGTACATATCTCCCCATACCGATTCCGACTCCATCCATACCACTAACTACCATATACAAGCACTCTCCACACCCGCAAAATCAGCACAGAAACTATAGCCAAATCGAACGCCTGGGTCAAATTCGGCGCCACACGCCTCAGGAGCTGGCAGTTTGCACTCGTAATCACCGCCATCGTTCTCACTGGAATCTTCATATTCGTGTTGTTGCCGTGCATGATGCTGGGGACGTATGTCAGGTATAAGCAGGCTCGGGGTGCTAAGAGAGAGAGGAGGGAGATGGAAGCGCGGATGCAACCGGTGACGGAGTACTATGGGCGTATCATTGCGTAAAGATTCGAAAGCGGGTAGAGGGTCTAGATAGAGATGAGATATGGATGAACGTGTGTTTCGCACATTTCCGTTCAGTGGAGATGGGATAAGCGGCACGGAACGCAGCATGATCGGACGCTACGGCAAGACGACAAGGCCCAAGCATAGCCTTCCCCAAAGCTAAATGCGATATGCATGTGGAGTTCGGTGGATCAAGACAGGGCTGTGTACATGTCAGGCCTCCCAGTATGACTTCAATCATGGAACACCGTGTTTCGAAAGCATTTAGTACATCTTCGCAACACTTTAAACACAGATAAACCAAACACAACATCCCCTAAAATAAGTTCTTCCGAAAAATCCATTATGCAAAAGTACTCCCCTCCACTCATCCACCCCATTCTCGACATCTCTGACCCCACAACAGCAACCCCCTTGAACCGCGCTACTACAAAGGCTCCGGCCACGCAAACGACCGCGTAAAATTCGGTAATGTTTATCTCAAGCGCTGGCAAGCTGGTATCATCATCTTCTTTATTGCGTTCATACCCTTAATGATGCTGTACTTGGCGTGGAGGATGTGGCGAAACAGGCAAGGGAAGCAGGGTAGACCCGCGCGCAGGTGGTGGAAATATGGGGACAAGCACCAGAATGAGAAGGTAGATCAGGGATATGAAGGGGGAAGCGAAGGGAGGGTGTAGTTGGCTTGGAGTCTTGAAATTGCTTTATGGAAATGTGTTATTCGAAGTGGTGTTTTAAGTTGCTGGTGGCGCAAGCTTCATCCAAGCAAGAAGCTATGAAATCACCAATCCTATTCATCTCCAGGAATCAATCGGCCGTACCTAGCGTCTGTCATACTGACGATCAGACCGAGACGGATACGATGCATCACGAACATACCCGTCCTTGGGACGATGTCTACTTCCCTCATACCGATCATACGACAGCTCTTGGAAATCTCGTCGATCCTCATGACGATAGGAGTTTCCGTCATCGTGTGCTTGTCGCCGCCCCTGGAAGTGTCCATGATCGTATGCATGGTCAGGGCGATATGAACTTCCTCCATCATGATCTGTTCGCCGCTCTTCGAAGTCTCTTCGATCGTAGCCATCGTCAGGATGGAAGGCCTGTGCACCGTCTCGCTCTTCCCGCCACTCATGAAAGTCTCTTCGGCCATACCCATTGTCAGGACGATATAAATTTCGACCATCGTGATCCGGTCGCCGCTCCCATAAGTCTCTATGACCATATCCATTCTCAAGAGGGTATGCTGTCCGGTCATTCCGATCCGGGCGCAGCTCCTGAGACTGTCTTTGACCGTAAAACTCACCTTGATTCTGCGCCGGCGGAGGCGGAGGTGGAGGGGGCGGTGGTGGTGGCGTGAGCGATGCTCGTGCTGCCAACAAGGCCGGAGACATCCAGGTCCGACTTCGGAACCCACGACCTGGTGGAGGCGCTGGCGCATAAGTAATCATAGTAGGAGTAGGGCTGCGTGGAATGGGCGAAGTATTGAGCTTCCAATCAGCCGGGTAGCCGCCTCCGGGTGGAGGCGTTCGAGCAAGCATACGCCGAGGGGCGTTAGGGCTGCGCAGACTGGTAGGAACGTTGGGCTTGTTATTAGCCAAGTGACGGCCTTCGGGTAGAGGCGCTGGTGCAAGCGGGCGTAGAGGCGGAGTAGGGTTGCGAGGACCACTAGGAATATGGAGCTTCTTGTGAGATGATAGTTCGCTTGTCTCGACGGCGAGTGGGCGCTTGGGGATGCGGTGCGGCTCATTGCTTTCTTCTGGTAGGGGCTGCTCAGGCGTTTTGTCTGGACCTGAAGCAATTTGTTCCTTCTCGTCTGCCATTTCAACATCTTGACTCTTTGTCCTTGCTGACCTTTTCGGGGCACTTTCGTGCGCTTCTTCCTTCCTTGCAGCTCGGTGTACTTCAGCTTTCTTGATGCCTAGCTTGAGTGCCTCAGCAAAGACGCCATGCAGCGCAAGGAAAGGGAACGTCATGATATGTCGCAGTGGTAGCGTGGCCTTCATCGATACATCTTCCTGATCAAGATTTAGATGCAGTTGTGATCTTCCGTCCTGTGTCGTCTCATCAGCTACAGGCTGATGCTGGCGCTTCTTGTGCTCGATCTCCACTGTCTCGAACGAGCCTCTGTTCCGCCACTCTTCCAAAGCATTTCGATCCAAATTCTGCGGACCAAAAGGCTTAAGTGGCTCGCGCAAAGCACGGATGAGCGCTTGTGTATGCAGTACGTTCAGCTCGAGCTTGGGCGTGAACGTGTCGCGTATGTTGAGGTACCAAGAGACGCATGTGGTCAGGCCACGAGCATCGAGTCCAGATGGCAAGCGACGCAGACCTCGTACCAGATCCTCGAAGGAAGGCAGCGTGTACCCTTTGCTCATACTCTCGATGTAGGGGCCTGGGACAAGTTGATCGGTACGGAGGTTACAGTCGGACTTGCCCTTGTACCTAGCGGTCTTGAAACCGGGAAGGGAGGTCTTCACTGCGTCACGCTGATAGTTGTTTATATGGGAAGGTGGTGTTTCATGATCTGGTTCGCCACGGAAGTATGCCTATAGACAGTCAGTTGCCGCGAATTAGATAGAATCAGAGCCAAGTTGACTCACTTGCATGCCCATGATGTCAGGTCCTCTGTAATCGTTTTTCGTTAGCCGCACCATGACGCCCTTCCAGCGCACGTGATGCGGATAGAAGGCGCTGATCTCCTTCGCAGAAATTGGCACTCCAGGTGGGAAGACAGCATCAGCCGGCACAGCGTCATTGTACCAATGGTAATTGGCACCAAGCTCATCGTACGCTCGATCAATGGGCCGGATCTTCGAGCGGACTGCGGCAGCATTGAAGTCGTACGTCTCATCTACCCAAGCACGTTTGAAGAGTGGGAAAGCATGAAGAGACTTGATGGAGTCTAGCCTATGCGGAGTGCGTATGGACTCTGCTGTCCGACTTGTAGCTGGAGTGTTGGGAGAGGAAACAGGAGGCGTCCGTGATTCAGCAGACCCCTCCAAAATTGCCTTTACTTGTGCTCGAGTCTCGCGCGTGAAGTGCAGACGAACTATCAGAGCCATCGTCTCGTAGTTGGCCACTCCGATAACCACATCTGGGGTGTCGCTGCGCTTGAGCCTCTTTACCTGCATCCACCCTGACTTCGGCATGGTCATGGGTTTATAATCTATGATGTATGGTGCTACATTGCTCGGTGAGGCTGGCAAATTTCGCAACCCCGTGCTCTTCGTCGTATGGACAGCCTCTTCGCCTACCTGGTAGTCGTAGTCGAGAGTGTCCCATACTGATCGTGACTTCGGCGCATCATCAAAGTCATCGTGCTGTATGACACCAGTCGCATAACGCCAATCGCGGGTCTTCGGAATCCATGTCGAGCTGCGTTGAGGGCGGGATTGTCTTGCGAGGATCTCTGCCTCTGACTTCAGATTCTGTGCATCGCCAATGCCCATGTTCGCGAGATGCGCAGGGTGGTTGAGCTGAGGATGCGAAATTTGTTGTTGGTTGCGCGGATGCTGCGTAGCCGGGAGCACAATCGCCAGTACTTGCGCAAATCAGGAAATGTGGGTCCGTGACTGGGTGAATGGCGCTCGCATCGTTCGCGTCGCGTTTTCGCGCAAGTGAAGGTAGACAGTAAACAGCGCGCCACTCTTCACAGTAATTACACTCAAAAGTGCGTGGCATCTTGATTAATACAACATAAAGCTTACACTGGATAACATGAAGCACAGATGATCTGGTCAAAGCGATCAACGCATCAACACTTGCAAATACCTCAAATGTCCCCAATCTTCAAATATGAGCAGCTGGAGACTTTGCCATCATGCTGAGAACAGAAGTGTGGAAGAGATGTGGAGATTGCGTACAAGATAACGTGCCTTGTGATAACTGTGGTGGAAAAGAGGGCTCGCTGTGTGGAACGCAAAGCTCGAATTGACAAGAAGACACAAGAAGGACGCAGATTGAAGAGATTTGAATGTCCAAGAAGATGAAGGATCGAAGCCCTTCCTAGTCCTACCGTACTCTCCATCGCCAGGCGACCCGGTTGAGTTCGCATTTTTGTCGCTGTAACGGCTTCCCACAGGTGGACTCTGGAAGGCAGATACCAGCATCTGACAAATTTTTTCAAGGTACGCAGTATCGAACAGCATATGGCTTGAGATCTCTGAGCAGACAAGAAAGTCATGAAGGACGCCAAACATAAGACACGCGTCCAGACGCGTTGTAGTTGCTCGGCTAGACCTTCCAAGAATACCAGTCACGTCATCTTCTGCCGTTCAACCGAGGCACCTCCGAAAAACGCCTGCACTATCCGACAACACCATCTAATATCATCATCTCCTCAGTCCGGGGAATAACAACCAAAGTAACAGTCAAACTTCCTCAAACCATAAATCTATTTCCATCGCCACAATGTCAACAAAACAAGTCCCCACCCTAACTCTCTCCGGCGCCCGCACCGCCCTCGTGGCCGCTGAATCCCGCGCCCAAGAAATCGGGATCCCAATGAACATCGCCGTCGTTGACAACGCATGCCACTTGCTCGCCTTTGCCCGCATGGAAGGCGCCAAATTCACATCCATCAACACTGCCATTGACAAGGCTTACACGGCTGCTGGTCACCGCGCCCCAACGTCCGTGTACAAGGACGCGGTCTGGCCTGGTGGCCCGGCGTATGGAATCAACCACAGTAACGGTGGGCGCTTTATGACGATTGCGGGCGGTGTGCCTATTAAGAAGGATGGGTTTGTTCTGGGGGCCATTGGGTGCAGTACGGGGTTGCCGAGTCAGGATGAGGATGTTGCGAAGAGGGGGGTTGAGGCTGTGGAGAAGAGTTTTGGGGTCAAGGCGAAATTGTAGATGGATGGGGGTTATTTTTCGCGCGATGATGTGCCGCGACAGTCGTGTTTCGTGTCTTGTTACTTTCTTCGTGGTTTCCGTGATGGTAGGTAACATCTCCCTCGGACTTCACCAATTTGACGATGTGACAGAACTGAACTGGAGATT